ATGAAATGCAAACTCTTGTATCCTTCGATAAAGGGGAGAGATTAGAGGAGAGGAATACGCCGGAAGTGCCCCTCTAATTATGACAGGCTCCCATAACGAGATACTTGATCCAAATGACCTGGACTTTGATTTTCCAACGAAATTCGAGAATCGCTCTTTTCCTATAGAAAATAATATTCCATTCTTCCAAGATCCCTTCAGGCATCCGTAAAAAGAGGTAAAAGGAGAAGTCTGAATAATACCATTGCAGATGGAAAAAGGGAAGATTGTTAAATATTTGAAAAAGAAGAAGAAGAATGGAAAGTATGTTACATGGAAAGTTGCAAATACCCAGCTTCTATAACGAGAAAGGTCGTGACGGGTCGCAGTGGAAAAGGAAAATCGAAATATCGCTAGGTGGCTGAACTGGAAAATTCAATTGCCGTTTCGAGCTGTGAGAATTTCTGTACCTGTATCACTGATATACAGGGTATTCCATGGAACGTAGTACTACGTTATTGCCAAAAGACTGGCAGAAATATTTGTAATTGCTTATCAGTGGCGTTTAAAAAATAAAATATGAAGTCTCATTTTTAATTGTTTCATTAATTATCAAAGAATGAAAATTCAGATGAAAAAGCAGCATTAAATGAAAATATTCACTCAACTATATTTTTTCATTTTCGTACGCCGCTGGGTGATTAAAAACACTGGTATTATTTTTCCCCGTCGATTATTAATCTCCCAGGAAATTCATATCGTTGAAATTTATTCACCCTTCCGCGTCGCTCTTTAATTCCTCCCCCTTCTTCGCTCCCTTTCATTCTAAATATTTCCCCGATAAATTTCCGTCATTTTCGTGTATCGCAACGTTTCAGATACAAACTGGGATTTATCGGAACTCTCCATAGCTATATTTCCATGAAAATCATTTAAACAATAAACTGTTCATGAGAATTGAGTACCTCTTCCTTTTTTGTACGAGTGCTGTTTTCCAGGAAATCAATGTCCAACATTTTTACATTATTAATTTTCATTCTTGTCTAATTGTTACAAGATGCTACTTTCAGATTGGGATTATTATTATTGAAAATTGTCTGGGTAAGTTCTGTCGGATAGGGTTCAGATTTGGCAAAGCTGCCCTCGATGGATTCAATTCCATTCAAGAATAATCAGAACTCGATTTCAAATCCGATGAAAAAACTTTTCCTAATAGGAAAACTTATTTCCACCAGCTGATCCATGGGGTCAGCTGAATTCGTCCGCAACCACCTGTAGGATTGCTCGAATCCCTTACGCGCGCCTTTACTTTCCATCTAATTTCATTTTTTCTTATCTTCCCTCCTTTCCCTCTATCTCCATCGATGGAATCAGGCATCCCATTCTATTTCAAAGGAGCTTTTCATAACTGACGATGAGTTTCAATGGTGGAATTTATTCGTCATGATCCAATAAACCCGTGATTCCTTTATGATTTTATGATTATAATATGCTTGTCTTCTTTTTTCCCTTTTTTTTTTTTTGAAAAGAGAGTGCCTTTTCATATATTTCAACATCTGGCAGTTACTTCATTATTTGCCTCTCGTATGGAACTGCAGACGGGCAACTTTGAATTCCCATAGGCATCCAGGAAGCTGTGCATACATTCTAATTTGGCCAACGGTCTGCGAAATGGAGAGAACTCGATTTCGGTAGGGCCTACTCTGCATAATGCAATGAATAATCTCATGGAATACCTAAATAATTCCTGAATAGCCTTGGGTCTGAAATATTCAGAGCTTCCTCTTTCCCTCCACTCTGACAATTGGATATACTTTTTCTCCATTATAGAATCATTTTTCTTGAGTCTAAATTTATCTTTTTAAAACAGAATTTTTGCAAAACATACCATACGAGTGGCTATTTCTGTTCTCAGAAAGGACTGGTGTGTTCGTCATCAACGTCAGATTCAAATTTCATACTAAACTTCCTGGTAGACTTCCTGAAGAGCATGTTCTCCAACTTTCAACAACTCGAAACTCCTCCCTCTTTGTTGATATGTCCTGTTCAAGCTTCGCTTTAGCCCGGTATTTCCTGAAACAGATATAAACAAAGAAGATTATGCAATCTAAAGCTGGATTACGAGCAATCCCTAGAAACTGAAACATTAATGAGAAATATTTTACAACAGGAATGTTCACTACTTTTTTAGAATCCTCATTTTTTCAGTAGACAATGAACAAATCCCAAATATTTAATAATTAACAAAGGAATTACACCTGTACCCTTAAAGGTGCTAATTAAGAGTAAATAGATTACGAGCAATCCCTAGAGACTGAAACATCAATAAGGAATATTTTACAGCAAAAATGTTCGCTACTTTTTTTAAATTCTCATTTTCTCAGTAGACAATGAACAAAGCCACAAATATTTATTAATTAGCAAAGGAATTACACCTGTACCCTAAAAAAAGCTTTTAAAATATTTTACAACAAGAATGTTCATTACTTTTTTAGTATCCTCATTTTTTCAGTAGACAATGAACAAAGCCCCAAATATTTATTAATTAGCAAAGGAATTACACCTGTACCCTAAAAAAAGCTTTTAAAATATTTTCCAACAAGAATGTTCATTACTTTTTTAGAATCCTCATTTTTTCAGTAGACAATGAACAAATCCCAAATATTTAATAATTAACAAAGGAATTACACCTGTACCCTTAAAGGTGCTAATTAAGAGTAAACAGATTACGAGCAATCCATAGAGACTGAAACATCAATAAGAAATATTTTACAGCAAAAATGTCCACTACTTTTTTAAAATTCTCATTTCTTCAGTAGACAATGAACAAAGCCCCAAATATTTATTAATTAGCAAAGGAATTACACCTGTACCCTAAAAAAAGCTTTTAAAATATTTTCCAACAAGAATGTTCATTACTTTTTTAGAATCCTCATTTTTTCAGTAGACAATGAACAAATCCCCAAATATTTAATAATTAAAAAAGCAATTACACCTGAACTCCTAAAAATGCTAATTTCTCACTGAATTAAAAGGAGAGCCATCAAGCTCGCACTTCTTTCTACAAGATTCTGTGTATTTATATGTCTCCGGGATTGCAGTATGAATTGAAACTAACGAAGTAGGCCGCAAACGGTTAATATGAAAATGGAAATTCAAGGGAGGAGAGGCGAGAGGAGGCAACAAGCCTTGGCCGAGGTGTAGATCAAAGAGGCGACTGTTACACCGTACGCCAAGAGCGTTTCCTGTTCCGGCCGTGGCATCGGTTTAATTAGAATGGGCTTTGCAATTAGCGGAGGGCAGTATCGGCAGGCTGGCAGGCAACTTGGCAAACTCAATAAACCTCTCCTTTGACCGTTACCGGCTACTTTTCCACAAGGAAATTTCCAGTCCAAAGCTGAATTCATCCTCCATTTCCTCTGATAAATCTGTTTCAAACTCGACCTAACATTCAATCGTCCCTATAAAAGCGATGAAGGTCTTGAACCCCCCCTTTTTTCTCTAACTCCTTCAGCGAGAGATTCTGATTTATTGTTATGTTAAGACTGATCTTGTAAAGATGGGAAATTAGAACTCTTTAACGAGATTGCTAACCCTTTCATCAAAACTTTTAGCCATTATTTGCTGGTAGCTTTACTGGAAAGCTTAACTGCACAATAGATCAACATTTTCCTTGTGAAGCATCCTCAAAGTTTTCCTTGCTTTTATGTGAAAATTTTCCTCGATGAAGTTAAATCCTTGGTAAAGATAAAACACTCTATCTCCTTTGCAAAGATTATCAAATATTGTCGCATGAACTCTTATAATCCCTTCAGGAAACAAATCGTTTAAAATCTGTAAGATGGTTTCCAAGTACAAATCAGTTGACTGAAATCGATTATCATTCGTGGAAGAAACTTGAGCAATCCTTTTTTTTCTCATCAGGGATCTCCTGTCTCCACTGATCTTTATCTCCTTCTTTCACTCTGTTAAACCAGTGATAAAGTTTCCCTTCAGAGTGTGCTTGGACTCTGATGATTCCTTTCCCACCATTTCAATTTATGGCGATAGAAATGGAATGTTAGAAATAATTGAAGCTAGATTCAGTGTTTGGAAATGGATCCTTCAGATCATTGACGTTTAGCTCATATCCATCTTTGATGTCAGGTGAATGTTTCACTTTTGAATGTACACTTGGGTGCTATGTAGGGCCATCTATTAGTCTTTGCTTTTGGGAGAGTCTTGGGAAAGCCTTGGGAGATGCTTTGGAGAGCCTTGGGAGAATCTTGGGGGAATCCTGGGAGAACCCTGTGAGAGTCTTGGGAGAGTTCTGGGAGAGCCCTGGGGGAGTCTTGGGAGAGCGTTGGGAGAGTCTTGGGAGAGCCTTGGGAGAATCTTGGGAGAATTTTGGGAGAGTCTTGGGAGAGCTCTGGAGGAGTTCTAGGAGAGCCCTGGGAGAGCCCTGGGAGAGCCTTGGGAGAATCTTGGGAGAGCCTTGGGAGAATCTTGGGAGAGCCTTGGGAGAGTCTTGGGAGAGTCTTGGGAGAATTTTGGGAAAGCGTTGGGAGAGTCTTGGGAGAGCTTTGGGGGAGTTCTGGGAAAGCCCTGGGAGAGCCTTGGGAGAGTTCTGAGAGAGCTCTGGGGGAGTCTTGGAAGAGCGTTGGGAGAGTCTTGGGAGAGTCTTGGGAGAATTTTGGGAAAGCGTTGGGTGAGTCTTGGGAGAGCTTTGGGGGAGTTCTGGGAAAGCCCTGGGAGAGCCTTGGGAGAGTTCTGGGAGAGCTCTGGGGGAGTCTTGGAAGAGCGTTGGGAGAGTCTTGGGAGAGCCTTGGGAGAATTTTGGGAGAGCGTTGGGAGAGTCTTGGGAGAGCTTTGGGGGAGTTTTGAGAGAGCCTTGGGGGATTCTTGGGAGAATCTTGAGAGAGTCTTGGGAGAGTCTTGGGAGAGTCCTGGGAGAGCCCTGGGAGAAAACTTCATCTAGAATTCCCTGTTTACACATTAGTAAATGATTATCTTACACATTCCTGTATCTTCTTTTCTTCCAGTTGCTGAGCTCCATCGTCGTGGTGGGAGGAACGAACATGGCCGGTGTATTAACGCACCATCCTCGGGAATTGGCGCAAAGACAGGCGTTCCTCGAGACTAGACAATGCGTCGAGGCGCGTCTAACCACACAACGAGAAAACCAGCAACAGGTACGTCTTCGACGGCTCGATTCTGTACACCACCGTAGGAATTTCGTTAATATTTAATTTGCCTCCAAGCTTGCAGCCAGCTAATCTTATCGTACTCTTTACCTTCATGATTAATGAACCCTCGAACATCGCATGTGCAGTCATTAAAATTACTGGCCAGAAAATGGGCGCTTCGAACGCGTTTAACTCTGAAATTCGATCGTGGCCCACGTAACAACTTAATCAAATTCAGATCGTTATAGTCCCTACAGCCTCTCCTTTACTGCCCTAGTTCCCCTTAATTGATACACTTTATTAACTGTTTGTTGATACCATTATCAGTTTCGTGCACCAAATTATCAGCAAACTGCTCCAGCCTTTGAAATGGAAGATTCAATTAAAAGTTTAAACATCGATTTCAGATTTCATCCCTGAAAAGTATACAAATTTCAATCACTGATTTAAATAAATAAAGAACAGTATGTTTTGCAAAGGTAATTGAAGGTAATTACCTTCAATTTGTAAAAAATTGATTTAAATAAATAAAAAACAGTACTGTTTACAAAGGTAATCGAAGGTAATTATCTTCAATTTGTAAAAAATACTGTTTTTCAAATATCAAATTTTAAATGTCAATATTCAATCATTGATTTAAATGTCGATATTCAATCATTGATTTAAATAAACAAAAAACATTTGAAATTTGTATACTTTTCAGGAATGGAATCGGGAATCGATGCTTAAACTTTTAATGCTCATGAATTCATGAACTGAGTACCTAAAGATGTTTGTCCAGAAAGTAGGAATAAGTTATGGTGGTTGGCTTCGGGGTTGATAAAGAAGCAAGCTCGGACAATGGCTCGATTATTATCACAGTTGGTCACGGATTCTCGATTAAACCGCACAATAGACTTAGTCACGGTTAGACCGTTCTCCATGACTATGAACGATAGCCGATAAGCCGCTATCTTTAATAAAATTCCCTTGCTTTCCAGCAGTCGTCGTCCACGTTTCAAAATAAAAAATAAAAATTAACTACCCTGTTATTCCTTCCTTTAGTGGCGTACAAATTCGTAGCATTGCGTAGGAAATGAACCAAAGTTTGTATATTTAAATTTTGTCGGCAATTGCTGTTTGTAAGTGATCACGTAGTACTACGCGATCCCTCGTCGCAAAGAAACCAAGATTACGTGATTACATAGCAATGTCGTGGTTCATGCACGATATTTAGCTGAGAGTTCGCGGCGCTTATCAGCGCGTCGCGATGCACACGCGTCGCTTGGTTCGTGTGCATTCATAAAGTTTCCTCGATGCGAGGAAACTCGTCCTGTCGAAAATGCATTCACGTTTTAACGGAGATAAGCTAATTCGCCCAGATCCACGCTACGGTTGACTCGCTCGAAAAGTTCACTTTTCGCAACCCTTCAATCCTTTGAAAACGAAGCCTTTGTAAAAAGCGACCGATTTACAAATTTTACATCTTACAAATTAGAGTATCTTTTTTTTTTTGATTTATGGAAGAGAAAATACTGTTACGTACGCACAAGTCGGCTAGGGGTTTACAAATTCTAAAATTTCTTAACACGTTGACTACCATGCCCCAAAATTTGTATAATCAAATAATTAATAAAATAAAAGAGGAGCTTTTCTACTATGCCAGTCAACGTGTTAAGCTAATTCCTTCCTGTGTTACTATCGCCAAGAAATTTGGAAACATTTGAATTGTTTTAAAAAATAATTAAAAATTCTAGATAAGTGATTCTACATTGTATTCTTTTGCTTAATTTTAACACTGTTCTCTTCTATATATTTTATATTATGCAATGCAGTTGAATTATTTATTTAAATCTCTTTGTTTCCAAACTTCAAAATTTCCTTCTCACGTAATACTACGTTCTATCGGTTCAATTTAAGTCAGTATCTTCCGCAAAGTTCCATACGCTCCAAGAGTAACACAATTTTACCAAGGGAGGAGCTCGTCGAAGGATTAATATTTCAAAGATATCTTTGGCATCGCCTTTTCCTCGTCGCATGAAGTTGGAAGACATACCAGGCAACCTCTATTCCTCGATGAACCGACTCAAAAGCTATCTAATGCATTGCGCTCTGTCTCTCTCTCTGCGGATGATCAGCCTTCCGGGAACCGATAAGCTCCAGCTCCCGTTGAAATGCTGCTCTATCCATTACCGTTCGCGTCGGATCAAATGACTAACGAGAACGCCGAGACACGGGAAGCCGAGTAATCTTCCATCTTCTATAGATAGAAAACAGAGACTCTCCACGTTTCTAACGAACACCTTACCTGGAGAACATTTTTGCAAAGTTATTCTCCAGAACCCCCATGGAAAATATTAATTTTCCCAATTTAATTACAACTAGGTCTGCTGTCCGCTTCGCTGCTAACACAATAATTAGCACAACTCGTATTCAGTAAGGGCTAGTCTGCTGTAATCAAAAGGAACTTTCTTGCGCGTTAATGTTTAGAGCGAAGCTCTCCTTGGCGCATTCGGCAGTAAGATCGGTTCGAAGAAACGTTACGATTCCCCTATAGGGGAATTTCGGTCCCCCCTCATCTAATTCTCTCATCCAGCGAAATTTCGCGTCGATCGTGCATACAAGAACGCTTGCGACAAAAGACGATCTCGCCCTCGCGTACGGCAGAGCGGCGTCTTTTTTTTTTTCATTTTCAATTGTACCATAAAATTACTAAAATAACAATTCTATTACGCATTATGACTTGAGCTTCACTCTTATCGGCCGTCCCGCGACGGCCACGTTCTTTTTTCAATGCTTTTTCATTGAAGATCAGTTTTTTTATGATTATTCCACCATGGTTGGTCCAATTTCTGATTTCAATAGCCTATAACCATCACATTGTGGTCATGGTGCACTGTGTCAAATTTGGTCAAGATTGGATAAGCCGTCTAAGAGGAATCTCTGGAAAACGAAATACATTTTCCGGGAGAGATTGAGCTTCGCTCGCTGCGCTCAACTAGGTCTGTTGTCCGCTTCGCTGCTAACACAATAATGAACGCAACTCGTATTCAGTAAGGGCTAATTTGTAGTGAAAAGCTTAAATGGTGATATCTAATTGTAATCAAATTTAGGAACTTTCTTGGGCGTGAATTTTTAGAGCGAAGCTCTCCTTGGCGCGTTCGACAGTAAGATCGGTTCAAAGGAACGTTACGGTTCCCCTATAGGGGAATTTCGGTCCCCCTCCTCTAATTCACTCATCCAGCGAAATTTCGCGTCGATCGTGCGTACAAGAACGTTCGCGACAAAAGACGATCTCGCCCTCGCGTACGGCAGAGCGGCGTCTTTTTTTTTTCATTTTCAATTGTACCATAAAATTACTAAAATAACAATTCTATTACGCATTATGACTTGAGCTTCGCTCTTATCGGCCGTCCCGCGACGGCCACGTTCTTTTTTCAATGCTTTTTCATTGAAGATCAGTTTTTTTGTGATTATTCCACCATGGTTGGTCCGATTTTTTATTTCAATAGCCTATAATCATCACATTGTGATCATGGTGCGCTGTGCCAAATTTGGTCAAGATTGGATAAGCCGTCTAAGAGGAATCTCTGGAAAACGAAATACATTTTTCGGGAGAGATTGAGCTTCGCTCGCTGCGCTCAATGAATATCTTTGCGACTTAAACTAAAGTTCTAGATACAACGGGACCAGGAAATTCTGGTTAGTTCGAGTTACTATGCGCACAGTTCTTAAACAAACTGAGTTTTCCAGGTGACGATCGGCGACAATGAGTCCCATTAAATTGGAAAATCAATTTCTTGGCTGTTTTCGACGGAGCTAGACGTCATTACGCTTTCCTTAACGAAACGAAATTTCATTCCGTTCGCACGCGATGGAATTTCCTCGGGACGCAATTAAAACCGTTCCAATGAGAGCTTCTTCCCAATCCCCGCTGATTGGGAAATAATAATAAGATCGGCGAGCCCCTTTTCTTCGTTCCCGAAAAACATAGGAGATATTAACGAGGATCAGCTCCATTATTATGTTTCTTGGAGATTTGAAAAGTTATTCAGGTAAATTGGAATTGGAAAATTCGTGTAGTCTTGTTGGATTATAATGCAATAGTGAATTGGCGTTCCGATTCTCACTAGGTGATTCTTATAGTGTTTTCTACACTGATTACTGATTATTAAATATCGGGGATGCGGAGCACCACTGTCGGTATTTCATCTCCCACGAAGCTATTTCGCTTTTTGGCTTAATAAAAAAATCGACGTTGCAACTTTCTCCTGGTGTTTTTTCAAGATAAAAGTCTGCTCTATCGCATGGTGTAATTCGTGTTGTATTCCGCTCGTGATATTTCTTACAATTACAAAATGGAATACAGACGAAGTTTTTTAATACAATATTCGCCGTGCTGGTAGTAGATTCTAGTTCTTAAAACGGTTCAGAAAAATCTGACTCGGAGGGAAAAGTGCTGGGTAATTTATAGAATCGGAAAAATAGGAGAGTGGAGTTATTGCGAGTCCTGTGATCGGTAAGGGATGAGGTCGTGAGTGCAAAGTTTGAAGATGACTGTCTCGGCTGAGTCATGAGGAGTAGAAGGAAAGACTTGGGATGTTTGTCGTTAAAGGTTGACTTATAATACAGTGAGAAGGCCGGTCTATCTAAATACAATAATGACTAATTCGGTATATGTACAACATTCGATTTTACGCTGGATCTCTACTTTCTCAGATAAATTGGAAAATATCCTGAAAAATTGGCGCCAAATCGGGCTCCCTCCGCGTTCAATGATCGTTTAAATGTATTCTAAACTCTGGAAAAAACAATTTAATTTAAATTTAAAGCTTATTATTTTCAATAAATAAGGTTAGACAGACTTTGGTTATGCTGCTTTTTTCTGGTTATGACACGCTCATTACCTATGCACAGTGACTACAAATCCAAGTCACTGAGTCTAGTCACTGCTATGCACCAATCACATCACTTGATACAAATATAGTTTGGGTTAGCACGCATAAGGTATACGTTCAGTTGATCGGAACAAAGGTGGCGTTGATGGAAAGCAAAGTACGTTGACTAAAGATTAAACTGCGTTCAAAATAGAACGCAGTTTACAGGAACTCTGAATTGATCCACTTTGGAGGAAACGGGCATTAATGTATTAAAATCTTTTAGTGTAAATAGAATTTCAATATCTTTCATTAGGTGTACAAACTAATTTGGTACCTTTAATATTACACTTTCATAGTTACTATTTTAAATTCGAATATTTTCCCGCGCTTTTGTGAATTTGAAAAATGGCGCGAGAATATGACTTATAACTTCTTACAAATAAGCCATTAATAAAAAAAAAAACAAAGACACCAAATTAATTTGTCAGAAAATTTGTTTAAATCTGAAAAATGTTTTTTTCTTCAAAATCAAATTTCTCAAAAACTGTACGTGTAGGAGCTAAACGGTTTGCAGATTCGTAATCAGCGTACAAAACACTATAAGTGTTAAAATGTGTTGGACGGTGTTATCTAGTATTGAGAAGAAAATCCAACATGTAGTGCAGGAAGTAATGGACGCTACATCGGATTTAACGTAGAACTACGTGACTTCGAATGGCAAAGGGGACCGTTGCGCATTAACCGATCAGGAAGGATTCGATTTTACGTCATACAGGTGTGCAGAAGCTATTATCGCGAGCTGACTGATCGATTTATTCCGCGTTAAATTAACCACACCAAAGGCCCTCTGCAATTTCAGACTCTCGATCACGTAATGTATCGATATTAGTAATAGGAGAAACCAAATCGACGTAGATTTGCTCGCCGCGTTCCAACAGCGACGACGGGATCTGAATATTTCATCATCGAAACCTAAATGCCTGTCATATTTTCATTTACGATAGTCCAATAATCTAACCTAGTGAAATTATAATTTAACATCTGATTGTGAGATAGACATCAAAGAGTTACAATTAAGAAAGACATAATAATTTAATAATCATCTGCTCTTCGTATTAAATATTTATTAATTTAATTTAATTAATAAATATTTAATAATATATAAATTATCTGGCACAGCCAGTAAGGAGGCTGCCTAGTGGCCCTGGTACAATGGTCCCCAAGGACTGAGTGCCCTGTTAGTCTCAACCAACAATAATAATAATAATAATAATAATAATAATAATATAAATTATAATTTCATTAGGTACGACCCACTCGTCCCCCAGAAAATTCGCGTTTTTGAAATATACACCGTCAAAGTCTGAAAAAACTGTTGTTAGGCGCGCATGCGCCACATAGTACCAGCGCAGCCATTTTCAAAGACATTACATACTATTGGGCGCATGCGCGCGCAGCTAAAATGGCGACCGTCAGACTTTCCATAGGAAATGGAAACTCCTATAACTTTTCACTCCGACCACTTGGCCGCGCAAACGCAACGGTTTTGAGTTAGTTTCAATAAGACCTTTCTAACGACGTATAGAGTGTGTTAACTATATTCCGTGATTGCTTCGCAATCCGCGTTCGGTAAAGGTTCTAGGGTAAGTGCCATGCCGTCTCTCATACTCCTCTTATCAAGAGATGGAACATCTTCCCCACTCTGTCCAGATCCTTCGGGAACACCTTTATCTCTTTACACGTGCCATACGGTACCATGACTTCGGGTCATCGGCCACACGCGCCTTCTTCGACGATCGGCAATCGGACTCCTCGTTATTGAACAGTAAACATAACACCCGTGACTCTTAGGTGTCAACGATCCTAATTGCAATAGCGGCATCGGCCATCCTCTCTAATTTCCTAGAACTACATATTCTCACCACCAAGTGGCCTCTGAGACACACATACGAGCCCGACACGTTTCTTAGCTTTGAAAAGCGCTTTGACGTTAACAAGTGTATCTTTAACCCCAGTAGTTCTCGAGTTGAAAAGTGACACGGGCAGTCGTCTTTGCGATTTATATACAGGGTGCCCCAGAAAGGGTGTTAGTCCTTTAAGGGGGTGGTAGAAGGCGTGATTCTGAACAACATTTTCCTTTGCGAAAATATTATTTGAAGCTTTGTTTTTGAATTATTAAGGAAAAACACTTGGCCAATCCGAGCGCGCTTAGCGCGCGGGCTCAGGGGCGACAGCGTCTAGGCCTAGGTACCGTACGAACGCTTTCGGCGCCCTGTTGGAAAGATATAGATTTTCATGTTTACACTAAACTACACGTGTGATGGTAGTTTTCCTTTCAACAGATTCGGTACTTCCCATGTTAAATGGCTGACATGAAACAGGTACAACTATGCACTCGACATCTTAGGTCTCCACGGGTACTTAAGTGTAACACAAGTTCTCTGCATAACAGGGTTAATTAACCGACTGCTGTGAATACCGGAGGGATCCAGGCAACGATTCTACGCGTGTCCGTGAATACTCCTGCAAATTAAACAGTTATAACTGTTTCATTGTATCTATTCTTGGATGGAAGTTACAGCTTCAAAAATTTATACCCACTTGGAGTTCGTCCAACTTCGCCACCATTGGCTATTCTGAAGTAAATAAAATAGAATCGTTACTATTTACGGTTCCATCGTTTCTATTTTCGTTAGACCACCTACGGCACCCTCGCTTGGCCACGTGCGGTCCTGGACAATGCGTCTGACCACCCACGGCAATCGCCCCTATATTACTTGTCTGGCCATCTATGCTGTCCATCCCTATATCACTTATCCATGATTCTATTTCATATCTACTCGTCTGCCCTATGGATCTGACATCTCCATCTACTCTTCTGGCCACATAATGTATTTTATTATATCCACCCCTATACTACTTAGCTGCTGGGAACCCATCACTGGCTAAGAGTGCACCGTTTCCTGTTTACCATGCTGGTGTAGTGTAACAAGAATCTTCCTCTAATTTTTTTTTCCAGGAACGGCTCCTATTGAGCGTGCTACCCAGACACGTAGCCATGGAGATGAAAGCCGACATTGCTGGCAAGCCGAAGGATACTATGTTTCACAAAATTTACATTCAGAGACACGAGAATGTCAGGTGAGCGGGGTCCCTGGAACAACATACAATTCAATTTCCTTTCAATACAGAAAATGTCAGAAATTAAAATAAAGAGTCTAAATAAAATACAATGGCACCTCGGTATATGACCTTAATCCGTCCCTGATGTTTGGACGTATACCAAACCAATCTTTCCCATAAGAATTAATGTAAAAATGATTAATCTGTTCTAATGTAAAAAAAAACTCCTATTGATATTATACCTACACTGTTTATGTAATGAACAGCATTTAAGCGATTTCCTAGTTTATTTAACATAATAACAAACCAAATGGAATAACTAAATTAACAAACCAAATGGAATAAACGGTTATTCGAATATAACTGATTAATAGCAAAATTTGTCACGTCCAAACAGGACGTATATCGAGGTACCACTGAATCCTAAATCTAAAGTACCATGAACGTACTTGTTTGGAGAGCGAGTAATTCGAAGATATTCGACTCCCTGATGCATCAAGCTGATACACGCGCGTCCATCATACGTTAGAACGTAACTCGGGGCTGACACTAGTGGGTCGTTAAGTCGGGCGACGTGCCACTAATGAATTCCAATTAACACCCGTCGCTTAATTACGGTGAACCGCCGTCGACGGAGAGCCTATTTGAAAATCTTTCTTCCAGCATCCTGTTCGCGGATATCTGCGGATTCACCTCGCTGTCGGACCAGTGCACCGCCGAGGAGGTCGTCAGACTGTTGAACAAATTGTTTGCTTGGTAAGATTAAAAATCAAATCATTAATTAGAAGACCGGTTGATTGAAAATTATCATTGTCATCACAGCTTTGATACTCTGGCGGCTGAACATCATTGCCTGAGAATCAAGCTGCTCGGGGACTGCTATTATTGCGTCTCCGGGCTTCCGGAACCGAGACCCGATCACGCCCGATGCTGCGTGGAAATGGGATTGGACATGATCAGCGCAATTACGTGAGTTTTCTCTCCTTGCAATTCAGCTCGTCCGGCTTTTCGTGAAATCCTCGAGAGCATTCCTGTCCCCGCGACCAAACTTTTGTCTCCGGGAAAGAGGGCGGTGAGTAACAGTGAATCACAGGGGCAATAGAAAGCAGCTGGGAAGAAAGTGACCTCGGCAAATCAGTTTCTGTTGAAACTGGAGAACTGTAAAGAAAAATAAAATTTTATATATTTAAAATTAACAGAATATTTTTATTGTAAATGAATTGGAAATTTTTAATTTTTAAAAATCATTGGAATTCATAGAATTCTTACATCCAATCTCTTCTACCTTTATTCTCCGAGGAAATCATCCCTTTGACGAGGCGCCGCTCTTTTTCAACGGTGGATAACAAGAACCTTGTCCGGAGACTGTTGTCTCTCGAGTCTGCGGGTTACTTTGACCCGTTTACTTCGTTTCCGCCTCTTAAGACGTTTCCTTTCGCCTTTCCCTTGCGTGCAATTCCCTATACAAGGCGAGAGATGAGACTCCGTTGTTGACAATAAAAATAAAACGCGATTAAACGCCATCCTAGAACGATTATTTCAAACATCAAATACAATGATATTAAAAAACAAATTTTCCACCATATTTATGGTGTCCATAATTTACTCGAAGGAAGCCAGGAGTCTAAGTTTCACGAGGTATGAATACAATAATAGTGTATATTGCGTTAATCTGGAATAACGAGACGGCACTATGGAGATACGGATTAACGGGGTTTGAATTAAAGGGGGTTCTTGGATTAGCAAGACTTTACAGCCATAGGGGAAAAACAGAGGAATAAAAGTGTCCAACAGGAACGCCCTAATCCGAATTTATTAGCCACATATCTTGTTTGAAACAAACAGCTCTGCCTTCCAGCAACCTCGCAGAATAATAAATCACTTTTGGCATCCGAGCTTTCCATAATTTGCAGAGAGTTTATGTAGCAATTTTCATTACAATGGGGCTTCGAATTAATATACCATAAATGCTTTTATGGCTTGAAACCCCGGCCAACTAGTGAAGTGCGGCCCGACTATTCGGGTCGGTCCGGAAAACATCGGGCGGGCTCGGGCGGGAGTCTGATACGTGCAGTCGGGTAGCCCGAGTGTCTCGGCTCAGGTCGGATGAAGTCGGGCAGGTTCGGACATGAGAGTTGGGTCGCGGACCGCGGCCCGCGGGAGTTCGCCCGAATCCGCCCGACTTTATCCGACCTGACCCGAAGTAGTCGGGCTACTCGACTGCACCCGCCCGAGCCCGCCCGATTTTTTCCGAGCCCGCCCGAGCCCGTAATATCGGGTACCCTAATGCCTATGTATTTAAAAAAATAATGAAACCATTTATCACACTTGCAGGCTTTATCGAGAGGTGGGTGCCGTGAACGTGAACATGAGAGTGGGGATCCACACAGGCAGGGTTCATTGCGGTGTCCTCGGTCTGAGGAAGTGGCAATTCGACGTTTGGAGCAACGACGTCACCCTGGCCAACTACATGGAGAGCGGCGGAATACCGGGGTGAGTTTCAACTCGTTTTCCGGCGTTCCGCTGGCAAGCTAGCAGCTCTTTTTTTCTTCCCTTTATCTCGCTCGTTGGCGAACAAATTTCCAGCGAAACGGTAGAGAGAATTCGTACCGAGGATATTGAAAAAAAGAAATGGAAGCGTGATCACTGGTGCGATAGAATGCAACGTTGATTCGCTTTCCACCTTTGTTCCTTGTTTTCGTCAAACAGAAGCGAAGGAAGACATAGAAATTGCGTTAGCAATTCTTTTTCTCTTCGTGAATTTTTTTCCTCCAGTTTCGTGTAACTGTAGAAAGAACATCCATGATGGTGGAATATTTCTGAAAATTCACGTTTCTCTTATGGTATTTTATTTCCTCTAGCAGCAACAACCAACGTTCATCAAATAACTGAATTTAATCAACCATGTTGAGATATTCCAATTTTGCAACAAATAAATGGTTAAATTCCACAATTTTTTCTTTAAAAAATTGAAAACAAACATTTGATATTGTTCATTTAATTATACCTTCTGAAGGGATCACAATTGACCCAAGTTTCCTATAAAACCCAATGGATGATCAAAAGTGCTATTAAATCAGTGCTTATTACCACTGCTCCCTGTAGACGAGTCCACATCACGAAGGAGACCCTGGACTGCCTCGGCGGTTACTACGAGGTCGAGGAGGGTCAAGGAGGGGAAAGAAACGCGTACCTGAAGGAGCACAATATCAAAACGTACCTGATCATCCCCGGGGACACGTACAAGGGTAACATACCCTCTTCCGGGTTGAGGAAAGGTTTACCAGCGAACGGGAATGTATCGAAAGAGATGAGGGTGATGGGTCACGGTTCACAGCGTGGAAAACAAGCAAAGTAAGCCACTCGATTTCCTGCTATTTTTCCGGCAATTTAACATTTGTATTTCAATCATAAATTAATATTTTGTATTTCCAAACACATAAATCAAAGATACTTTAACGTTCACCATTTGTATAATCTCTCTTTGCATTTGAAGCATTTTAATTTCCATAAATTTCAAGGTACATTTATTGTTTTAATAATAAAACTGTGCAGCGTCCGGCTATAAATTGGAATTTATCCCTGCCTCCAATTCCAGGAAAGTTAACAGAATCGCTCAGAAATACCTTGAATCAATGTTTCAACCGAGCTTCTATTTTTATTCTGTAAAGTTTAATATACAATTAAAATTTGAAAGGCAATCGATGAGTCGAGAGGATAGAAGTATCTGTTATACCGTGATGTTTCCATCGCGATTTACCAGATGTTTCTGTTGAAAACGATGGCTTTCGTGATAGATTGGGCTTTGGAGAGACTGCCGAGAGTAAAAAAGATCCTGAAGACGAGGTGAACGAGTACCTGATGAGAGCAATCGACGCCAGGAGCATAGATCGATTGAGGGCCGAATATTGTACACCTTTCATTTTAACATTTCGACGACCCGACGTCGAGGAAAAGGTAAATTCCGATTGAATAATTATTCATCGTTGAACGATCTTCGATAGCTGTCCATAATTTTCCCTTTAATTAATTTGTTTATTAATCGACTCGCCCGTCCTTGGTAATTAACACACTGATTACCACGGTTATAACGATATGTATTATAATGAAAAAAATAAATAAAATAATTCAGAGGAAATAAAAATCAAAATTATAATCAAATCTTCAAATTGAAATAAAACTCAGAGTATGTGATTTTTTATGATTTCTTTATTTTAAAACAAAGTCTAAATGTCCTCCCAATTCTCCCAATTTTCCCTTATATTTTCACACAAGTGGAATTCAATTTCATCAATAGCGACCTTATTTTGTTTCTGAGCTCCTCTCAATAGTCTTTGGATTATTGGTGCAAACTTCACTTTCCATGAACCCCATAAAAAAATCTAATGGTGTTAATCACCCGATCCTGGTGGCAATTGATGTCATAAAATAGACTTTGTATTAAAATAAAGCAACTGTACAAAAATCAAATACTCTGAATTTTATTTCAATTTGAAGATGCGACCTGGATAACCCTTTATTTTTCGGTGTTTTCGAACGATTACGTCGTCAATATTTCCTATGCCGCGACAATGGACGAGAAATAAAATTCTTTTTCAACTATTTGTTGCAGTACTCGCGGGAGAGAGATCGAATGCTGTCCGCATATTTCGTGTGCTCTGGTTTCGTCTATACGGTGGTCGTGATTGCTATAGCAATCACTCTGTACGGGTAAACAAACCATAGCAAATAAACTCGATTTTTCCTTCGAACATTTCCCGGATTACTTTCGTCCCTCTATATCCTACACCGCCTCTTATATAAACCAATAACAGCGTCTCGAATCAAAGGAGGATTCTGAAACGAACAAAAAAATTGTCTTTTAGGAGCGTATACTTCTACACGTGCGTGGGAGTGAGTATACTGTTGATCGCCTCGATCAATGGGATCCTCTTGGCGGAAAAGAACGAGGTGAGAGTTCGTTGAAAACATGTTTGTCTGAGTTTCAAAGTTTTCTGCTAAGGTTAAAGGGTTGTACCTAGTTAGGAGGTCGAAAAAAGGGATTTTTCAAGTATTTTCTTTTTTTTGGAAAAATGTTTTTAACACGTTGAACTCCATGGGGGACCCCTGAATAATTAAAAGAAAACAATAGAAAAACGGTATTTTAAGTAATATTGCTATGGCACAGATAATGTGAAATGGCAAGTAGAGGGATTGAAATTTGAAAATTAATTATTACTATTCTTAGTAATTAGTAAGAATTAATGGCAAGTAGAAAGCTTGAAATTTGAAAATTAATTATTACTATTCTTAGCAATTACTAAGAATTAATGGCAACTAGAAAGCTTGAAATTCGAAATTTGAAAATTAATTATTACTATTCTTAGTAATTCCTAAGAATAGTAATAATTAATTATCAAATTTCAAATCTCAATCTTAATTACTAAGTAATTACTAAGAATTAATGGAAAGTAGAAAGCTTGAGATTTGAAATTTGAAAATGAATTATTACTATTCTTAGTAATTCCTAAGAATTAGTAATTACTAAGAATTAATGGAAAGTAGAAAGCTTGAAATTCGAAATTTGAAATTTAATTATTACTATTCTTAGTAATTACTAAGAATTAATGGCAAGTAGAAAGATTGAAATTTGAAATTGAAAATTAATTATTACTATTCTTAGTAATTACTAATTTTCTTAGTTATTACTAGGAATAGTTAATTTACTAAGAATAATTAATTTTCAAATTTCAAATTTCAATCTTTCTACTTGCCATTTCACAAGCTTTAATTAGAGCTTTAATACGTCCCAGAAAAACTTCACTGTGGCGTTCAACGTGTTAATGAATTTTAATGTTTAAATTAAATTAAATTAAAAATTAAATTAAATCTTTAATGAATTTTAATGAATCTTTTTACATTGAATTATAAATTAATCTTCACATATACACTCATATTTTTTTTTTACAAAAATATTGATTTGTCAATCTCCGAGAGCACCTCCAAAAAAAGGTGTCTTACGGTGAGCAAAATATCTCTGGTTCATTTGAAATCAAAAAGCAATGAAGATTTACTTAATATAAGGTAAAATCTTGTCTTTAATTGAAGAAATAAGCAAAATATCACATTTGAACAAAATGGCAGTTTCTCTCAAAAAAATTGTCATTTTCGCCAACAAATTTCGTTTTAAATTGCTTATAAAATGAATAATATTGATCGGATCGAAACAACCTTCGATTAAAGCCAAGATTTTACCTTATATTAACTAAATCTTCATTGCTTTTTGATTTCAGATGATCCAGCAAGATTGAAGGTGAAACAAGATTAGACAAATCAATATATTTTTTTTTAAATATGAGTATATACGTGAAGATCAACATTAAAATAAATGCAAAAGTTTTTCCACAAAAAAAAACTTGAAAAATCGCTTTTTTCGACCTCCCTACTAGGTACACCCCCTTAAGCGAGTTTCGGATGGCAGATGCGGTGCGAAACGCGTTAATAGAGCGTGAAACGAACCGTTGCTCGGTTAATCGAGGTTACACGCTGTACGTTTCCAGCGATATCCAGTCGTGACTGGAATCGATTACCCGGACGGACCCTTTGGAACCTTGCCACTTCCTCTTGATCTTGAATTGGTGGCGAGATTCCAGGTCACCGGTGGAAATCATCGATTCACCCGTTGCAACCCTGTCGTCTGTTACTCGAACCGACGAGCAAACAGAATCTCGTCGACAATGACCGGAGAGAAATAACGAGATTCGATGTTCCGTATTTTTTCAGAGGGTGCCACGATGCCTTCGAAACTTCTCCGTGCACGTGTTCGAGAACCGTGGGGTCGCGCAAGCCCTGGCAACGTGTGTCGTCTTTCTCACCTTCGTCACGGCTCTCTCACCGCTGGTAAGCTCTAAACGTAGTAGTACGTTCAAACTCTCAACCGGAAATGAAAATAAATACAGTAAAGTAACATGCTGTCGAATGAACACTGGTGGAATTAATTCTGGACACTTTGAATAAAAATATTCTTTATTTCATATTTCTGCAGAAATATGCTAAATATTTTTATTGTAATCTATTGTTACGTCGCGAGCGAGATACGGCGCGCGGCGTACAAAATAAAAAAAAAAGAAAATTAATAAATGGTTGAGAACGGTATTAGCGCTGCCACCAATCCTAATCGCTCGTGACGATGTTGGATCACTCACGATTAGAACAATAAAAGAGTTGTTAGATAAGTTAATAGATTAATTTAGAGATTAATCGGGTTCGTCAATGCTCTAGTCCCATACGGGCCCCTCGTATGAATTTGTGCGAAGATGGTAAGCGTTAAAATGAAGGAAAGGAAGTGTTTGAAACGTAAATGAATTAAAACTAGTTAGGTGTAACAAAAATATAATTTCGGAAAAATAAGCGTAATAATAAGGTGGTTAGTTAACAGGAAGTACGAGCTGCTTGAAATACAAAAGAAAAATATATATGTTATAAAGAAAGTATAAGATTATATGAAAATGAAACTATTGATTATTGGATGAATTAGAATTTTGATTAAATAATTCGATGATTCGAGCAACGACGTTCGGCGAAGAATTAAGCGCGAAAAGAAAGAAAGAACGGTCTCAGAGGGTATATTACCAGAGCCACGGTTTCGTGGGGCCGTCTTCTTTGCGTGTGAGTCGGAATTTATTTGATAAAGTTAATATTCGATACCTTGAGTCGCTGTACTGAACGGAACGATCTAAAGGGAAATTTTCCAGAATACGCGGTTTCGTAGATCGCCCGTTTTGCCTCACTACATCCAGATTCGTCGTATTGGATAGAAATGAAATGGACAACTTACAAGGAAGATGTAAAAATAGTATCTGATAATACTTTGAATTATTCGCTTGCTTAATCGCTGGTGTCGTCTAGAATCTGGAAGTCAAAGAAGAGGTGAGAAAACTGCCACTTGCACTACGCGTTCGCGATCTGCCTTTTGTTACGGTATTACGGGACGATTAATTACAAAACGAATACAAAAGTATTTTCAAAACGACGCGACGCGGAAAAAGAAGGAAAATAATAATTAATTTAGCGGACGGTTTAAAAACAAAAGAGAAAAGATAGATCATTGAAAAGTGTGAAAAGAATTTAACGTATTCGTATGAGTCCTTTACGCGGAAAACGCGAACCGCAATCTCCCGGCACTCTGCCTTTTTCAAGGACTTTACCGGTCAGCTAATTACGACGATTTCACGCGAAAACTATTGCTCGACGCGAACATGGGCTCTCCGCCACGTACTTCACGATTTTTCGATGAAGAGTGATTTGCCTCAGTCAAGCGACCGTGTCTCAGGGTTCGACCCGCGATCATGGGCCCAAAGTGGGGGCATCATTTGGCAAATCAGGGTACGTGTCGAAGGGGAAATCTCGTGCGTATTGGGTTAGTTGGCCGCTCTTCTTAGTTCTCTCATCCCTTCCTGACCTTTCTTTCTGCCTTCGTCTAAATTGTCCATTTCTTTCTACCCCTCTAACGCTACGCGGATTTCATGCGTCGCAATTCTAAAGTTTCTGGAATATTCGAGATCTACTACGACTTGATTTATTCGAATTCGTTAATCAAAGAGGCTTTTACCAATGACATTTCCAGTATCGCAGAAGGTCTACGTTTTATTACAGATGTTTGATTTACTGGATCGAATGACTATTAGTTGAATACTGTTAATTATTCCGTTCTTATTCGTATTTTGGCGGTTTGCGTAAAACGGCAATCGGTGTTTTATTGTTATCGTTAAATCGCGGATCTATGCATATGGTTTGTTGCATTTATCTAACAGCAGACTCGCGTGTTAATTATTAACGATATACATATATTTGAAACGTGTTACGTTTAACGTTTCCTAGATGTTCGTTGCCGATATTTATTGCCTTAGTCGACCTGTTGTCTCGAACGTTCTTGAACGTCGGTCGACAATTTCAAACTACAGCGGTTATCAGGCAAACCCTCGCATTTTATAATCATTCAAACAGTTTCATTTCGTTCAATTCCAATCACTTTCGTTCTTAATCGCATTCATTCTTTGGTGGAAGGACCGGCATGCTTTGCAGGTAGGAGAGGTATTTCGTTTGCGAGGTAAAACAAAAATCGTATTTCCCTTATTCCGCGCGGTTAAGCTGGGAAACTTCCAAGTGCGTCGCACTGCTTAACCGCGTGGCGAAAGATGTTGATATTACCTCTCCTTAACCTTAACGATTTCGAATTTCTATATGTTTATTGCTACGCGGTTTCGACAAGGCAATCGTCCCAAGGAAGGTTAACTTCTTATTATTTGAAAAGAACTAATTATAGCCTCCTTTGTGTGCCTCGCCTGGGATTATCTCCAAGTGCTGCGCACCGACGAGGTACACAAATTCAGTATATTAAACGGTTAAGCTGTTCAACACTATCAGAAAGAAAATGAAAATGGATGTTAGCCACCGTCGGATTGTTGAAAATAATCCGAACGTAACACTATAATGTTTATATTTAATATTTTCATTCGATTTGGTTTGTAAATTTTTGAAGATTTTAATTAAAAAAAATCTAAACTGTGCTGTTATTGCATGATGTGAAATAGCCAATCACAGAATGAAATTAGTTTTTGTCTACCTCCTTTGATGTGTTGAAATTGTAATTTTTATTGTATATTAAATTTTTTTATATAAGCGATGCCCTAAAATTAGAAAATAATGATTAGAATATCAAATATTAAATAATTTGAATAAATGCGAAATAAAACGTGTCCAGAATTAATTCCACTGGTGTTAGTACGTGGAACGTAGTAATACGTCAACGTTCATAAAAAAGAAATTCTACCAACCGATACGAGTGTCATAAAATCTAATGAAAAATGCTGCACTACGATGCATCAGAATTTGACACGTGTATCCCACTCGACGTATTACTACGTGGATAGTCAGGAAGACAGGAGCGATCAGCGCGTTAACGATCAAACGCGTGGCTGCTATTTATCATCGGTGTCGTTGCACCGAAACGATGAATTTCGTGCAGTCCGAGGCAGTTTATGATTAATGAAACCGACCACGATCCTCTGATCCTCCGTGTTCGAGGAAACTGATGGATCGTTAGGCAAGAACGATGCAGACCGAGGAGTATACCGAAGAAGAAATAAAATCGATCAGTCTTCGTCTGTTTCTTTGGATCGTAGCTGACGCTCGAGGGTGGACGCGTTTGCAGCAACGGCACAGCAACGTTCCTCGAATGGCCGGATAATTCCAGCGTCACCTTCCAGGGTATCGATGCACCTGTCGATGTCTGCTACTACACCGTTTTCGCTGATGTAAGTTGATAGAAATGATAATAATACATAATAAGGGGTGTACTTCCGAAAGCGACAACCCTCCGATTTTTCTGAAATTTTCGCCGAAGCTTATCCTTGATTAGAGAGGAAAGTCCCGCAAAAGGATTTATAGCGACAAAGCCTCGTTTGCCCCCCAGCCCCATTCAAACTTTTGACAGTTCTTACTAAATATCTGCGAAAATATTGATTTTAGACAAAAAAGTTTGAAACAAAAAATGAAGCTCATAAAAAGCTCTACAAAAAAGGTTATACACATTTTTTACGTAAACCTATTATTTTGGCAAGCGAACTTCTTGGTGTCTGAAGGGGTATATCCCCCAGCGGTGGGGACAGGATCGACCCTGAGATTTCGGGGGTCCGAGGCGAGCTCCGAAATATGGCCCCTTCACATATATGACATAACAAAAAGTACCTGAAATAAAATTTATAAAATTAACATTAAAGCTTGTATACCTAATTAATATTCCATTAGACGCAAAATTGTCTTATGGGGGCCCTGGACCTTGGGGGATCCTGATCCTTGAGGGACCCTAGGCGGCCGCCTAGTCTGCCTAGGCCCAGGGCCGGCCCTGTTTAGACTAAAAATTCTAGAGTTAACGAAGACCCGATTCTACCATAATTAGGAATTTCCCTGGGGGGGTCCGGACCTAGGGTGACTCTGGACCTTGGGGGGCCCCAGGCGACCGCCTAGTCTGCCTAGGCTCAGGGCCGGCCCTGGACCTTGGGAGGCCCTAGGCGACCGCCTAGTCTGCCTAGACCCAGAGCCAGCCCTGGGTGGGGATGAGTTCTTCGCATTTATCGAATCTTTACTGAAATTCCAGGAAGAAAATTGGCTCAAAACCAGCTACAAAATATTTAAAATATATTATTTTTTCATTTGCACCTGTGCCTTGAAGATTAATACTGAACAAGTGATTTTGGTTCAATAAAACGAATTGTTATCTATGAGACTTGGTCTTTCCAGGATTACCCCTTTTTCTTTCAATTGTATTTAAGACTATCCTAAATTAATATTCCTAAATTTAATATTCTATCCTGATAATTACAGCTGTTCCCTGTGCTCGTGATGCTGGTCATGATCACCTGTGCTGTCTATCAAATCCTGACATCAGTGTTCAAAGTAGCTATACTGAGTTTGGTGGTGGCTACCTACTTCGCCATTAGCATCCACGAGGCTTTGAACGAGAAGGACGTCGAACTAACTGGACGGTGGTTGGCAGGTGTTCTGGTGGTTTTCTTCATGGCTTGCCTGGTCGCACACTCTCAACACACTGAGGCTACTTACAGGCAAGGAACATTTCTCACCTCCTGCAACATTTCACAAACAAATTAATTAATTCCTTTTGCCCAAGTTCTTCTTCAATTAATTCTAACATTAAATCTAACTTTTAAACTTTCCTCAACATTGCACAGAGTTTAATTTAAATGGAAGCTGAGGAATTTTAACTTGATCACCTAAGATAATTTAATTTTAATGGCAAATGAAGATTAATGTCCCCTCGGATTATTTTTCGACGAATAAAAAAGTGATTTGAATGTTGATCGATCGTTCTGACGAATGAACGCAGACTGGACTTTCTGTGGAAGCTTCAAGCGACGGAGGAGAAGGAGGAAATGGAGCACCTGAAGGCCTACAACCAGAAACTCCTGGCGAACATTCTCCCAGAACACGTGGCTGCTCACTTCCTCTCCACAGTGAACTCTGATGTAAGAAATCATTTACAGTTATAACAATTATACAACTTACAATTTTCATTAAACTTGAAACTTTAAACTAACATACCCCCCAGCGGTGGGAACAAGGCGGGCCTTGAGATTTCGGGGATCCGAGGCGAGCTCCGAAATAGGACATTAAAAAAGTACCTGAAATAAAATTTATAAAATTAACATTAAAGCTTGTATAACTAATTAATATTTCATTAGACGCAAAATTGTCTTATGGGGGCCCTGCACCTTGGGGGATCCTGGACGTTGGGGGGCCCTGCACCTTGGGGGATCCTGGACGTTGGGGGGCCCTGGACCTTGAGGAGCCCTAGGCGACCGCCTTGTCTGCCTAGGCCCAGGGCCGGCCCTGTATAGAGTTAAAATTCTAGAGTTAACGCAGACCCCATTCTGCCATCATTAGAAATCCCCTTGGGGGGGCCCTGGACCTAGGGTGACCCTGGACCTTGGGGGGCCCTAGGCCCAGGGCCGGCCCTGTCTAGAGTTAAAATTCTAGATAGATTAACGGATTAACATACTATCTTGCAATATTTTTATATCATGGAATTCTGAATCATTTAACACACATCTCTAAGGTTTGCACTGCTGTCGCATGTTTTAATTAATCTGAAAGAACATGAAAACGTTGAAAAACATTGAAGATAAATAAGAACCGTACAAAGTTGCGTCAAGAGTATTCAAACACCGAGAAGAGTGCAAATAGTGGATTTCATAAGCAAGAATCTCAGATGATAAAAACTGACTCGTCTAAGTGGTTTCTGGTAAAATAAACATTTTCCAGGAGCTGTACCACGAACAGTGCGATTTCGTTTGCATAATGTTCGCATCGATACCGAACTTTTCCGAGTTCTACGTGGAACTGGAAGCGAACAACGAGGGAGTCGAGTGTCTCAGGCTTTTAAACGAGATCATAGCCGACTTCGACGAACTCCTCGCCGAGGAGCGGTTCAAATACATAGAGAAAATCAAAAGCACCGGCGCCACGTACATGGCCGCTTCCGGTGAGCTAATTTAACAATTAATTTTCTTAAATGTAAGCGCAGTATTTATAGGGGCGAAGTTTTGACCAAATTTTCTCGGATTTCTTTCCGCAGGACTGACGAGGAGCGCCTGCGACATGAAAGATTACAAGCACGTGACCGCGATGGCGGAATACGCGATCAGGATACGGGAACAGCTGGCCTCCGTTAATGAACACAGCTTTAACAACTTCCGGTTGCGTGTGGGCATCAATATTGGACCGGTAACGTCAATCAATTTCCCCGAGCTATCACGGTGCCACCGAGAAACCAAATTAGCCCGAATTTTCCATCAAACTTTCGGTGGGGATATAATTGAAAATTAACGCGTGACAAAATATCGCACCATTTTGGAGAAAGAATATTTAATCCAAAATTCGCCCTCTTAACAATTTGACCCTGAGTATATTCAAAATTTAATCTTATTTAACCCTTAACATACCAAGGGCCCCGAAGAACCCCATAGAGTGATTTTTGGTGACTCTGTCGTAATTGTACCAACAAATTTATTCATTTTTATATGTGTCCAGGACCCATTTAAGATAAATATTACATAATTAGTGCTATAAAACGTTCGCTCAAAAATATAAAAAATATATAAAAACACACTTGGGGCTCCGGCAAAGCCCTGGTTGGAATACTACGTTACATATTTGGATTGATTTATTTCTTGTTAAATGCATTGGCGTTTATGGCATAATAATATGGTGGTGAGCCCCCCCCCCCCCCCCCCCCCCCCCCCATTTATGACCAGGCGGTTCCCTCGACTTTGAAATAAAAAGGAGCTGCTATCCTTAGGCCCAGGAAAGCGCGTTCGCCGCAGCCAACAATGCTTATTTAACTTAAATATATTTTTAAACACCCAAGAACCTAATTTGAGTAACCTTCCACACTAAAATGTTGAGAAATTTTAAAAATACCTTGGGGTCTTCAGGAGACCCCGCTTGGTAAGTTAAGGGTTAAATCTTGTCTATTACTTCCACTATTTCTAATTAGATAAATAAAAGAATTCCTAATAATATGGGTGCTGGATTCCTATGGAAATTTCAGCATCATTCATATATTAATTACATTTAAGCTTAACAATGAAAACTTAAAAAAACATTCTGTTTATCATGTAGGTCGTTGCCGGGGTGATAGGCGCCCGAAAGCCGCAGTACGATATTTGGGGTAACGCGGTAAACGTGGCCTCGAGAATGGAGTCGACCGGTGTCTTGGACGGGATTCAGGTCACCCAGGAAGTCCGTGATATCCTGATCGGTAAAGGATATCCTCTAACCTGTCGTGGCAGCATTCAGGTGAAAGGCAAGGGCAGCATGGTCACCTATTTCCTCGATGGACCTCGAAATTCAACCGCCAACAACGAACTCAAGATGAACAACGATAACAATGTGTGAACAATTGCTCCTGGAACAAGCTAGAAAACGCTGAAAGTAATCAATTAAGTGATCAATGAAGTGTTTAATGAAAATTTATAAAATTCAACATAGAGATATTGAATGATTGCTGAAGCAGTCTTTGGAAAACTTGGGTTACATTTATGTAGAATGAATTTCATTTCTCCTCTTTCTACAGTTCTATTATTCTTCAGATGAATATTGAACAAAATGAAGAATTAAACATGAGAAACAGTAGCTGAAAAACTTTCTTCCACGTATCTTGTCCAGAGTCACAGGATACCTGTACTTAAATCATGAGGAATGATTTTCCATGTGGTTTCTATAGGGAGATTCGCATTTGCCGTGTCCACGGTTCTTCTAGTCAATAAAAGGGAAATAAAGCCGACAAGGGAAGCTCGATACAACGAAACCGTGGCTGAATTCTTCGTACGAGGGATTTCTTTGAGAAAAGGAAACGGGACCACGGTGTGTTTTCGCGGAACGAAAGCAAAGGGAATTTGAAATTTTCGCGCGGTTGGAACGAGAAGCAAAGACTCGACTCTATTTTTACATTTCTCTCTCTGAATCCGTCGACAGAAAGATGGATCTCGTATTATTTCGATATTCTAAGCAACAATAATTTATTTAGGTTAATTAGTGATGTGCGGCCGGACTATTCGGGTCGGTTCGGAAAACATCGGGCAGCCGATACATGCAGTCGAGTAGCCCGACTGTTTCGGGTCAGGTCGGGTAAAGTCGGGAGGATTCGGACGAGCTCTCGCGGACCGCGGTCCGCGACCTGATTCTTATGTTGGCAATTCGAATTTTTCCGAATACGTAGGTTGGCATCAAAATTTCCGTAGAATTCCAGAGATCTTGTTTTTAAAAGTCCGTAGATCTACGGACTTTTCAAATAGAATAAAAACTTCGTTTTTGGAAGGACCATTTTCAGCAATAGATACATCATTTTCATTATCAGAATCACTGATGTACATTTTAAACATTTTCTTTTTTGCTAAATTTTTTCTCACGAATTAATAAAATACCACAGCGAATAAAATGTAAAAATGGCTTCAAGTCATTGTTTTGTTTGTAAACACGATAAACATTTTAGTTTGTGTTTGTGCATCCGCCACAAGGTGGCAACAGCGCTTGAAGTGCTACTAACAATAATATAATAGATATTTTCTTTTTAAATTATTTTCAATAAGACCGCAAGTTATAAACTCAAAAATTTGTACTAAAAATAATTACCTATAATTCATTATAATAAATAATAATTAATTGCGATAATAAGTTAGTTTTGTACTCTAAAGTACACAAAAAGTAAATGAATTTTCATAGGAACTGAATTCCGTAGATTTTAACTAAAATTCCGTAGATCCGTAGATGATAAAAAAATTCCGTAAATCTACGGAAAATTCCAAAGAATTGGCAATAAGCAGTCGCAAAATCTGTTTTATGTGGAATTTTGGAACAAGATAATTTTTATGTGGAAAAATAATACTTGTAACGAATTTATTTGAAATGAATTTCATTCCATGCCACCTGTATGTTCATTTTATACAAAACAGATTTTGAACATGCTTATTGCAAGCATTAACAAGTACACGAGATTCGGGTCGCGGACCGCGGCCCGCGGGAACTCGTCCGAATCTGCCCGACTTTATCCGACCTGACCCGACTGCGCGCATGCGTCGGACAGACGCCCGAGCGCGCCCGATTTTTACCGAGCCCACCCGAGGCCGTAATATCGGGTACCCGCGCATCCCTAACGTTAATAAAAAATATTTGTCCGCGCACAGGATGTACGAGAATGAATACCGATAACGTAAACGTATTACTACGTTCCTTCGCATAGTGTCGTGATGAATGTAACAATTAGTCAATTCAACTGGAACCTTGGCTTATAGAGCGAGACTACAATTAAATGTTCATATTTTGATGTTGCTGGCAGGTCCAGCTGTTAATAGATGTTAATTCTACGTAAAAGACCATGGGCCATCAATGAGAATCAAAATGATAATATTACTAGATCCTTTGATCCTATATCATAATCATAATTGAAAAATTATCGTTGCTTTGTTGAGGTATATAGTTGCAAGCTCTATTTTATTGCCATCAGCTCCCAGTTTTAGAACATTCCACTAATTTGCTGTGATTGATTCCCTGTTTTTCATCCATAAAACAATCTCTTATTAAACTATATTGAACGCACAATTTTCTTTCTTGCAAAGGGATCAAAGTGTCTGTAAAAGAAAGTTAATCATATCAAAAGTTAATCACATGCAAAATGTATAGTCTTATCAGAGCCTAAGGATGTGTTAGCTTTTTAAGTATTATTCAAACAAGAATTCAAAAGCTATTATTGGCCAGTGTTGTAGAAATCCTTTGCCAACTTCTGTCTAAATTCTGGAAAAAAAGAAGTTCTTTTTCTTAAATGTTTCTGCAATACTCGTCTATAATGGCAGAATGAAACGGAGTCAATTGGTGAGAAAGCAAGAAGGAGAGAAATATTTTGCCAACGATCTAGGAACGTAACTGTTACTCTATCTCCATCCTTCGTGTAATCTCGATGGCCTAAATTGAACTTTAAGTCTCTACCGAACCATGTCTGTACACCATAGAATATATTCGCGCGATGTGATTTGTCAGGAATATAATGTGAAATAAATTTTTAAGAAAAGAAACGAACAATCAATTCCACAAACGTTCAATCCATCTCCTTACATTCTAATTTCAAATTCAAACGAGCTCCCTAAAGTTACCATTCCACTTCCCTGCTGTGTCTTTAACAGTTCAGGGTTGGCACTGGTTAGTTACTAGCGCGGTCGATAACAGCTCTCTGGTAAAAGAGTGGAAAAGCACGTGGTACGCCGTTTCTGCTGGCATTCTCTTTCAGTTCACCGGTTGTACGACATGGTTTCAAGAGATACGGATCAATACATCCACGAAACATCGACTTGTAACAGAAAAACTCTTCCTTCTAATGGCTAACAACACGTGAAAGGTCAGTTAAACTTAATACATTGAACTTAGTGGCTAACTAAATGTAATAAACACTGTTCATCATCAATAATAATTGGCAATAAATTAAATGGTCAGTATTTAAATCCATTTTTGGTTATTATATAATCAAATTTCGGTCAGTATTTTATTATTAAAATGGTCAGTATCAAAATACTAAACGGTTAGGTTAGGTTAGGTTAGTACATGAAGGTTAGGTTAGTATGGAAGGATACTGACCAGTAAAATACAAGCCATAATAATTTGGAGCATTCTATTTAAAATGTTAGAAATAAAAAAAATAGTATATAGAAAATAAAAAATTTAGTTTCAATTTATTTAGATTTAATTCAATCATAAAAGAATCCTTGAAAAACTTATTGTCAGTCTTTGAAAAGACCTAATGTCTTCATTGAATAATTGTTGAGAAATGCTCCAAACTATGGGTTCAGGTCACTTATTCAATGAAACGAGTTCATTGAACGAACGAGTATTGCAAGTACTGACACGTTTAAAAGGCTGTACATAATTTACAATATGTTATTGAAATCTTAAGCATTGTCGCAGTATTCATTCTTAATCACAATGATCTGTGTCTTCGAAAACAGGAATAGATTGCCGAATGTGGTAAAAATTTATCAGCGGCTAAGGTTAACAATAAAACCATGATAACGAGCTTGACTGATAAGTGAAAGCAGTCAGTCAGTCAGACAGTACGTTTATCAACGCAGTCGTTCAACTTTTCTCGATAGAAACGAAGAGAAAATTCGTAGCTCCTTTCTAAATGGAAGTTTCATTAAATGTAAATCAAAGTGTTGAGAAGGAAAACGGGAGCAGTTCGTTGAAATTACATAATTGTCTACTATCCGATAGACGCTATTTTCTCTATCATTGCATCAGAAACAATTTGTCGAAGAATTTCGAGCAGCTTGACCAAGAAACATAGATATAGTTAGCGTTGGAACGTCGTTGAAATTCAGAAAATAATGCTTCGTGATAAGTGGATAAGTCACGCGAGACTATTGGAAGCAATTTGAGAACTCTTTCAGTGCCATTAGCACGTTACGAATTCTATAAGTATTCAGCTAATTATTTTACTAATTATAATGTTCCCTTAGCTTCTAATATTTATTTGAATCGACTGTATATCCTCGATTCGTATTACGCTTAATTTTTACTATTATCAATATTATTATCAGGGCCGAACCTGAGATTTCGGGGGTCCCAGGGGAGCTCCTTCACATGTATGACATAAAAAGTAGCTCAAATAAAATTTATAAAATTAACATTAAAGCTTGTATAACTAATTTAGATTAATATTCAAGTAAATATTATGGGGGGGGGGGGGGGGAGGCTGGACCTCGGTGGGGCCCTGGACCTTAGGGGAGAGGGCCTGGACCTTGGTGGGACCCTGGACCTTAGGGGAGAGGACCTCGACCTCGGTGGGGCTCTAAACCTTAGGGGAGAGGGCCTGGACCTCGGTGGCGCCCTGGACCTTAGAGGAGAGGGCCTGGACCTCGGTGGGGCTCTAGACCTTAGGGGAGAGGGCCTGGACCTCGGTGGGGCCCTAGACCTTAGGGGAGTGGGCCTGGACCTCGGTGGGGCCCTGGACCTTAGGGGAATGAGCCTGGACCTCGGTGGGGCCCTGGACCTTAGGGGAGAGGACCTCGACCTCGGTGGGGCTCTGGACCTTGAGGGGCCCTAGGCGGCCGCCTAGTCTACCTACGCCCAGGGCCGGCCCTATCCACAGTTAACGAAGACCCCATCATTCTGCCATAATTAGAAATCCCCTGAGAGGACCCTGAACCTTGGGGGGCCCTAGGTCTACCTAGGCCCAGGGCCGGCCCTGATTACTATACAATATTTGCTAATATTTTCTATTCTTAAAAAATGGAATGCATCCATTGGGAATGGTACCCACAACCTTTGGGTTTGTAGTCCGTTACCTTACCAACTTCGCCACCGTCGAACAGGATCTCCTTCTCCTTCCATGCGTCCTTGAATGCCACGTGGGTCGTCGATTACAGGCGCCACAAATCCAATAGCTCCGATAACTGAAAGAATAGAAAGGGATTAATGAAAATTCCACATAGCATTTACACTATCACTATCATTTTTAATTTCATCCTTGTGATAAGTATTATTACATACACAAAATATGATTTTAATATGGCTTTAAATTCATGATGAACCTTCGTCTGGTGTTTGCAGGAAAGGCGATCATTTCGCGTCATTTCTGCACATTTTTCACGACCTCAGCAGTCGTGAAATCTTGATGAGGAATCAAAAGTGCAAGTAGTATTAAACGCAGGCTTACGTATCGCACGCAACGATGATCACGTGAAACGATCCATCCAGAGTGATCTCTTAGCAATCACAAAACAAACAGCAGTTATGAAACAACAGGTAAATGGAAGAACATCATCCGAGAGCAAATATAATTTCCACATGAGAGATAGTAACAAAGAATGTTTAAAAAATGTTAGTATACGTAACCCGTGAAGTTGATTAATTTAATTGCTAATCTAAAAAGTATATCTATCTCCATTTCTCTTAGGGTGATAGCGAGATGACCCACAGGAAATGGAGGAAGTACTTCGAATGGGTGGACAAGGTGTCGGTGGAACCAACTATGTGGTTGTATATGATGGCGTTCATGATTACTTCGGTAGTGGAACAAGCATTCTTCGTTTACAAATCCTGTCGCGTTGATCATGGTTACTCCGAGGAGGTCTGTGCAAGATTGAACGACAACGAGACTATCAAAGCCAAAGTGCAGGTATTTTGCAACTTTTTACAAGTCTAACACAAGCATTCTTTAATGAATAACAAAATATTTTCTCGAGTACGCACTTGAGATAAAACACGACAAACAAGTATCTTAGAAATTATGTAATTTCATTTTACTGCTGTTTATTTCTTTCCCAGAGATTCCTCTTATCGCAGTGGCAGGCAACGTAAATTTTCAAAAGAAAAACACAGGGCCGGCCTAGGGCCCTCCAAGGTCCAGGGCCCCCATAAGACGATTTTGCATCTAAGAATGCAAATCTAAATTAGTTATACAAGCTTTAATTTTAATTTTATAAATTTTAATTGAGATTCATATATGTCATATATGTGAAGGGGCCCCTAGGACTCCCGAAATCTCAGGGCCGGCCCTGTTGAAAGGCCATATTGCAATTATTCTAAATTTAAAATTGCAATTGTTAATGATGCTTTGAAAGGCAGGGCCGGCCCTGGGCCTAGGCAGACTAGACGGCCGCCTACGGCCCCCATAAGACGATTTTGCATCTAAGAATGCAAATCTAAATTAGTTATACAAGCTTTAATTTTAATTTTATAAATTTTAATTGAGGTTCATATATGTCATACATGTGAAGGGGCTCCTAGGACCCCCGAAATCTCAGGCCGGCCCTGTTGAAAGGCCATATTGCAAATATTCTAAATTTAAAATTGCAATTATTAAAGATGCTTTGAAAGGCAGAGCCGGCCCTAGACCTAGGCAGACGAGGCGGCCGCCTAGGGCCCCCCAAGGTCCAGGGCCCCTATAAGACGATTTTGCATCTAAGAATGCAAATCTAAATTAGTTATACAAGCTTTAATTTTAATTTTATAAATTTTAATTGAGGTTCATATATGTGAAGGGGCCCCTAGGACCCCCGAAATCTCAGGGTCGGCCCTGTTGAAAGGTAATATTGCAATTATTCTAAATTTAAAATTGCTTTGAAAGGCAGGGCCGGCCCTGGGCCTAGGCAGACAAGGTCCAGGGCCCCTATAAGACAATTTTACGTCTAAGAATGCAAGAGTAATGTTTACTTGGATATTAAGGACACAGATTCCTTGTGCCATGACCTGTATATGTGTAGAGAGCCCCCCTAGGACCCCCGAAATCTCAGGGCCGACCCTGGGGAAATACAGTATCTAAAAGATAAATAAATGGTTCCAGGTGACCGTGTCGGAGTTCCACCAATGGAACAACATAGCCGGCCACGTGGTCCCTATAATACTGGCTCTGTTTTTTGGGAACTGGAGCGATCGGCGTGGACGAAAACTGCCAATGATTCTAGGCTTGCTGGGCAAGTTCGTTTATTCCTTTATGGTGGTAATCAATTCCATGGTGGATAGCTGGAATCTAAACACCGTGGTGTACACTGCTAGCCTCCCTATGGGGATGCTGGGCGGTGATGTAGCTATTTTCGGTAGCTGTTTTGCTTACATATCGGATATATCCTCGGTTCAACAGAGAACCCTTAGGATCACCATTTTGGACATCGTATATCTCAGCACTATGCCAACAGGTATGCTTTGAATTTCATCAATTTTGAAGAATTCTATCAGAATCTAAGAAATTTTTATCTCTTTCAGGTGTGGCTCTAGGTTCCTACCTGTACACGAAGGTGGCTAACTCGTCCTACTCGATTATGTTTACAATCAACGCGAGCCTGTTAGCTCTAGCAATCATCTACTCGATAATTAGACTGAAATGGCAAACGTTGCCTCAGCAGCAGCCTCTTTCAGGAACCAATTTGTTGACAGACTTCTTCGATAAGAAACACGTCGTGGCGACGATGAAGACTATGACCAGGCGGAGGCCAAATCATGGGAAGCTTCGTCTGTGGCTTCTCTTAACTATCATGATGCTGTACACGTTCCAAAGGGACGAGAAACCCATGAGCTTTTTGTACACTCAGCTGAAGTTCAAGTGGGACGTGGCGAAATTCAGCGATTTTAAGACATTCCAGTCTACCACCTTCGTGCTAGGTCAGTTGTGTAGACTGAAGACGAGGAAAATTGTCTATTAGAGATTTTGCGAGCTTCCATTATTAGCCAAGGAATGGAATTTGAAATTTTTATAAAAACAGGAATATTCATCTGAAATATAATTTCCTATCAATTCAAGTGAAAGGTGGAATTCTCCTCTCTGAAAGAGAAACTTTCACTAGCATAGATTTCTCTGTGCCAACAAATATACTCTAATACCCGTTTCTATTTTAGCAATGTTAATTGGGGTACCAGTGATGAGCAAATTAATGGGGATAAAGGACACCATAATTGTGGCAATTGGAGCCATTGCTCATGCAGCAGGAAGGGTCTTATTTGTTTTAGCTAATGTACCAGAACTGTTTTACGTTGGTAATTAAAATTTAAACATACCAAAAAATGTCCTTCCAGAAGACTTTGTTGTAACAAATGAACTGCTCCGTTTTAGGTGCTGCTGTGGCTGCATTGGGTCCAGTTGTGGCTCCAGTATTAAGGTCGATGACCTCAAAACTGGTCCCTGTTGAAGAAAGAGGTACGTATTTTTAAAATACAATCATTTGATAAAATTTACAAATGTTAATTATTGCTTGCAGGCAAAGTATTCGCTATGTTATCAGTATGTGACAACGCTGTACCTTTATTCAGTGGAATTTTATACTCCCAACTTTATAACGCGACGATAAACACAGCACCAAGTTCCATTTATTGGCTCACATTCTTTACTCAAATATTGGTGCTGCTTCTCATCTTGTAAGTAAAACAGTACTTCAGAGAAATTTCCAGAGAATTTTAAGATACCTTTCTTTTCAGAATAATTCATTTTTTTATGAGAAACGATCTCCAATTGGAGGAGCAGGAATTCACGAACACAGAAACTGACTGCCGGTCACTGTCTTCCACAGTGGAAACTGATAAATCAAACAGTAATGAAGAAAAATACTAAGTTTTATAGTAGTATAAATTATATGGGCATCCTTTGAGGAACAGTGGCCAATCAGAACGCGCAGAATTCGCGGGCTCAGACGCGATGGGTTTTCTCGCGCATGCGCGGCGATTTTAGCATTAGTATAGTAGAAGTTTCAATAAAATGGGGTACCTTAATCACCCTGCATAATTTTGCAAAAATTGTTATAATCTGATTGTGAAGAATTCATAGTTTTCCTTTTCGGGGGTATAGGAAAGGGATGAGTACTAAAATAATTGTAAATAAAAACTGACTAGTGACTAGGGCCTAGTCCGTAGTTGCGGCACCACATAGACACGTCCCTGTAAAACTCGCGCCTGACACTACGGCGGCTGCGCATGCGCGCCATCCGCATATGTGCTATGCGCATGCGCATTTTCCTCACTCGGTGTCTTTTTTTTAAATAATTCCAAAACTAAGCCTTGACAAGTATTTCAATAAAGGAAAAAGTTGTTCAGAATCATGCCAGCTACCACCCCTTCAAGGGATGTCCACCCCCTTAAAGGATTACAATAGTTTTAAGACGCTCGTTTATAAGGCGAAATACCAGGCTGTATTTTACCTAGATTTATCGTGTTGGAAAGAAACTTATTGTTATATTTTGTATAATATACAATAATCCTTCAATTTTCCTTTTAATTTCAAACAATTCCTATCTAACAATCCTGTATGAAAATTTCATATTCTGAATTAATGATCCATCAGAAAAGTTGCCAAAAAACAAATATATATAGCAATTATTCTGTAACTCTAAATAAAGCACCAGTGACGTAAACTATAATTTTCTTGTGCGTTCAAAATGATCGTTCATGAATAAAAGATCAGTGAATGAATCACACAGATCTATGGTAATTGTTATTAAATATGATTGTTTTTCTCGCGAACGAAATCACGTCAGAGCAGAAGAAATTCGCGTCCATTTTTTTTTTACTTTATTTTTCATCTGGTTCGTGTGACGAATGAGAAACCGAGTATCAACTTTCGATGAAATAAATTGCTATTCAACGCGTGTGGAAGTGAAGCGTGTCAAGGACCTTGAATGATTGTTTACGGTTTAGAATTCTCAACGTACAGGTTTTCATCACGGTCCACCTTCGTTGGAAAACAGATTTTTCGTTGCATCGATTCCTTTGATACACGATATTGCTTTGGAATTTGACCAACGCGTTTACCGACATTTTGCGGAATATAAAACACAAATAAATTGTAACTCTACTGGAATTTTTTCATTTCAAAAAATCTGATCTCTCGGTAAAATCTTCATTGCGATTCAGCTGACCAAATTTCGCAAAAGTCTGCATTCCTCTGATCCCACAACAAGTAAGTCACGTTGCATAACTATCTCTATATCGTGTAACATTTATGTAACCACCTCCATCTCCAGATGACGAAAAGATTTTTAATTAAGCGTTACACGTATCTAAACAAACGTTACAGCTACAACAGAAAATGTTTATTCAATAGCAAATTAAATTCATATAGACTTATAAAACTTTTGGAATATAGAAAATTTAGATTATAAAGGTTTAATACGATTCTCATCACGTAAATTACTTTAAAATTCCAGTAGTTTGTGTTAGCTTTGTAACCCCTGTAGGTTCATCATTTATGTACTTTAATTAAACCCGATTGTACACTTCCAGAGTAGGTGTGATGGAATTAAATGTGGAATATTCCTTGCATACAAATTACAATTTCTAATTCATCCCTCTTGGCTTAACGATTTCCATGCTGTAGTAAGTTTCAAATTTTCTTAAGCCTTCATTTCAACCCCTTCAACTCGAAATTCTATTTCATTCCTACGTTTAACCCTATAATTCCTTTTTTTGAAACTCTGTCTCATATTCGAACATGATTAACTTCTCATCAAACCTCTTGAATTTTGACAAGATTATCTAATAATAATTGTATCTGAATCCCTTAATCGCTCGGAATCAATAATAAGCTTGTAACAGGTACGGTTTATTGGAGCAACAATCAACTCGACCATTTCGTTAAGCTGATATTAATTAAACGATAAAAAGTTCATGATCACAGGAACACAGTTATCTCGTTAATCGTAAGTCAAACAATTCATCGATCATGTGAGCAGAAAATGGTCAAGTTTAATCATTCTCAAGTGCGTGTAATACACAATGACTCGGTAAACGGAAGAAATACAATCTAATTGATCAACAATCCTTTCATTCAGACTGATTCGGTTTACTGTTCGCATTATGCAACGAAATTTTAAATATCTCTAAACAGGTGCCAGTGATGGCGTTAGAAACCTTAAAGATTGTATAATAACTACAGTGGGTCCAAAAAGTATTTGTACATCATTTAAAATTGGACCAAATAACTTGAGGTTTCTCGAGAAGCTATACAAATTAATTTAATAAGATATGTGCTTTCGTCGTTTTAGAAAATTACAATTTGTTGAAATCGTGGAAAAAAATAGTAAAGGATAATTTTTCTACTTTTTTATGTAAGCCTATAATGGATATTTAAAATATGTCTCGTAGGTTCAAATAAGTTGTGGGTATGCTAAAAATTTTAGTAATTAATTTCCGAAAATTGCGACTTTTCATCAGGGGCGGCCCTGAGATTTCGGGGGTCCGAGGCGAGCTCCAAAAAAGGGCCCCTTCACATATATGACATAACAAAAAGTACCTGAAATAAAATTTATAAAATTAACATTAAAGCTTGTATAACTAATTAATATTCCATTAGACGCAAAATTGTCTTATGGGGGCCCTGGACCTGGTGGAGCCCTGGACCTGGGGGGGCCCTGGACCTTAGGGGGGTCCTGGACCTTAGGATGGCCCTGGACATTAAGGGGGCCCTGGACCTTAGGAGGGCCCTGGACCTTGAAGGGGCCGTAAGCGGCCACCTAGTCTGCCTAGGCCTAGGGCCGGCCCTGCTTTTCATCTAAAAACATAACTAGTTATGTTCTTAGATGAAAAGCCAAGATTTTTGAAAATTATAATTATTTGTAACTTCTAAGTGCATTGACCAATCTTGATGAAATTTTCAGCATACACATAACATACTTAAATTTATAAATGTGATATTTTAAGTTTTCATTGCAAACTCAGATAAAAAAGTTAAAAAATTGCCTTTTACTATTTTTTTCCCAACGTTGACAAATTGTAATTTTTTAAAACGACGAAAGCACATATATTAGTAAATTAATTTGTATAGCTTCTCAAGGAACCTCAAGTCACTTGGTCCCATTTTAAACGAGGTACTCTGTTTTAAATGGTTTACAAATACTTTTTGGACCCACTGTATCTAAACATCATGTGAATGTGACTGGGATTTCCTCGAAGCATCATACGGGCAGTATATCTCTTATGACATTAACTATGACCTACATAAATGTCCACCTCTTAAAAACCGTCGGCTATAAAAGTCTGGAAACATTTTGCAAATGTAACCTGTCTGATCTCGACGATCTACCAACAGACGACTTTCAATCCAATTCTTCATCATGGTAACGAAATCACGCATATTTCTTTCTCCTTTACTAAGTGTACTGTTTAGTAAGCAACGATTGTACGTTTTTAAAAGCAATCTTTACCAACAATAAGGGAAAGCAAATCGAACGATGGGAAAATAGTAGACACAGTTCCTTCTCGTTTATTGCAGAATTTCAAACGATTCGTTCAATCTGAACACTTCCTTACTGCTGAAAGATTGCTTCTCCATTTGCCGCAATTTGCATTATTAAAATGACCGTTGTAGCGCAGTTTGGCGGGCTTTGTAAAGTTGGCGAAGAGGGATTAAGAGGGAAGAAGCTTTGTGCAAGGAACTCGCGAACTTACTCGAACGTTGTTTGCTACTTTCAAGGCTCGAGCAACTTTGTAATTCCTTACACTTCCAGCGAAATCCTCCTTAATTGTGATTTTCAACATGCAATAGTACCTCGTGCTTCGTGTTAGCATATCATTTTGATTATTCTAATTCAAATTCAAAAATCAAAAGATTTTTTATTATTTTACAATTCACAACTCATTATCAATTCAACTTCCGAGCTGTCCTTTTTAAACTTTGATCACGTGACCTTGGACGTCAGCGATTAGCTGTGTCGCTGGCTTAAACAGGACACCCCGGAAATTGAACGTTGGATCTTGAATCAATTATATCTCGGAAACGGAACTGCACATTGCAATCTGGCGAAGGACTTAATGAAAAGATTATTCGTCAAGCTAATTGATTCTTAACCCCTCTTATTCCTATTCTTATCATATAATTATAATTATCCAAAGGATTGGAATAATATACATATTCTAAAATATTCGCAGGAATCTTTAAGAAGAGTCTTTACCATCTTCATAGCAATCTTTTGCGTGTTTGCATCGATGATCGCTATCGAGGCAGCTACGCGCGCTGTTCCATCAGGGGCTATAACAGCGTATCCCATTCCTCAAAGGCCGCCGTATGCACCGCATCCTTGGGTCTATCCGAAGCCAACCACTCAATCCACTCCTCAATGAACATTTCTATCCAATTTAGTTGGAAAGATGGGAAGAATGCTGCAGATGTAATCCTTACTGCCGGGATTCGTTCTGTAATAATTACAAGTTTGCTGTAGTTTCGTAATACGATATTGATTTAGTATGTTTTTGTCATTGAAATTCTCTGTACAGAATTACGCAGCGCGACGCGAACGTTGTGAATCCTATTTTTAACCAAAGATTTAATGTTTTATGATTAAACAGAAATTATATATATTTTGTTTCAATATTAAGGATATTATAAATAAAACATGCTTACCGTATTTCTATTTATGTCGTATTTTATATTTTGTCTTCCTCAATCCTACGATTCAAAAAAGCCGTTAAACAAAATGGCGTCCTCTTCAGGGACTTTTAAACAGTTGGCGTCATTTGAAAATCAAGTAACAGAAATTGAAGAAAAATATATTTTTATATTTACTTTCCATTGATTCTACGATCTTTTATGTAAAAAGAATACGAAAAAATGATACTTTTTTGCAAATTAACAATTCAGTTGCTAACTGCAATATCGAAAAACCTCACCACGAAATAAAAGGTGACATCTAGTAAAATATTCCACTTACCTGTTCAATTTCCGCACAGACGATACTCGAACTTACATTAAATATTATTAAATAACAATATCTTTTACCTTTAATTAATTTAATAAACGAAAAATCTTCAAAAGCTTCCTCCACCTGCACCCACGTCCAGCCGGTACCCGTTTCCAAAATGGAATACCTCAAGAAAGCCGTTAAATCCCTAGTCAAATATCATTCGCTAGAGAACATTTTTTTGATTGAGAATTAAACTCAAGGTGTAACAATTCCTCATAAAAGATAAATAAATCGATAATTATACATGTATTAAAAAACAAATTTAAATATATTTTATAATATAGTTGGAAAGATGCAACTATCAAGATCAACGTAGTTAATGCGTAGCAACAATGTAGAAAGAAATGTCGGTTGCAATTAAACCCCGTGGAAATTGTCATCCTTTTTTTAATGAAGTGCAAAATAAAAGTTTCAAAAAACTAAATTAATTTTAAGGTAAGCCATTTCACAATACATAAAACGTAAATTTTAAGATTACATGATCGTTCGAATCGATCGAAATACGAATCGATGAATGGGTTAAAGACGCCGACCATACTTCACAAATATGTCTTTATTATTTATTCATAAATCACATTCATACGTTTATACATAGAAAAATTAAACGTGCAAAATATATAGAATACGTGTATTTGTCGAATAACGATAGAAAAAAGAACTAGATATTAATAGGAACATTTTTCAGATACTACGTTCGAAAACTACGGTTGCACGAATTATACTTATGGAATCTTCACTATTTCACAAAAGAAAACAAGAGGGACACTTCAAGGAGGTACAAATATTTTATTAATCATCCCAGCGATTGACAAATATTCATGGAAATATATAGTTTATTTTGCAACATGTTTTTATCTCCTTTTTGTTGTAGATAAACAATGTTACTCGTACGAGCTCGCGATTGATGAGCAAAGAAAATGAATCAGTCATCAATCATGACTGAATAAGAAATGAATGTTTCCCGATTTCTTATCTCCGGGGGTAATTTCTAAGATATACGCTTGCCACGTAATTCCACAATTTCCTAGATATATAAAACATATCAAACATTTACATGAATGTATCATCAATTATGAACTGTTTTCTTTCAGTAACACGACGCACGATAACACGATGCGAGGCGCAAAGAGATTCTGCGACAGCATCCATGCAATGTATGTTTTGCCGTGTTTATTTATTTATTCAGCCTGCGACGATTCCTCGGTATAATTGAAATCATGGTCCTTCTCGAAATATCAACACACGTTGTCCATATTGTGACATGGCGAACTCGCTACAAAGTTGCGCAATACACGAGACACGTAAACCTCTTGTGAAAAACTTTAACCTGTACGTGGCGGGTTACTGCCGCATCGACCGAGCAACCTGTTAAAATGGGTCTTTAACCTTTGCATACACAGTTCCATTCAAAAATGATGTTCATTATTTCAATCTTCTTCAGATTAAAATTCTAAACAGATTCATGTAAACTTGAACTTGTAACATTGATGCACGCTGATTAATGTAAAGTCTGAATTATACACATAGAAATATAATATAACAGAAAACGACAATATTCAAGTTACATAAATTTGAATTGAACTTTGACTCTTTATGTAACATAAATGTATGCAAGTTATAATCTTTCATATGTGACTAGCATTATTCATAAATGATTCAATATTCTTGTAGAAGAATTTATTTATCTAGTGACTGTATGAAGCTCAAGAATGAGACACTAAATATTCTATTAATTTGTTATTCTTGTTAGGTCCAACTTTTGAAAAGAATTTCAATGCATCAACTTCCTATTCTATTATTAATTTAAATAGCTGACACATGAGGCATATAAAAAAGACCTCTCTCAATTCTTTTAATTTCATTAATTTTACAAATATTAACATAAAGCATATAGAATGAGATAATCAATTATTTAAATACATGAATATTTATTCAATCACAGGAAACTGTATAAATACAAAATTAAATCTCATATTTATAAACATGGAACGTAATCATAAATAATCAATTAAATCCTGTCACGTATAATTTCATTAAACTCCGCCGCGTTTTCAAATCATTCTCCTTAACTACCGCTTATACAAAAGTTCTTTTGATCTACCGATCAAATAATAATCTTTATATAATGTTCTAGGAACGACGTAATTATCTCGCCAGCCTTCACAACCGGAAGAGGATCCGCTCCTGCAATTTGAACATCCAATATCCTTCCTGTCCACTGTGAATGACCCAAACAGGATCTATAAGAGCCGCGTCGATTCAAGGATCAGCGTTTTTTAATTTTACCTTTGTACGTGCGTCTGAATTGTCAATGCGAATACAACAAGAAAATGACTAATAGCAGCTCTACTTTTTCTAGGTGACCTCCTGCAGACCACTCTACCCACGTGTTCACCTGGAATTTCCTTGGAAGCAACAAATAGCCTTGGAATTTTATTTAGAAAATAGTCTTTGATGCATTGATGTTAAACGCGTAGTTACACACAATGTTCATAGTTTTATTGAAAATGTATAGAGAGACTGTATCGGTAAGTAGAAATGACATAATCGTTCATAGATCGTTCGAAGACAGAAGCCAGGAAAAATGAAAGTAAACGAGACAGGGAACTTCCACGCTGTCACTCTATAGCTCGTTCCACTTGAAAATCAAAGGAAGAATGATTCTTGAAAATGTAAACATTATAGGGAACCTTGGGCTGTGTTTCCAAATGGCCCCCATAAAAATTGAGAACTCAGGTTCGGTATATAACCTAAATTGACTACTAGAAACCGATTAAAGTTGGTTTCTGAGCTGGATATTTTACCGTTTTCGAGATTATGTTAGGTTAGGTCAGTAAACTTAATTCGAAAATTGAACATTCTATTCCATAACTGTTGCGGAGTGGAAATTAATAAATAAAATTAAATAATTTATACATGTATACGATTTGGTGTATGCGCGGTACCAAATAGCGCATGCGCAGTACCAAAATTGTCCAAAAATTTCTTACCACGATATCTCAAAAACACTAAAACATCCAGCTTTGAAACTAATCGGTTTCTTGTAGTCAATTTAGGTTATATACCGAACCTGGGTTCTCAATTTTTATGGGGGCCATTGGGAAACTTATCCAAACCTTGAACTAACATATGGATAAATTTAATGTTACACGAACGCATAGATTTTTATAATGTTCCTCGTGCGTGCAAATAACGTTTAGCTTCGAGGGTAAGCAAGCGGAACATCATTCATGGTTCACGGTATAGCTGTGTTTCGCTTTCGCTGGACGTTCCTGCACGTGTACCTCGTACAATCACGTACCCACACGCTTGCAGAAGCGCGTCAGCTGAGCGACTCGTGCATCGTACTCTTTCATCTTGCCAGTCGGCCTTCCTGCTTCTTCGAGAGCGGTTCGAATGGCAGGTCTTTCCCGCGTGATTTGACGCGTCGTAAAGTGATTTGAAAAAAGATATTCATCGCAAACGACGATCATCATGCGATTCCATCTGGACCGAGGAATGATTCTGTTGATCGCGTTGGCACTCCAGGCGGTCTCCTCGAATTCGGACGAGCCAGTGCCGTCGATCATCGATGGAATTGGGAATGTTGCCAACAGTGCGACAAATCTTCGTGAGTTTTCTTCCTTTCTTTGATTTAACTATTTTGTTTCATTGTTCTTGTTGTTGAAGGGGCCTAGACTTGTGATTGTCTTGCTTGGATCCTTTATGGGAGCTGAAATATTAGATCCTTCTTTGATGAGGGATCTATGGACGTGTCTTTGGTTTCGTTGAATTAGAGCAACAGGTTGTTCTAGATGTTTTCTGAATGGAATGTTATACGTACACTATTGTCAACCAGTTTGGAAACAGAGATTTAAATAAATAATTCAACTGCATTGCATAAAATATATACTTCACCTATATAGTAATATATTAGAATTAAGGAAAAGAACACAATGTAGAATCACTTATAGTACAATTTTTATTATTTTTTAAAATTCAAATGTTTCCAAACTTCTTGGCTGAAGAAAATTAAGGTTTTAGAGGGGAATGGGAATTGTATAGTTATCTTCAAGCCTAATCCAGACATTCAGGATAACAAATTTCATTCAGCTGTTTTCAGTTTCTCCTTTTGTCTCCTCTGTTTTGATGTGGAATGAGCTTTACAGTAGTAGTATATTTGCTTTACTTGGGCTCTGCCTAAGATGGGCCCAGATGGGCTTTTCAGGGGAAAATCCCCTATATTGCCCTACATTGTCCTATATTGATGAGCTTTGAAAATGATTAACAGTTAGAATTATATGCTTTTAATTACAGTTACAGATACAAACTGGAAATGTCCCATTGGTTCAATGGAGAAATGACCTGATTAACAAGTTGACATAAAATTAATTCAGGCGGAAGTGAAACGAAACCATAATGGAATTAATACACAATCCGTTTAATACTTACACAACGAGTTTTGAACACAATATCTGATCTTGCGACGAGTAACAATTGCAACACGAATTCATCCTGGAAAAGGTTTACCGAACGCGTAACAATCATTGATGTGTATTGGTCGAGAGCAATTGTAGCGCCGCGTTATCTCAATCAAAGCGTTAACAATAGCAATTGCTTTGTTATTCTCACGCTGCTGGACTGAATCGAATTACGTGAATCGAGGGAATCTCGTAAGCGCGCTATGTACACTGGATCGTTTTCCAACTTTTAATTTCTAGCTACAAAAAAAATTGCCTCGGTTATTCCTTTGTTTCCCTGCGTCGTGCAAGTGATTTCCCATTCTCACGGTCACTGTCACCGGCGAACGCTTAATTTTCTTCTTCTTCCGGTTCCCTAGAAGGCAGACTCAATTTCTCAAACTCTGTACCATGTTTAATCACTCACCCTGTCGTCGATAGCTGCCCAGTCTCGATGGGGAACAGGTGCCCCCTGTTCCAGAGAAAATCGCGCTGTTTACTCGTGTTTGTTCCAGTGACGGGAATCATGCAACGACAGATAGAAGTGATACACCGAGTGACGGAATCAGCCTCGAGCCTCAGTATGTGAGACTTTCATCCAACCAGCCCTTTGCAACCCTGGTTTTCAAACTCTACTCTTAATTGAATAATTAATTATAGCCACCCATCAATTCGTTATGTTCACAGGGAGGGAACCTATGAATGAATTAATCTTCCATACTTTTTAGAATGCCCTCATTTTTCAGGATCATGCTTCTACAAAATGCCTGATGATCGGTACCGAGTTTGAAAGCCTGGGTTTAGAAGAAAGCTTCTCGTAGGCGGATTTCAAGGGACTAATTGGATGGAATCATCGTGGAATGATCACGATTGCGAAGCTTCTTCTCTGCAAGAGTAACTCTAACCTGCGGCCAGTCTTCCTGTGGGTCACTTAATGTCATGCGCACACTTGAATCCAACTTGCTGGTGAAACTGATCGCTTCCGACCTTACAGGAAAATGATTTGCCGTGTTTTTTTTAACAATTTTTCTTTTTTCTTTGTCATGAATAGTATCATTGCATATGCATTTGAAATCCAATTAATTGGAGTAAATAAATCGGGGAAAAAAATGACACGCCCAGGAGGGGATTCGAACCCGGGCCTTCTGCCTGCAAGGCGGATACGTTACCACTTCACCCAAACACTCCTTGCCAAAATGTTTAATTAAACCTATATTTATGTGGATAATGAAACTTCAAACACAAATATCTAAATAACTATTGAGTATCTACACCTATAATGGTATATATTCGTAAACAGAAGAACGAGATCTATAAATGTACTAACTTTCTCCTTGTGAGTCGCGAATGATATTAACTTCAATAAAGGATGTTGAGCAATAATTTATTGAACGTACCATCTGGGCGATTATATTAGAGAGAATCTTTCACCAGCAAGCTGTAATTTCTTTTCCATTCAACTATCGCTGAATATTAACCCTCTATTTATTTTTATTCATAAGTTCCCACTTGGATACTAATTAATTACTAAGTACTAAAATCTAGAACATTTGAAACTCAAGTTCCCAATTGGGAACGGAATGGGATAGAGGGTTAATTAATATGACAGTGATATCTTGTACTCTACCTCATTAACATATTTTTTGCTTAATAATTCAGAGAATAGAAGGTTCACCCTTTTCTGAGATGAACTAAATTTTTTAGTCTTGGGTGCATGCTGGCAGAGCGTTGGTATTAAAAAGAAAAGGGACAGAAGTTGCAGGGAGCTATGTTGAAAACATTATTATCCAAGAGGTGAAAGCCTAAAAGCAATCATTTTCAGTAGACAGCTAATCGAACACGCTATTCTAACTGAAAATTACCAAGCAAACCATTTACATCGGCTCTCACCGCATTTTCCATTTCCACAGCAACTGGGAGAGCATCTGAAACCCATCGCTGCGTCCACCAGCACCTGTGCGCTAGACCGCTTTTCCACGGACAATCGCAGTAGCGAACGCGAGCCGGGGTGAACCTAGAAGAGAAAATAGGAAGTGAAACGTGATGTTTGTTGTTTTTCCAGTCTCAAACGCGGTGGAGAAGCCGAGGAAGCTGTTGATCAACGCGACCCGAGTCACCACCGGCTACAGTAAGTAGAAACGAAACATAGGGCAAGGTTGATTCTCTTAACGTTGGACTAATCGCTCGAGTGGGTAGTCGACAGCGCAGCGTCCAAAGGTCTCGAGTTCAAACTGAGGCGAATCGTGGAGAAGTTTCGTGCCAGGATGCCGTACGGGATACCTGAACTTGACATCCCACCTCTGGAGCCATTGAAACTTGACGAAGTTCATATTAATATAGACAATCCGGAAATTGGCATGTAAGTTTATACACACTGGTGGAATTCATTCTGGACAGTTTGAATAATAATATTCTTTATTTCATATTTCTGCAGAAAATGTATATCCGCCTATGCTAAATTTGAAATTGTAATTTTTATTGTATATTAAAAGTATGGCTGTAAACGCCCTAAAATTAGAAAGCAATGATTAGAATATGTGTCCAGAATTAATTCCACCAGTGTATCTGAAGGATACACCTGAACAAGTTACTTCAATTTAATCCCCCATTAATTATAAATGCAAAGCTGTTGCTATTATGGCTAAATGTTAGAGAAGTTACACGGTGTAAAATAGAAGTTGTATTATAAATAATAGAGCTACAATTCTGTGAAACGTTGGAGGATTATATTAATCATAATAATAGCTCCACTTGATGAACCAATCTCCCTTAAAAGGTAGAAAAGTTACAACGAGTTTTTGATAAAAAATTCAGGAACATTTCAGCATTTCTTGGCTGTGGAAGAAGCCTGAAAACCTTCACCGAGGTTCGGTAAGAAGCAAGTACTTACCAAAGAATCTTTGGAAACAGTTCTTAATGGAAAAGGAACGCTTGAAAGTCGGTGAAGAAACGAATTTCATAATACTTTAACGAACCATTGCTCAGGGAAGTTAGCCACTCCTGAATAAGCTGGCGAGGAAATGAAATTGACTTCCGGGAACTGATGCAATCTAAATATTGGAGGAGGAGAAAAGGACCTGGTTGATTTCATTCCATCTTTCATTTTCCAGGATGTCCTTGGTCATCGAAGATCTGGTGGTGCATAATCTGTCCACCTTCGTGACCAACGAGGCAAAGTTGTCTTTGCTCGGACCCACCATTGATCTGAACCTCACCGTTCCAAAAATCTATGCCGAAGGCTACTACAACATATCTGGAGTCCTCGGCGGTATGGTCCACCTTCACGGTGCTGGCTCCTTCCAAGCAAACATCTACAATTTCATGCTCTACGTGCACACTGTGCTCGGTTACTCCAGAGGTGTCTACCTGAAGATGTTCGACGTCGACTTTTGGTTAACGTCCATGCATGTCAATTTGGAAAACTTCATGGGGGACAAAGAATTAGCTGACCTGATGAGCAAGGTAGAGGAAACTGTTTCAAGCTGCAGGTTGTTGAAACAGTGAAAGCAGAATTGATATTTGTTTTGGTTTTGGTCCCCGGGCATCCCCTAGCCCAGGCCTGGTCGCGTGGGGGAAAACTACTCCTGAATCACATGTTCCGGTTCCCCTTCCAACACTGCTCCTTCAAGTAACATGGGACGGTTCCGACTACCGTCTCTCCGTGGGGACAGTACCGCCGCTAGGAACTATGCTTGGGGCGCTTAGGGTTAAAAATACCCTAACCCTAAGCGCCCCAAGCATAGTTCCTAGCGGCGGGACTGCCTCCTTGGAGAGAGGGTAGTTGGAACCGTCCCATCTTACTTGAAGGAGCAGCATTGGAAGGGGAACATGTGTTTCAGGAGTGGTTTTCCCCTACTTGACCAGGCCCCCCCTAGCCGAATAGTGCGAAAGGTACAGGGAGATTCTCTCGGCGCGCAACACAATAGCCGCACCTCACAATGGAACCCTGCTGTGTTTGCGGGCAAAAAGCCCAGGAGGTCAAGTCGCCGGACCCAAGATTGCTCTGTGTGTCTTGGGTCCGGCGACTTGACCTCCTGGGCTATTTGGGTTGGACTTTACCAAAAGGTGGGACGCAAATCCGGATGGGTCATATATCATTGGAAAGCCCTTGACGAGAGGAACACAATGGCATGGGTGGGAGGTCTTAAATATGTGACCTTGACCCGCTAGAGGTCAAAAACTAAAATGATTTCAAATATATATATTGAGTTTACTCAAAAGCTGGGCGGCAAATCCAGATGGGTCGTGTGTCATTGGAAAGCCCTTGACGAGAGGAACACAATGGCGTGGGTGGGAGGTCATAAATATCAGACCCTGACCCGCTAGAGGTTAAAAACTAAAATTACGTTAATTTTGTTTTCTCCTGAGGTTTATGATAAAAACGCGAATATTGCTGTGTAACGTGTAAACCACCGCAGATACAGCGCCGTCACCGCCATATTTAGGTTAGGTTAGGGTTAGGTTAGGTTAGGTTAAGTTAGGGTGTCTTTTTCGAAGATTTCTCCTCGTTAAATAAGAAAAAAAAAAGTTAATGAATCTATATGTTTTGGGGCATTTTAGTTTTTGACCTCTAGCGGGTCAAGGTCTCATATTTAAGACCTCCCACCCACACCATTGTGTTTCTTTCGTCAAGGGCTTTCCAATGACATATGACACATCCGAATTTGCGTCCCACCTTTTGGTAAAGATCAACCTATTTCCTCTCCTACAAATAAAAAAAAAAAGTAGAATTGATTTTGTACGCACACGTTTAATTGTAGGTCTTCCAAGATCTGACACCGAAGGTAGTGGACATTATTAAACCAGACGTGCTTCCGGGTATAAGGGACGACATCGGAGGCAGGATTAACGAGACCATTCATAATCTCACCATGAAGGATGTAATTACCGTCCTCGTTGGACACAATGACATTCGAGACTTGGTACACTTGGTGCCCTAAAACTACGATAATATTTGCTGAATGAAATCCTAGATTTAGATCTTCCCAGTGAACGTTCAGAATGCTTTCAGGGGAAGGTAATTTATTTCATGGAAGAAAGCTGGTGAATAAAAATGAAATTTTCTTTTTTAAATTCTTTTGTCTCTGGAATGAATGAAATATGAGGCGTTCCATTTTGGGCTATGATTACCGACGATTAATAAAATAATTTAATGAAAATTAACGCAAGCTCCAAATACCCTGATTTATTTTGTAAGAAATCAGTGAAACGTTTAGACACACTGGAGATTGAAGAGAGAGAGAATAAAATGAAGCAAACGTCTGACAGAGTAGGATTCAATGAACTCCAGTAGACAGACAAGGTGTCGAGTTCTAATGTTTAATTCATTGATTCGCATGACAGCCAAGCTGGTATTCTTAATTCATCGACGTAGAGACCACTCCTTGAATTCAAATTCCGTTTTACGATCCTACTCGTTTAACAATTGTTCCAATTCATTAACCAAACGACCATTAACTTCATGAGCCAAGTTTTATTGCAATAAAACGTTGCGATTCAAGACAGAGTGGTAAACAAGCTACCAATTGATCAAGATAATTCTTTCAAAAATTTTAATTAATCACGACTTGGGAGTTTCATCTTTATTTATTTATTTATTAAGAGATTAGATGAGATACCATGTAAGCACAGACAAAAATCAACTGAAAGTAGGTATCTGTTTAATAATTCATTTAATTATCAATATTCTTGCCTGATCAATCTTGACCAAACATAGATATCCTTCAGAAAGTAACAGCAGTCGATTGTTGTCGTTCATTTATCTGCTTTCCAGTGTGCTCTGGAGATCCGAATGATAATCAGAAAATTGTTTACCAAGAAAGAATTTCTATGGCTAACTAGATAAAGCGAACGAGTACCACCCATCGAAACGATTCATTTTTATCAAGCCAGACCCCTCTTCAGCCAGAAAGTGAGATTGGACAACTGGAAAAACTGCGCAGTTCTATGCCATGCGATTACCAGTATTAAATGGCGATAAAGTCCGCTTCAGATGGAAGATAGCCAGATTATGCGTGCCTTTATCAATTCAATTAGACAGACTAATCAATGATGATGTCTAACATTCTTCTGTCTAAGCCTGGGTGCCATCGATCAAGTAACAACAGTAAAATTATGATGATAAGTTACTTATGTCACTATTACCCTTCTTCCACCATTGCAATGCCCCAGTGCAGGGGTGTGCAATTGTTTTAGCTCCAGGACCACTTTGTGGAAGTGGATGTTAGCGAAGGACCACACCTTTTAAAATGATTGCATTCATTAACTTTGCATTCCAGAAAGGTATAAATTGTACCATAAAATCAATAAATATGAATTAAATAAAATAGTGGCAATTTTATTGGAAATCTCGGTTCAAGGCGGATTTTTCTGTCTTGGGAGGCCCCACGTGGCCATCCCTGCCCCAGTGCTATTACCAACGTTTAAATAATAGCAGAAATGGAACAGCAGGTAAATTACTAACAATACCACCAGTCTTCTCCCAGCATCCTAATATAGCACACCGTTTATTCCATTCAGCAGAGTCATTGTTCCTGAGTAAGAGCTGGATAAGAAGGAAAGAAACAATGATGTCTTTTGATAGCAGACAGCATGGCACCAACCCTACACCCATAAAGGAATAAATATCTGCAATTAGCTGATTCAATGCGCAGAAGATAACAATGGCGTTAACAAGAACAACATCAGAATATTCTTTTCTCTAAACGATAACGAAATTACCGTACTGATAAATGGATAATTGTCTGCTCGTCCGAGCAGCGTTGATAATACGAAAGTTGTAGAATTCCGTGTCCGATAAACGATACGCCACGACCGCCGAGGGAATTATCGAACGTCCAAGCGAAAGTTTCAGTTACCCTCTCGCGAACTTTATCCGATGCGACGAGAATTGCTCGTGTCAGCCTGGGAAGCATCTCTCTCGGCTGTTAGGAACATTTTTCTCGTCCCCGTGGCGTCGCGAATAAAAATCCATCGACGCCTGAACGCGTGCACGTCTCGTTCGTTTGATCTTCCATTTAACGCCAGCGAGCAGAACGCAGCTGGTTCCACTTCGTGTATCGGCAATTTTTCTTCCGACATGTGACTCGCACGAGAACGTCGTTAGTTTGCATGCTGTAAACTCTACAGCAGGGGTGAGCAATCTTTTTTTACAACAGGCCAGTTATTATTGAAATTGAAAAATGTTGTGCGGGTCGCATGTGAGGAACATGTGTGATGGAATTTGCACTTGTGTGATCATTAGCACTTAAAAATATGAACATTTCAAGGTCCCATAACTTTTGAACCCGTTGCCAATGGCACTCAAAAATTGCACTATAAAACGATAATACAAACGCTGAATGATGAACTGAATTTTTGGAAATGATGGCACCAGTGCCTATCTATGATGTCGACGTCATTTCCAAAAATTAAGTTAACATGCCTAGGGTAAAATAAGGCTGTGGGACACTAGGAATTTTGAAAAGTAAAAATGTAAAATCTTTGAAGGACTCCATGAGAAAGTTTCTTCCGACATGTGACTCGCACGAGAACGTCGTTAGTTTGCATGCTGTAAACTCTACAGCAGGGATGAGCAATCTTTTTTTACAACAGGCCAGTTATTATTGAAATTGAAAAATGTTGTGCGGGTCGCATGTGAGGAACATGTGTGATGGAATTTGCACTTGTGTGATCATTAGCACTTAAAAATATGAACATTTCAAAGTCCCATAACTTTTGAACCCGTTGCCAATGGCACTCAAAAATTGCACTATAAAACGATAATACAAACGCTGAATGATGAACTGAATTTTTGGAAATGATGGCACCAGTGCCTATCTATGATGTCGACGTCATTTCCAAAAATTAAGTTAACATGCCTAGGGTAAAATAAGGCTGTGGGACACTAGGAATTTTGAAAAGTAAAAATGTAAAATCTTTGAAGGACTCCATGAGAAAGTGTGCTTTATGTATATGTTATATTAAGTGTACAAATTAATTCGGTGCCTTTTCTTCTTTTTAATTAATATTGTAACTATAATTATTGAATTTATTGTTATCGGTATCATATTCTCGCGCCATTTTTCAAATTCGCAAAAGCGCGGGAAAATATTCGAATTTAAAATAGTAACTGAGAAAGTGTAATAATCAATTTCCAAGTAGAGATAAGGGTTTCAAACGGTTTCTATCTCTTTGCTTCCTTTTTTAATACGATTGCCAAGTCATCCCTCAATATTTGAAAGGGCTCGACCTTTCGTGTTGTGATTCGATCGAGGTGGAGATAAATCGTGGCCGAAACGTGCAGAGTCCATTATCACCGTTATCACTAGCCCGCGGTAATATCGTTATCATCAATCACCAAATACTTGCACGTGCTCCACCACTCTTATGTTTCGAGTGGTTCGTCGAACGCTTCAAAGATAATTCTTTCAGTGGTCGCTTTCAACCCTTCATCTTTCTCTCTCTGATAATACCCTCCCTTCGTTTCATTAATTCACCTGCTGTATGGAATTTTCCCTATCAAATGATAGAATGTAAAGCTGTTCCAGAGGGAAAGAGAGAACCGAACGTAAATTTTGTTTATTCGCACTCAGGTTAATTGAAAATTTTCTTTGGAATGAACAGTGGAATTTTTGTTATCTAACAGAGTTCTTAATTAAAAATGTATGTATATCTCTCTTTTTATCTTCAAATTATAAAATACTCACTGTTGAAAATTTATTTACAAATTATTAATTGTATTGCTTTGTTTTAGGGAAAGGATACAGGATCCAATGAACAAATTGGCAATCGCTTTGATCACCAGAGGCCAGAAACTTTGGTAAAAGGAAATTTGCACCACAAACATTTCTCTGTTGAGAGCAACATCTATTCAAAGGAACAAGGTAATTCTTCACTCTATCGAAGAGGAGCACTCCGTTCTCTTAATGAGATGAAATGTTTCGCACGTGTGTCCACTACCAAACGCATGTTTGCAGTTGATTAAGGGTACAAAGGAATGTATCTGATTGGTGCGGTTCGGTCGCGACAATTTATCGTTACACGTGCTCGCCGTTTGCTTCAAGATACACTCTGCTAACTGGTCTAACGAAGCTTCCTATCAGGCATGCTTTATTCATCAATCTTACTGCATCAGCTGATGTGTCATTCTTTAATTTTAGAACCAGAGTCTGTTTATAATTTCTGCATCGCTCATTTTAAGTGCAATTAATAATCAAACTACGTTTAGTTGTCTGCAGAGTATGTATAATCAGTTATTATATATTGTATATATTGGTAGGAACTGGTAAGTTTCATTACTCATGATTAAATACATTTTAGTAGGTCCGTGCGTCGCCGACCTTCCGGACGGATTCTTGGTACCCATAGGGGAGCATAGAGGAACGAGTTGACAGAGGAACAAATTTCTTACAACATCATTCATAAGGGAATGGTCAAAAGTGGATGGTAGGGTTGCTCGTCCAGACTACGTTTATTCGAATGAGCATGAAACGAGTTTATAGTGCAATTTTTGAGTGCCATTGGCAATGGGTTCAAAAGTTATGGGACTTTGAAATGTTCATATTTTTAAGTGCTAATGATCACACAAATGCAAATTACATCACACATGCAATTTTCCCTGAAGCTCATCTTAATTGTTAGTAAACATCATCTAATCATCTGAAATTCATGCCTCTGTCACTTTAACACTTAATTTTCACTTCATATTTCTAATCATTAGCACTTAAAAATATGAAAATTTCAAAGTCCCATAACTTTCAAACCCGTTGCCAATGGCAGCCAAAAATGGCACTATAAAACTCCTCGTTTCAGACTCTTTCGAATAAACATAGTCTGGACGAGCAACTCTTCCATCTACTTTTGACCATTCCCTTATCCAGGTCTCATTACTGCAGAAAAACTTGAGACTTCTTTTTCTACTTTTTCAAAATTATAATTATGAACTCCCCTGGCAGCTGGATCAATTCTCAATGATATAACTAGAACTCACTATGTTCTTTGTAAACAGTCTCCCAGTTACTCCTTAAATTTTTATCATTTCATATAATTGTACTTTTGTAATTAGGTAATTAACGTGACCTAAATTTCTGATCCCATGTATGCTCCCTTTTTTTTCCAGAGCAGAGTTCCTGTAAAACCTCCACCCTTCCCATACTCGTTAGGAAACATCAGAGCCCCATCCATTTGCCATCGATCGAACTTGGAGGCAGCTTTATTGCACAGCCGGGACGTCGTCGCTATTTTTCATCCCGCGGCCAGAATCGGCGGAAAAGCAACAGTTGGCGGATCGCCGGAGGAAGGAAGATAGCAGCAGCGAGCGAGACGACGGTAGAAGTGGATGCGATCGGGGGGAAAAGGATGCAATGTGAAAAGAGAGAGAGTTGGAAATCGGACATGCGTAAGATCCGACGATATAGAGTACCGGGACAAGGCAGTCGCGCTTAAACGGCGCCCGGTGTCGGACGTGCCAACGCGTTCGCGACAGATCATCGATCTCTGTAGATCCGTAGGAAGCATTGTTCGTTCCGTAGATCCCTTTAGAACACGTTGAAACAGGAGTCTCTATTCATTCCTAGGTACTACAGCTATTGATGGGGGGTTCATTAGTCTTTTGTCTAGAAATTATAAAATTAGGATAATTATTTTAACTGTTGGAAACTTGTTGGTCTTGAAAGTTCTGGTACCACTTGCATTAGTTTCTTTTCTGTTTTTCATTGTGGACTATTGTGACTTACATTGTTTTTAAAAGCTGATTGTTTATATATTTAAAAAATTATTTTAATTTTGAAATGTAAGCTTCCAGTTTACTATCTTACATTGTTATTAAAAGCTGATAATTTATATATTTAAAAAATTACTTTAATTTTATAAAAATGTAAGCTTCCAATTTACTATCTTACTTTATTATTATTCAATAATCATTCTATTATACAAAATTTGTTGTGGTCACCAGTGACCACAGTAATTAAAAATGAATTATTAATTGTAAAAATCTGTATACAAAATTTGAATTTTAGAGGCTCTCTGTACGGATTTTCAAGACCTTGAAAAGTTCCAAACATTTCAAATTTCGCCAACCGCGCCAAGATTACCTGTGATAAAGACTTGAAAATTGTCGAATACTTTTCTTCCATAGTGTCCTCCGGGTCTAACCGAAGAGTATAAGAACTGTTTGATTGGATGCCCTGTTTGAACTACCACAAAGTGCTGCCTGTAAGGACCCTGCTCTGAATTCAAAGAAGAAAGTTGTACGCCAAATCACAGACTCCTTAGAGTTTGGCAAGGAACTGAAGAGGCTGCACCTTCTTCAAGAAGAGAATCTTCAGAAGACTGCAAGTGGCTTATTGAACATCCTTGTTGACACTGGGTCAGCTAATATCTGGATAAAGAAGTTCCTTCAAGAACAGTTAACTCTCGTCTAAAATAGTTTCAGCAAAGAATTATCGAGTAAACTTAATGTCAAAAAGACTGCCAGCGAGGTAACTGAAGAGGATTCGATAGAAAAACAAATAAAGGACTATAAATGGCTGTTTAAACGTTTCTGCGAGCATAAAGGTATCAGGTTTCTCTAGTCTGTTCAACAGTTATTGAGTATATCAGTTGGACTCGTTGAGCAAATGGTTCAATGGGCGGTGGAAATTTGTCAAGAAGGTAAACGACGGTGGAACGCTGGATTATCCCGGTTCGCTAAAAGCTAGGCGAGCTGACGGAGAGCCGAGCGCGGCCCGCGTCACGCGGACAATCCAATCCGATTAACGCTGTTTGCTTTCGCAGCATCGAAGCAACGTCGATTGAGCCGGAAAAGCAGAAAAGCCTTCAGGTGACGTCACGGGCTCTGATCGCAACGATAGCCGACACTTGATCCATCAAGATAACAAAACTTCTGAACGATTAGAGGAGCCTTGCGTTCCTCAAAGAAAGAAACAAACAGATTGGCGAGGTGTTTCTGTTCGCGAACGAGATCAAAATCAAAACAGACTGCTCGAGATCGAGCAAGGTTGTTGAAAAGATTATTTGTTTATTTATTTATCTCCAAGACTGTTTTGTATACACTTAAGCTAATAATATTGATTGAACTGCGTATTTTGTTATTGATAGGTGTGTGTGTGATTGTAAAGTGTTCATTGTGTCAGCTAAAAACTCGGAGTAAACCGCAGAGCACAAAAGATAATTGAAGGAAACATTGAGCTGGAATAGTTGAATCCTTCAGGGAGCTAAGGTTTTAAAAAGTACTTTCAACTGCAATTAGCTGCAATTTAAATTCTTCAAAGCGAAGGGCACTAAGGAATACTTTGAGCCACAAATTGGATCCTTTAAAGGAGCATAGGAGAGTTGAAAAAAAAAATACTTTAACCAGTAAATTGGATTTTTTAATGTCAACCATATTGAAGGCACTCAGGGATTCTTCATCAACTGTTTCAAAGCAAAAGAATACTTAAAACTGCAAATTGGATTCCCTGATGCAGCTACCAAATACTGGAGGTTTGGAAAAGATATTTTGAATGAAACTTCCTTGAATTGCACTTTGCAGATATTTGAATGAACTACTTAAAGAGCAAGGGTGGCCAAAGTAAATTGGATTTTTGAAAGTCAACCATATTAAAGGCACTCAGGGATTCTTCATCAACTGTTTCAAAGCAAAAGAATACTTAAAGCTGCAAATTGGATTCCCTGATGCAGCTACCAAATACTGGAGGTTTGGAAAAGATATTTTGAATGAAACTTCCTTGAATTGCACTTTGCAGATATTTGAATGAACCACTTAAAGAGCAAGGGTGGCCAAAGTAAATTGGATTTTTGAAAGTCAACCATATTAAAGGCACTCAGGGATTCTTCATCAACTGTTTCAAAGCAAAAGAATACTCAAAGCTGCAAATTGGATTCTCTAATGCAGCTACCAAATACTGGAGGTTAGGAAAAGATATTTTGAATGAAACTTCCTTGAATTGCACTTTGCAGATATTTGAATGAACTACTTAAAGAGCAAGGGTGGCCAAAGTAAATTGGATTTTTGAAAGTCAACCATATTAAAGGCACTCAGGGATTCTTCATCAACTGTTTCAAAGCAAAAGAATACTCAAAGCTGCAAATTGGATTCTCTAATGCAGCTACCAAATACTGGAGGTTAGGAAAAGATATTTTGAATCAAACTCCCTTGAATTGCACTTTGCAGATATTTGAATTAACCACTTAAAGAGCAAGGGTGGGGTAGTTTCTTTTGAAATAGTGCATCGACAACAACCGGTGGACTGTGTTGTTAAAATTGAAGCAAGTTTACGAGCAAGCGGAAATAGCGACGATCAGAGGTGGAGAAACGACAGAGAGCCTCGCGTTCCTCTTCTTTGTGACCGATACGCTTGCGAGCGCGTGTAAACAGGTGTCACCGAGCGTTCCGTCGTCGCTTTTACGGACTTTTGAAGAAGCATTACCGAACGAGCGCTGAACGACTTCACACTCGTTGCCAAGAGATTTTTACTGTCCATGGGAACTGCAAGCTGCATGGGAGATTTTCTGGAACCTCTCTAAACGACCATTACCAGTGAGTGCTTGCTTTATGTTCTTATGTTTCTTTCAGGCATCAATGTGCCAGCCAAGGTTTATTTTATTTTGTAAAAATTATTCATGGAATTATATTGCAATATTTAATCCATATATACAAGCTGGAAAATCGATAAAGTGTAATTAACACTTAATCATAAGAGAACAATGAAATAAAAAATTAATTATCAAAGTGACGAGCAGCTGATCCTCGCCTTAAGAAGTTGTAACAAGAATATAAAATACTTTTTCACACTGTGTGTTTTAAATTCAGATTTATTTTTCTAAAATTAATTGCATTCTTTCTGGTTTGATGAAACTGTTCCTTTGGTCTCTTTGGCGATGAGTAATTCAAAGGTCGTGAATTTTTTAAAAATTCGTTATAACATTTCACAGTGGAATAACGCAATTTTCATATTTTAATCCACTTTTTTAGCTGTGCATACTTCAGGAACATTCAAGTGGTCCAAACTGTTTTTAGATATCTGAATGATCTACTTGAGATGCTGCTGGCCTGCTGTGCTTTTGATATTTTATAAATAAACTTTAGAGGCCAAGATCCGTTGCTGGTAATCGTTGAAAAGAAATTGATGATGTATTAATTAACGACGTGCCTGGTAATGGCATATAAAGTTGTAAAATAATGTTTAGTACACCATTCCGATGGTATTAAATCACGTGGAAGTATAAACTCGTACAAGTCGTATTACCGTACATTAATTCGACAACAGTTCTGCCGATTAAACATTTAGAGCCAATCAGATAGCTGCTTAGTCGTAATCCGCCAATCACAAGGCGCGTTACTTCGGCTCTTAGGCAAATGGGCCAGATGCATCTGATAAAGCCACTTACATCACGCGAAGGCCAGTCAGTCTGCTCTTGAGGTTCGAAGAAGCAGGGTTTTTTTTTGTTTTTTTTTGTTTTTTTTTTTTTTTTTTTTTTTTTTTTTTGCGATCGGTTTTGCAAATTTTTTAAAATTAATTAATTTTCATAATTAATAAACTTAAAATCAAATTTAACTTCACAATTTAACATGTAACTTTATAATTAAAAATTTTTCACTAATAAAAACATTACCGATTAATTAACTTTACAGGACGCAGGGAACGAATGTATGATATTGACCCATTAACTGATAAAATTTTATTTTTGATATTTTTATTTAATATAATCCTACTATAGGTAATAAAAAAAAAATACATATATCCAAATCCCCATTTGGGGATCGTAGTAGCAAATAGGTTAGCTTTTTAACCTATATTAATAGTTCGATATAGCAGTGCTAATTTTCATTGAACTTTAAACTTCAAATTATTTTATAATACTTTGAAGTCATGAATTCATTTTGGCCCAATGCATGGTGTACTTTGCAGAAAAGGCAGAAAAAGTTTCTCAGTTTCTGATTTTTAGGTCATTCTGTACGTGAGCCTTAAAAGGAAATATCTCCCAACATTGTAAAAAGGAAATAGTGTAAAACAGAGGAGGAAAAATCGACCCAGTTTCTATGAAACTTAATACGTATGTTTGGAAACATGAAAAAGAAACGTATCTATTAAATTTCAGCCTTGTTTTATTCTCGCAGTGGAATCAGTCCGAGTATAGTCAGCCACATTATCCTAATTAAACGCAAGGCTCGCGTGAGCGTCGAGTTAATGTTTCTTTTAAATCCAGTCTTTCAGAAAATAGAATCCTGGTGTCTGGAAATAAAAAAGGAAACACGGAGTCTCTTCCAAAGGCTATCAATATGTATTATTTTAAGTGGAAAGTTGTCTGCTAAGTTTGGAATTCCAAATTAAATGGAGCTTGTAATTTTTTAGTTAATGGATGCGGACGGTTAATTTCCATATAAAGGTCGCCGGTCACAGCTCGCTAATCCAATCAATTCTTCAATGGAAATCCTATCCCAGGTGAATGTTGATTTTCGAAAATTTCCTGCTCGAATTCCGTGCACGGTATAGCTCGCTTCGATTACCTATTTATCATGAAAATTTTCCAGGGAAAAGACAAAGGGCTTTAATTCCCTCCATCCACAACAATTTTCAACAGCTAATAACAGAGCAATTTTATTCATATAAATTCTTTTTCATTTCATTCCCCTTCAACTCAAACATAATACCATTCTCTTTTGTTTATTTTTCAGATTTTAATCCCTTATCTCACATACCACAGCATCCAAAGCAAATATCCAGTGTTGGGCACACCAGAAACTCCCTCTGATAACAAAACAATTCACCTACACTCCACCCACATCTCTCCACTGAAATAAACTAACAAGAATCTACCGACAAGTTCTTCCAACATTTTCTTACTTCAGAAGGGAATTAAAAGGACGAAGGGTGAGTTTCTTTTTCAAGATGAATCAAGAGGAGAGGAAAGGTTACAAAGCTGGTTTTTATTGTTATAAGATGTGGACACGTGAGTCATAGTATTAAGAGAGAGACCCGCCTTTGTTGGTCGTCGAGGGTATTAATTAAAGAGATGACACATTGCGGAGAAAAAGCAATTAATAGCAGCCGATGGCGAATGGTGTCATCGGCACTTTACTTCAGTCCTGTTGCCTCGTGTGTGCTCACGTGTCACATATTGATCTCACACTACACCCTATAAATATGTGATTGTGTGTGTGCCTGACACGGGTGTGTTAAAGTATCTATTAAACAACTTCCTCGATTACCTGGTTGAAATGATCACCTTACGAACACGTGACTCTCCAAGACCATCGATTGTATTCGCCTGATGCTTTCAACATTCTCCAATATAAAAATCCAATATCTCTTTTTATTTGCCGCATGAATTTCTAAGAAAGCCGAGATTAAATGTAACATAATTTCTTCTTTGCAGAGTGTTTATCCCCACGGTTGCCCTATAAATTGAGGTGAATTAAAAAGGGAAAGGATCTCGTGTTTGGAGAAAATTTCAAACGTTAACACGGTACGTCGACAGTCTCCTCCCGGTTATTTGATGAAAGGAGGATGTAATTGCGGTCAGATTAAAGTTCAGCAACCCCGTCGCTCGAAAATATCTAGAGTAGTCCGGATATAAACGGGGAACCAGTTGCGAACACGAGGGGTTGTTTCCGACAAATCTACCATAACAAGCTGCTAACACGAGCCATAAACGATATCTCCGACCCGTTTCAACTCTTTCAATAATATTTTCTTCGACAAATTGCGCTCCAAGAATTCTACAAACTGGCAGAGAAAATTGAGGAAAGGGAATTAATGAAAATTGAAATTATTTATGGATTTAAAAATGGCAGCTGGTTGTATAAATGTTGGAATCTACACTGGTGGAATTAATTCTGGACACTTTTAAATTTTTACTTAAATTATTTAATATTTTATGTTCTAATCATTGCTTTCTAATTTTAGGGTGTTGCTTGTATAAAAAAATCAGTAAAAATTTTTTTTTAATGTACAATAAAAATTATAATCAAAGGAGGTAGAAAAAGATTAATTTCATCCTGTGATTAAAATTTTAAAACATTCACAAACCAACAAACATTATAGATTACAATAAAAATATTTAGCATAGCAGACTATACATTTTCTGTACAAGTATGAAATGATGAATATTTTTATTCAAAGTGTCCAGAATTAATTCCAGCGACGTATGATGAAGCTCAGCTATGAAATTGTTTAATTAATCTTCAACTCGATCGCATGCTTCATTTCGTTTCATCAATTATCTAATTTTGTTCCCGGAATACGAAGGAAATTGAATCAACTGAAAGTCAGATAAATGGAGCAAGCCATAGTTTCTGTCAATTTTAATTAACTTCACCTCCTAATGTATACGATGAAACTGTACAGTTATTCGTAAGCTGTTTTCCATTTCTGACTAAGCTAACTTTCAACATTTTAATTAGCTTTTTGAATAGTTCCGGTAGCTCGAACAGCTTCTGAGAAAAATACTGATTATAAAGTTTCATTGGTATCTACAAAACAAACTGGTCATCGCGATATCTTGTTTGAAGGTTTTTTCTTCGTTTTTAAAAGCACCTTCGTTAAACAGCAATAAGAAAGTTATTAAGAGTCTGAATTCTTAGAAGTTGTCTAATTAAACTGAAAAATATTGTAAAAATATTATGATTTAATTAACAAACGAGGAAAACATGTAAAAGAGGTCGCGAAAATCGAGCAAAAGGGAATTTCTTTTTAAATAAATGAATTATATTGAAAAATTGTTAACTTCAATAATCGACTTATATGTCAAACAAACATCACTCCTGAAAATATACTATTGATCGAAAGTAACTTGTTCATATACAAAAACAGGTACAATAAAAACAGAATCAATAACAGTTTAATTAAAAGAAAACCGAATAACAGAAATTAATCGTTTGACCTGCAATCCACGACCAGCCATTTTGTGTGAAGAATATTGATGAAACGTTTATACAGTTATTTTTATTTAACATTAAACTTTGATTTGATGTAATATAAGTAGTGTATCTTGCGGGGGCGGCCCTGGGCCTAGGCGGACTAGGTGGCCGCCTAGGGCCCCCTAAGGTCCAGGACCAACTCTAGGCCTAGGCAGACTAGCTGGCCGCCTAGGGCCCCCTAAGGTCCAGGACCAACTCTGGGCCTAGGCAGACTAGGTGGCCGCCTAGGGTCCCCTAAGGTCCAGGACCAACTCTGGGCCTAGGCAGACTAGGCGGCCGCCTAGGGTCCCCTAAGGTCCAGGACCAACTCTGGGCCTAGGCAAACTAGGTGGCCGCCCAGGGCCCCCTAAGGTCCAGGACCAACCCTGGGTCTAGGCAGACTAGGCGGCCGCCTAGGGCCCCTCGAGGTCCAAGGCCGCCCTTAGGCCTAGGTAGACTAGGCGGCCATCTAGGGTCCCCCAAGGTCCAGGGCCGACCCTGAATCTAGGCAAACTAGGCGACCGCCTAGGGCCCCCCAAGGTCCAGGGCCGACTCTGAATCTAGGTAGACTAGGTGGCCGCCTAGGGCCCCCTAAGGTCCAGGACCAACCCTGGGTCTAGGCAGACTAGGTGGCCGCCTAGGGCCCCTTAAGCTCCAGGACCAACTCTGGGCCTAGGCAGACTAGGTGGCCGCCTAGGGCCCCCTAAAGGTCCAGGGCCGACTCTGAATCTAGACAGACTAGGCGACCGCCTAGGGCCCCCCAAGGTCCCCTCATAATACGATTTTGGGTTTAAGAATGCAAGAAGAATAACATTTACTTGAATATCAATCTAAATTAGTTATACAAGCTTTCATATTAATTTTGTAAATTTTATTCGAGGTAATTTTTTTTATGTCATACATGTGAAGGAGCCCCCCTAGGACCCCTGAAATGTCAAAGCCGGCCCTGGTACCTTGATACTTTTATGCCATGAATTTCAGTATTTAAAAATCAAGGGTGGGTATGCAGCGCCCTGAAAAAAATCCTCGAAGGGAATTAATTCAACAGAAAGCTCGTCAGCATTCGAAGCATCGATCCAGTGTGGATAACAGGAAGTAATATCTCCTGAATTCCCATTGACATATGCCTGTCAAAAAATGCCATTGAACATCGTTTTATCGAACATTCGCAACCTCTCCTAATCCTCTTCACTGGAAATCCACCAGGCGCACTTCTGGTGTTTGTCGTTCGTGTTCCGTCGAGAGGAGACAATAAAAGCAGACAGCATCTCGTTGCTTGACACCGGCCTCGTAAAAAGCCGGCTGCAAAGCCCCGGCGATAATAAAGCTTGGTAAACGACAATGACTCACCGACAAATCTGGCCTTATCCAACGGATTTACGAGGGACAGCACTGGATTCCGGCTGAAGCCACGGGGGCCACACACTTCTGGGCTTTCGTTGCGTGTTACAGACACCGGAAACAGGGTCACCAACTGTACAATTTGCATAAAAGTACAAGGATTTCGACACCTTTGACATTTGCTATATTTTTGAAATATTGAAATATTTTTCAAACTGATATTATTTAATTAATTTATTAATTAATGTCACGTACGAATGATCAAAAGTATAACGAGAGGGTCGGAGATGGAGTTTATGAACCGCTCTACTGTTATTGGCACAAAAGTGTAAACTTTTTTTATTTCACACACGTGCAAACTTTTCTAATTATTGTTCAACTAATTCTCTGCTTTTTGCGAGAGCTTCCTATTGTGTAAAATGTAGGTTGATAGCCGGTTAATAATTCAAAGGAAAAAGGGCGTAACCATGCGGTTGAAAGGGGTGACCTACCCTTATTCGTTAATAACGAGTTAATAAAATGACAAAGAAGGGTGTGGCACTGTGTTCCCTATAGCCAATTTTGGGAATTGTGATTTCGTTGATTGCTTCTTCGGTATCCATTTAATTATCAACCACCTGGATAATTATCAATTATCTCTATAATTTAATTATAATTATTAATTATCAATCCCTTTATCAAGGTAATTCTCTAATGTTTAATTCAATAACAGATTGATGTCTCTGAAATGAAATTCTTATTAAATTCTCTGAAATATTTATAATTAAAATTAACTTTATGAACAAAGAATTTTGTTGTTCGCTCGAGGTACAAATTAATTAATTAACAAAATTTAATCTGTTTCAGGAACAGAGAATTTTTTCAAAGGTGGATCGACAAAGTGACAAAATGGACTTATACGTAAGTTGCAATTTTAATCAAGAATGCTTTTGGCAATTTTTTTACAAATTTCTTTTCTTTCCATTCTCTAGATATACACTAGTGATGCGCGGCCCGAGTGTTCGGGTCGGTTCGGAAAACATCGGGCGGGCTCGGGCGGGTGGTCCAACGCATACGTGCAGTCGGGTAGCCAGACTGTTTCGGGTCGGGTCGGATAAATTCGGGCAGGTTCGGACGAGCTCCCGCGGGCCGTGGTCCGCGACCCAACTCTCGAACATACCGCAGGAGCTCGTCCGAACCTGCCCGACTTTATCCGACCTGACCCGAAATAGTCGGGCCACCCGACGGCACGCATGCATCGGACGCCCGACTTTTTCCGAGCCCGCCCGAACTCGTAATACCAGGTACCCGGACATCCCTAGTATACACAAATTTTTCATTAAATTATCGTTTGCAGGTGCCTTTGATATTCGAAACTCTGTCAGAGTTCCCAGCAATTTCCCCCGGAAATTTTGTCTGAATTTATGTCAAGAAAATCCAATTAAATATGAATATAATTACTAACGATATTAGACACACTGGTGTAGTAGTAAGAGGAAAAAAATCCCTGAATAATTTCGAAGGGAAATTCCTGAAACTCCCAAAGGAAATTCTCGGATACGCAAGCCGTAATGTCGTTCAAGTTTCAGTTTGAAAGCGAAATGAAAGAAACGAAAACGTAAGAATGTTGGAGGAATTCATCCAGTTAAATCACTTGGCAGTCGGTTCGCTAGAGAACTCCTCGGTTCGATGGAATTCAACGGATATCCGTGGCGAATATTTTCCAATTACAGGCTGAAAAGCGGTGTATATATACAATATACATAGAGCGAAAGGAAAAAGAATGATAAATAACAGTTCCTTCATTTCTTGGAGAAATATGTATGCATTTCATACCTTGTGTTTGCTCAGAAAATATTTCTACAAATTGCACCATTCGTTTCTGTCATTTTCTTCGGATGAGCTCTTCTTTCATTAAATCCTCGACTTACTTCTGATAATTTTTAAAATCCATCGAGCTTTCTTGTTGAACGAATACCTTACAGAAATTGATACATGTAATCGACTGTCATCTCATGTAAAATATTTTGGAGATGTAGAAGCATAAGGTCGAAGGTTACAGGAGAATGAGTGGGATCGTTGCTTTTTGTCTCTGAGGTCTCCAATTTTGTGTGGGAGTAAATTTTCCTTTGGATTTTTCTTTGAATTTCCCTTTCAAAAATGGACACATAATTTGACACCCTCCAATGAGATAAAAAGGGTATTTAAGGGGAATTTCCATCTACTCAATATTTTTAATTAAACTTCAGTTTTGAATGAAAATTTGCAGTTATTCTCAAAAATAAAAAACATTGAATTAGGTTGATTAGAAGTAATCTAATAATTCCCCCTTCAGGTGTTTCTAAAATCCCTTCCAAAATTGGAAGAACCTGAAGGATCCCCAAAATATTGAAAAAAATACAAAATTAGTAGACATTCGATGGAATGCAGAGTGTAAAACGATCTTTAAACAATTCTGTTTTCGATGGTAGTCATAAAAAATGAAAAAATAGATCCCTGTCTCTGGTGACTTCTTGAATTTATTTGATCTTCAGGCCAAAACTGCTGGCACACATATACTTTCCATATTTTGAACTGATTTTGATAATGAATATTTGATAATTGTAAGAAAACACAGAAAGACGTTTGATAACAAATATTTTCAATTCGAAATAAAAGCGGCTCGATTTTACCATGAAATTTAATATCATGTTTTGTCGTTTCAGAAGGATTTCGATATCACCAATTTAACCAACCAGGATATCCAGAAACGGATTCTGAAAATAAAAGCAGATCAGTGCCACAAAGGAAACATTTCAATGCCGGGTGAGTTCACAAGCTTTGATTTATTGGAAAAAAAAAATAGAATAAATTATTAATATTTCAACTCGAATTCAATGTCCAGGGTTTATCGCAGGGATGAAAAATAATCACAGGATGTTTGTTTGGAAGTTTGATCGGTTCCCACAACCGTGCGCTATGCAAACTAATTAACAGTAGCAGTTGGCAAAGTTCAGAGTTCGAAGGAACCTTCGACTGCTATATTACCGCCTCGATTAACTCAAACTTGTTGGCAGGAACTTGGCATGCTTTAATTCTCCCCGCTTCCTCCAATTAACGCGTTGGAAACACAATATTCCTTTTCCCTGGTGCGAGCGATTCGATGAATTTTCACGAATTCTCGAGTTTCACCGAAAATTATATCAATCATTTCAAATTAGGGATGCGCGGGTACCTGATGTTACAGGCTCGGGCGGGCTCGGAAAAAATCGGGCGAGCTCGGGCGGACGTCCGATGCACGCGTGCAGTCGGGTAGCGCGACTACTTCGGGTCAGGTCGGATAAAGTCGGGCAGACTCGGATGAGCTCCCGCGGGCCGCGGTCCGCGACCCAACTCTCCGTGTACTTGTTAATGCTTGCGCAATAAGGGTTACACGACCCCGCCCGATGTTTTCCGAACCGACCCGAATAGTCGGGCCCTATTCGCACATCACTATTCCAAATACCATTACCCAATTAGTCTTCGTTACAACAATTCTGGAGTTCTATACCTTTGTGCTTTGGAATTTATATATTGTGTTTCCTTTATCTTGTTAACCAGAATGGGAGTGTTTCCTGTCTATATCACTGTGCTCCTGCGGTGTTCTTGTTTCATAGAAACAAGACAGCTATTCTCATTCAGGAGATATACCATTTCAATAATATTCTGGTTGCGAATTGATGAACGGAATCCTGTAGTTGTTAATCATTCAGCGTGTAACAACGCACCCCATGTACAATACACAACCACCCTTTTGCCACCCTTGTTTTCATCGGTTTTGAACCAAGGGGATTTCGATGATTTTGCAGTTTTGCCCTCGCATTATCCATTACAATGGAAAATTTATGGAACGAAGTATGCTAGGGGTTGGTTAAATCCAGAGATATTTACAACAACAATATGTCCTTGTGCAGCTCTGTTACCTCGTTTACAAGCGTCACTGAAAAACGTGCAAATTTTTCTCGTAAATGGTAAATACGACCAGCCCTATTCCAGAAATTTATGGGAGACATTTAAAACCGGAAAATTCGTGAGAAAATGGAAATTGCTGCTGACAACCCTACAGTGGGAATTGAACCCTGATTACTTTGGCTGCAGTCAAGTGCTTAATCCACTTAGCCAAGATGAGAACAGTTTTTTGGTTTCTTATTTTACGTATTTTAACCTTTTGGACCATTTTTCTATTTCTGATTATTTCCTATTTTATTTTTAATGGATTATAAAAATGACAAATTGTACATAATTTTTTTTTTTAATGAACAGGGCTGAATATGGGTTGATGCAGATTCGATAGATTGTAGAATGTCTGGTACGCGGACAAAGTGACCGCACGGACGAACATGCAAATGGCTAAATGTGATTTCCCCTGCATACATTCGAACCTTAATGGATTCCTATTCCTGTAACTTCTATGCAGCTTGTGTCAAACTCTATACTAGGAATTACAGGATGAAAGCTTTGCGTCCAACGCGTCGGTGATAACGAACAATCATCCGTTTTATGGTCCTGAATCAATTTTCTTTGATGATAAAAGGAGCACGTGGCAAAATTTTCCTACTTCACATTAGCAATATCGATAAAGCGTTTATGTAATAGTTTTCTGTAGACTTTAAGCTATAAATTGACATATTGTAAGTCATATTTCAAGATACTTTTGTGTCATGAAATCATACTTAAAAGCGTTCTTTAAAGAGAAAGCAATCAACTGTGTAAAGTAGTAAAAGAATTTTTGAAGAATGTAACAAATTTCTGTAGAAACTGTAAAAGGATGTTAAATTTTAGTGAAAAGAATGTTCGCTATAGGATTGCAAGTTTAGGAGTTGAAATTAGTTCTGAAGAAACAATTAATTAATTAAAGGGCGATGGTTACTAGATTATCCTTGAACTTTTAGCAAGGTACACGAACGAAAGAAAAGAAAAGTCTGGAATAATAATGAAATTGTGAAGTATCGAATGACAGCAGACATATATTGATACTAATCACTTAATGAAAAATCGATCGGTGCGAAGGTCATCTATTAGCCTTATATTGGAAATTAGCTTCCATTTTAATTATCAGTCCTTCGTCCTTCATCAATTTTTCCCCGAACCTCGCCATGGTAATTAATTAATATTCTGGGAAAAAGAATCCCTTTAGAAATACTTTTTAAAATATCTGTACTGTAGAATTTACAATAATTATTCACAATTATATTTTAAATAGAATATCTACCTTAATGAGAACTGTAATTTTAGTACTATTTTTATGTTACAAAAAAATTGTATTTTGTGGTATGAATTGAAGAGCTTCGTGTATCGTTTCAGTGAAATGTAACAAAAAACCATTGAATTTTGTGAAACAGGATGGTGTCCAGAGATATGGGATGAAATATTGTGCTGGCCATCGACTGCGCCTGGAGATCTGGCTATTTTATCATGTCCATCGTACGTTGCTGGATTCGAATTCCAGGTACTGTTTTTGTTACATTTTTCCAGGGCCGGCCCTGGGTCTAAGCAGACTAGACGACCTAGGCCCCCCCAAAGTCCAGGGCCCCCATAAGACGATTTTGCGTCTAAAAATGTTTACTTGAATCTAAAATTAAAATCTAAATTAGTTATACAAGCTTTAATGTTAATTTTATAAATTTTATTTGGGGAACTTTTTCTTATGTCAGATTTGTGAAGGGGCCCTTTTTCGGAGCTTGCCTCGGGCCCCAGAAAGCTCAGGGCCGGCCCTGGGCCTAGGCAGACTAGGCGGCCGTCCAGGGCCACCCCCCCAAGGTCCAGACCCTCTCCTCTAAGGTCCAGGGTCCCCCCAAGGTCCAGGGCTCCTTCGAGGTCCAGACCCTCTCCTCTAAGGTCCTGGGCCCCCCCAAGGTCCAAGGCCCCTCCGAGGTCTAGACCCTCTCCTCTAAGGTCCAGGGTCCCCCCAAGGTCCAGGGCTCCTCCGAGGTCCAGACTCTCTCCCCTAAGGTCCAAGGCCCCCCCTAGGTCCAAACCCTCTCCCCTAAGGTCCAGGGTCCCCCCAAGGTCCAGGGCTCCTCCGAGGTCCAGACCCTCTCCTCTAAGGTCCAGGGTCTCCCCAAGATCCAGGGCTCCTCCGAGGTCCAGACCCTCTCCTCTAAGGTCCAGGGTCCCCCCAAGGTCCAGGGCTCCTCCGAGGTCCAAACTCTCTCCCCTAAGGTCCAAGGCCCCCTCAAGATCCAGACCCTCTCCTCTATGGTCCAGGGTCCCCCCAAGGTCCAGGGCCCCTCCGAGGTCTAGACCCTCTCCTGTAAGGTCCCCTCCAAGGTCCAGGCCCTCTCCCCCAAGGTCCAGGGCCCCCCCATAATATTTACTTGAATATTAATCTAAATTAGTTATACAAGCTTTAATGTTAATTTTATAAATTTTATTTGGGGAACTTTTTCCTATATCAGATTTGTGAAGGGGTCCTTTTTCGGAGCCCGCCTCGGGCCCCAGAAATCTGAAAGCCGGCCCTGACCCCTTTTCCATTAAATAATATTCGCTTAAACATAATCCTTCAGGAAGGTGGTTGCTAATAAATACTAATGAAGTTATTAAATACAGGCCAACGCGTCCAAACAGTGCATGCCTGATGGCCAGTGGTTTTGGAACAACGGGACCAACAGCCTCTGGAGCAATTACAGCCAGTGTTATCGAAATCCATTAGTAACTCTGGTGATGAAGCTGCCCGGTGGTCAAGAGAACAACGATACCCTTATCAAGGTGATTACTTATGCAGAGGAATTAATTCGATAGGGCTCTCTAGTTTCAAAGAGAGATCCACGTAGGGTACTGGCACAAAGGAGTCGCCTCAAAGGAGAAATATTAAGGGAGTTGGTTATTCTGTAAACTTTTGTTCCTGTTCAAGAAAGTTATTTAATAAGTTTACAAGGATCAACACGTTATAGAAATTTTATATAGAAATAAATAAAGAATTCTGATGTTGCAGTATAATTTAAAATGAAGCCATACCAATCAATCTAATTCAATGATTTTTATTTCTGAAAATAACTGCAAATTTTCATTCAAAATTGAAATTTAATTAAATATATTTAAATACGCAATAGAATAGATGAAAATCCTGTTATCCCAAAGAATTCTACAATTGAAGTCATAAATGAAGCTGCAGCAAACAGACGTTCAGTTAATTATTTCCCTTTAAACACCAACAAAACAGCGGCTCAGAGAGTAGAAAGAAGGGTATAAAAGACCATCAAAGGGTAGTAGACTGTTGATTCAGTGTTGTATTAAATTGTTCATTTGAAGGGAATTTATTAGTCAGGGAAATACAAGGTCGAACGACTATAGTCGACGTTATTAACTAAAGAGTTAATTTTCTTTCTATTTAGCATGGGAGGTTGTGGTTTGTAACGCAGTTAAAGTTACTTAATTGCACGTACTGGCTAGTAAACAGCCTAATTGTCGTTAATGATGTTGCAGAAATTTGTCCCAATAGTGAAGACCATTTCCAAAGTTGGCTACACGGTTTCCTTTTTCACCCTGGTGGTCGCCTTTTTCATTCTGGCAGTGATCAAGTAAGTATTTTATAACTAAATCAATCATTCGGTTCTTCATATACAAGGTGTCCCAGAAACAGTGTAAGCCACTTAAGGAGATGATAGCTAAGGTGATTCTGAACAACATTTTCCTTTACAAAAATCTTGTTCAAGGCTTCGTTTTTGAATTATTAAGAAAAAACTCTCGGCCAATCCGAGCGCGCGTGGTGCGCGGGCTCAGGGACGGCGGCGTCGGCTGCAGAACCCGGGCCTGGCCTAACGTTAAGTCCCAAACTCGGCACCCCGCTAGTATAGCAGGAGTTGATAAAATAAAGAAATTGAACTGATTCGTTGCTTAACATGAATAGAGAACCTAATCTCTTGCCACTTGTCATAAAAATGTAAAAAAAGAAATTCTAAGTAACAAATAAAAATGTATATATTTTTCTATTAAAGCTTTAATATTGGAAGTGCTGATGGCAGAATAATTTCTAAAATTATTCCCCATGCAAATACTGACACAACTCCAATAGAATTCTAATTTATTTTCATTCATAACTGTTTCAATGAACTTTCATACATTCTTCTGCAAGTTCATTGAAACTCACAGTGTTATTCACTGGTGTTCTAATCCTGGATCGTATCACTACTCCAAGTTTATCCCGAATTGGACGTAGGAAATTGAGGTGTCCTCGTAACATGCTGCACATGCACCTTTTCGCCTCGTTCATGCTGAGGGCGTTCATGGCACTGCTGAAGGACATCCTGTTCGTTTCCGGGATCGCTCTCGCCTCGGACCTGATGATCATAAACGGGGAAACCTACTGGCTGGTCGCCGAGGAAAGCACGTGGATGTGCAAAGTGTTCATCAGCTTCTGGCAGTATTTCATCCTGGCCAACTACTTCTGGATATTAATGGAGGGGCTGTATTTGCACAACTTGGTGTTCTTTGCACTCTTCACCGATGTGAACTCAAGCATCATTGGCTATGTGTGCCTTGGATGGGGTGAGAATTCTTCAATCTATTCTTGACCTTACAAGACCTTTCTTTAACTATATGTACATTGGTGGAATTAATTCTGGACACTTTGGATAAAAATATTCTTTATTTCATATTTATACAGAAAATGTATATTCTACTATGCTGAATATTTTTATTGTAATCTATAATGTTCATACTTAATATTTTCACATAATTTGGTTTGTAAATGTTTGGAAATTTTTATTTAAAAAAATGTAAACTTTGTTATTTTTGTTTTTGCAATGAAATTAATTTTTGTCTACCTCCTTTGATTTATAATTTATAAGCGACGCCCTAAAATTATAAAGCAATGATTAGAATATAAAATATTAAATAATTTGAATAAATGCGAAATTTAAGTAAAAATTTAAAAGTGCCTTCCTTTTTCATTTCAAATTGATCTTGGATACGTATGTTTGGTCTGGAATATTAATATTCTGTTTTGCGAATTCTTTTTCTCTGTAAAATATTTTTATACCCTCCGAGCTTACCAAAGATTCTCTTTGATCTCTGTTTACAGGTCTGCCAGCTATGTTCGTGTCCTGCTGGATCGTCGCAAGAGTAATGCTCGACAACAGTTATTGTTGGACCACCCACGAGTATCCTTACCTCTTTCTTTTGATTCGAGTGCCTACCACGTTGTCCATCCTGGTAAGATAACACAAAGGAAGGGCTGCAGCGAATACCTCTCGTCTTTCACATTTTTACTTTGAACTTTTCAGTCCACCCAGACCAGTTGCTCTTTTTTTAGGAAATAAAGCTTCAGGCCATGCATAGAGTTTGTATTTTATACAACAAAGTTTGATTTATGGCACAGAAAGCAAGAAATCACAACCTCATCATTCTCAATGCCTCCAAGCACATTTTTGTTAACACTGGCTCCTTTATGTTCCACAGATCAACTTCGTGCTCTTTGTGAACATAGTCAGAGTCCTTCTACTGAAGCTGAAATCCACGGTTTCCGAGGAAACACAGAGATACAAGTAAGTTCCACCCTAATCTCAAATAAACCCCCTGCTGCTGTATCGTTTGTGGGGACCTAGTTTCTGAACAACTCCGGGAAACTATAGCGTTATTCGATAACGAGCTGCTTTTCAGCTGAAAAACTTGGCGTGCTTTCCAGGAGATGGGCAAAAAGTACCTTGGTGTTGGTGCCACTCTTCGGCGTCCATTACACACTGTTCCTGGGGATGTCGTACAGTATCGGTATGAACGAGACTGTGGAAGTTGTGTGGCTGTTCTGCGACCAATTATTCGCATCTTTCCAGGTAATGCTACCTTCAATTCACATATTTCATTCCTCCCCTACTGATTGGTTAAACTTTTCATTCATGATTTCCACGTTTTCCACTCAGGTCAGTTGATGCATGCCAGTCTCTGTTACCCCTTTTTATAACGCAAAATCTGTTCCTTATTTTTCCAGGGCTTTTTCGTAGCTGTGCTGTACTGTTTCCTGAACGGGGAAGTGCGAACCGAGGTGTCCAGGGCGATCAGAAGCCAAAGATTACCCCGCGTCCGCGGCAGGTGGATCTCCAGACGGTTCGCCCACTCGGGAAGTACTTATAGCTGTAACGGTTCGAAACTTGGCAAACGTTCGAAGCAACCGCGTTGGTGGAAAGACCCGTGGCTCTGTTTCCTTCACGACAGGACCGCTCGGCGATCAACTCACTCGATGGCGAGTACACAAGGTGTCCTCTCTATCCTACGAACTCCTCCGTTCTCTGTCGCCTCGCGCGACCTCGTTTCTCTGATCACTCTCACCACGACCAGCTTTCGAGCTTTGCTTCTCACGATAACCGGTGAACGATTTGATGGACCGACGTAGAGGTATACCCGGGGCGCCGGGTGATGCGTAGATTTTAGCATGAGACTCGATGAAATATGTAAAGCAGATGGAAATGGAATTCTCAGTTACCAAAATATTTATGCTGTATAATATTAGATAAGGAGTTAAGATTCGACCTGTTAATTCATTGCACGTGCATGCTCATTCTTCTCCTACAAAATTTATTTTGGAATTAAGAGTATAATACACCCCAGGTTATAAAATTTATTTAGAACGTGTAGGGTATCTTTTTTCATTCAACAGATATTCCTTTGGATAAAAGTCAGAGGGTGAAAGTTAAAGGGCGATATTTTCCAGATATTGGTACGCGAGGAGGTAGTCTAGCGAGCAGCAGGGGTTATCTGGAGATCGCCGGGAACGCGCAGGGTGCACATCCGGGAAATGAAAGTCAACAACGAGCGAATCACACGTCACCTTTGTACAGCAAATACACAGATCAATCGTTACTATCCTTTTGCTCCAACGTGAGTACCACGACGCTTCGCGTATCCACAATCCCCATACAATGCACCTCCGTGCAATCTATTTCAATTTTCTTCAATCATATCGTTTTTTTTCTCAGGTTTCAGAGGCAACACCGTGTACAGGTTCGAACGTGGAGAGGTTCGTACGAGACCAGCATCGTTGGAGCGACTCAGAGTGCTGTCACCTTGCCTACGAGTTGCACAATTTGCATCATGGCCCCCCATGAAATTACCCCCGTCGCAGGGGCAAAATGATTAACAAGAGTTTTTGATGGAAACACCTACCACTTGGTTACCCAATTCATTGAAAATAGTGCAGAGACTATGAAATTTCAGGAAAAGGATGTTTCAATTATAGCACTGCTCAAAAGTTTCATTGATCAATATGAATGTGGGTTAATTACCTGATTAATTTATCTAATTGATCTAAACTTAGATCACGTATCTACTGAATCTGAATTTAAATGAATCACCTGACTGTGTGATTTAAATTTATGTTAATTACACGACTACTTAATCTACAGTAAGATGGATTACCTGGCTAGTTTAATTCATCTAAATTCAAATGAATCGCCTGACTATCAGATCAATCTAAAATCAGATGAATTACCTGACTACTTAATTAGTTATTGATCAGGTACAATACGCATTCGTGAAAGGGCAGAACTCGTGTTACTCGTGACCATCAGTTCATTATCCTCCGTCGTTGAATACTAATTAACAGAGAGCATGAATAATACCATGAACCAGGGGTGGGCAATTGTTTTAGCTCGGGGGCCACTTTGGGGAGACGGAGGTTAGCGGAGGGCCACACTTTTTAAAATAATTTCATTCATTAGTTAACTTTGCATTTTAGAAGGGTATAAATTCTACCATAAAAATCAATAAATATGAATTAACCCATTATCCACCAATGTCCCATTTTTGGGACACATTTTCAAATTTTTTTTTATTTAGAAGTTGCAGTTATTAAAAGAAAAAAATTTGAAAATGTATCCCAAAAATGGGACATTGGCGGATAATGGGTTAAATAAAATAGTGGCAGTTTTATTGGAAATCTCGGTTCAATGCGGATTTTTCTGTCTTGGCGGGGCACAAAAAAACCCTTAGCGCACCGCTATTTGCCCACCCTTGCCAATAGCATAAACGGTTCTTCTTTTATACCAAAACAATTGCAATCGTGTTTGCAATTAAGAATCCTGTCAGCGTGTCATCCGTTTATTTTTCTACTCAATTTCTCGAATCCTGAAACATTGTACTGGAACCCGCTAATCCGGATGTTCATTAATTAATCCATCCAGATTAACTGGTTCCATTCGCGTTTTTATATTTCTAAAAAAAAAAAACTATGTACCTCAAAAGGATCTCGTTTTTATGACGTCCTTTATTGCCCTCACTAATTAGTCCTAAAATAGTAACATAACTTTTTGTATGTACGTAAATATCAACATGGCGTCGTATGATGTATTAAGTATTTATTTGGTGTAATATATTATCCTTTATCATACGTCTGTCACTAACGCCTAGTTACTATTCTAGGATTAAAATTTCTCTGGCATTTTAATTTTTCGAGAAAAGGGCAGTTAGGGAATCCGATGATCTAGTTACCTGATGGTCCGAATTACAATACCATAATCGAGCCGAGAACTCGTTAAATCGTAGTTAATTTATATATATAGATATTTTTTTCTCGCAAGAAAATTAGCGTTAATCCCGTTAATCCGAATCGCATCCAATTAGTTTGGATTAACGGGGTCGCGTTGCGCATCGTTTATCTCTTTGTACGAGAATAATTGCATTATCGATCGCGTCGTACGTGTCGCGTTTATGCTGTAAATTTCAAGCAAATGTATGTTTCTATATACGTGTGGCGTGAATGAGATGGCTCGAGGGTGAAAGAAATATTCTGTCGAGGTGGATGTCCACTCGAGTTTGAAACTCGCGCCAGAAGCTCTCGACAGTCACTCGACAGTATTCAGCTTACTCTCGAGTGGACACCCACCCTTAGGCTTCCTTTTTATCGAGAGGGAGTGTTGCCTTAATTGATCCCTAACCTAGGGGTGGTAGGATCTGTCTATATAGTCGCTTCCAAGATTAAAGACAAACAGTGGATAACCCCTCCTCCCAATTATTCTTAACCCAAAGAAGCTTACTTTGCATCCGAGTGCATTTTATAGCAGTCGACGTGTTAATAATAATAATTTAAATAATAAGTATCAGTGATCGCGTGGAATGTTCTTGCGTGGATTCGTCGTCAATTAAATACATAACTGTCGCATAACAAAAATGATAATGTAACGTACAAACGACACGTGTATTATTTATTATAGGAAATTAGAAAGAAAATGACGGTCGCATGTGTTTGATGTGAAACTTGAAATAAAAAAAAAAAAGAAAGAAACTGAAAGTTTCTTTGATTCTCGAAATTACAATGTTTTATTTTCGATTAAGAAACGATACAAGAACAAATAATTCATATGGTTTTTTACAACGCATCGACTTATAAAATACATATTTACATCGCGGTTAGATCAGGTGAGGTTATTAAAGGGATCATAAGCGTAATGGTTTCTTCGTTCTGTCCAAGATCGTCGATTCCGGTGGTTCGCTGCAAAAAAGTAAATAAAATTAATTGAAATTCTAATACTAAATTAGGCAGTGGCTGCTCGTAGGTAAAATTAGTGGGGATGCTGCTCCAGAAAATTTTTAGCCTTCGTTTTAAAAATCGCCATTGCGGGAACGACAGTGCTCTCTCTCCTGCGCAGCCTCGCGCGCAGCTTCCTACCTGCGCATGCGCACACGGTCAAAGACCACGCCGCTTGAACTGTGAAGCGCACAGTTCCATACAAAGATTTTTGTATCTTTTTCATAAACTGGGGGATGGCTAGTGACATTAAGCTTAAAGATTATACACTCGAGGAGGAAAATAAGTGGACACTGTTCAAAATGAAATACCTCGGTTAAAATTGGACTAAATAACTTGAGGTTTTTTGAGAAGCTATAAAAATTAATTCACTAAAATATGTATTTTTATCGTTTTAAAAAATTACCATTTGTTGAAATCGTGAAAAAAATAGTGAATGGTAATTTTTTAAAACAATAAAAATACATATTTTAGTGAATTAATTTTTATAGCTTCACAAAAACCCTCAAGTTATTTAGTCCAATCTTAACCTAGGTATTTTATTTTGAACAGTGTCCACTTATTTTAAGCATAAGGAATTAAAGAAAAAAGGACTCATTATATTAAATATTATCGATAATATCAAGTGGAAATAGGTACCTATGCACGAGTCTCCACTGAAATTAGAAATTGTTCTCTAAAAGCAGAGATGAATTGAAACGAAGAAAGAAGCACCATGCTAAGATCTTAAGCTGTTTGACAAGAAGGAGCTGGCAGGAAAGGGTGATCGATTTTTATGATAGAAACGTCACGATAAATCCGCTTACCATCCTGTGACATTTTCTGCACCGTCACAGGCATTGATCAACTCGTTGAACGCGTTTCCTTCTCCGCAATTCTGTAATCGCGGCTTGCCATTCACGCAGACGTAATACCGCTGGCAGTCGTGGGGGCTACGGTAAAACTTGATCTCATTGCCGTAATAAGAGTTGGACGTATCCTCCGGACATTGGAAGCCCAAGAATGCTGCAGCATTAATTAGTCAGAATTATTATCTGTGATTTATGATCCGTTAAGGAAACAAGCTTCTGTTTACAGGTTAAAATCCTTTACCTTCGGCGTCGCAGTCTGGAACTTGATCGGGCCAATCGCACCGATAACTCTCAGGATTAAAAGCTAATCCCTCGGGACAATCAAATTTGTACCCAATACCCGCTGCACAGTTCACGAACTGACCGCAATGGGTGTGATCTCCGACCTTGAAGTAGCCATATTGATGAGGGCAATCGTCTGTTGGCTGAGGTGCCTCTAAAAGATAAGAATTTGAAAATTTATTTTAAAAGAAAAATCCAATTTTCCACCACAGAGAAAGAAATAATACTAACGTCTACTCTGTCTGCCCTCGCAGTCAATATCTATGGGATACCCACAGGGATAATTGAATCTCGCATCTGGATTAAACAACAAACCCTCTGGGCACAGCTTTTCTTCAGCAACTCCATCGATGCATTCTATATAAGCGTCACACTGGGAAGGAACTGGAAAACGACCATTCTTCTCTGGACAAGAGGAATGTTGCCTCGACGATATACTATGATCCACTTGATTACTCTGTCCAAATTGTGATAACACGTGATATTGACTTGCAGCTGAAAATAAAAAATGTCTCGAAAATTGTATCTCATGGAAGCTATAGATTATCCGTGAGAAAACAAATCGAAAAGTCTTTTACCGTTTTTCAATCCGAGGCTTCGTTTCCGAGATACGAGCGATTAAAGATTGGGCGCCCGACTTCCGGGGTGCCTAGACGCCTGAGCACCCCGGAAGTCGGGCGCCCAATCTTCAATCGCTTGTATCTCGGAAACGAGGCCTCGGATTGAAAAACGGTAAAAGACTTTTCGATTTCTTTTGACACGAAGAATCATTTGAACATACTCTTTATGCAAAAATAATAACTTTCAGAAATTGTTGCATTTAAATGAATATTGAAATGTTGAATTATAATTCCAAATAAAATGGTAATTCTGTTTGTGTGAAGATGAAGATGTTACACGAATAATGTCGATATTAAACATGGATCGCTTCCACCTGTTTCGTTATCCCAGACAGTGTTTCTCAATCATTCGAAAGATTTTCATCTTTTGTAGCGGCTCAATTAGAGGGTAACAGCTGATCCAGTGCGATGCACAGGTGTTTTCGCCGGTTCTGATGATTGGGAAACTCTGTCCCGTTGCATAATGCAGCACGTTGAAGAGGAAACCGGTCCCGAAGGCTAAAAGTCTCGAACAGAGAAAGTTCGACGATGCGACTTGACCTCCTCCATTGCGAACACGTCGCATACATTAGCACTGGACTTACGAAACCGGTCATCGAAATCGATAACAAATTACCAGCCGAAAATGGCAATTGCTTCATTTCAATTCACTGCCAGTTGTGGCTACCGATTCATGAATTCATTCTTGAAACTTCTCAGTGAAAAATGTTAATAATGACTGGTATTAATTTCTTCTTTAAATTATCAATATACCATTCCTTTTACTCTGCCTCGTTCAAAGGGCACTACCACGTTCTCTTGAAAGAAAAAGTTGAAGTCTCAATATAATTGAATGATTTTTAATTGGAATCATTGAGATGGAGTGGACGTGACAAGATGGCGTAACTTTCATAAACATTTCAATGGTGCAAATTTAATGCAGCGACGATTGCTGAATTTTAACAAACTACTATTTGTACCTCCAATGAACCAACTGAAATCTTTGATAAAGAATGACGAATCTCTAAGTCAATCAGAGCCCCTTTTATTTTACAAATTTTCAATTTCTTTCAAAAATGAATGGTGCACTATACCACTCTCCATCTTCAATGTATATTTACATAAATAAAACTTGGAAATTAATCCGTAGAAATTCCACATTTCAAAGTATATGGAAATGATGATATCTCATTACATTTTCCTGGACAATCCAATGTAATGTAACACAAAGTGATACACGTTTCTTTGAAATGAAATGATAGAAGGAAGGCAAAGTATACCGTTACTCCTTTGGTCCACTGTAATTTCGAAAGCAGATGGGTTTTCACTTTCTAGAAGATACGATCATAAGCGTGGATGGATGTTTACTCACATTCAATACGGCTGAGAAGGCCGCAGGCGATCACCAGATGAACGATCGTCTTCGAGGGCATCTCCGAGCTGTTGTCGTTCAGCTCCTGAAAGCAACACTACGTGTCTCCTCCTCTTCTTCGCGGGTTTTTATCATCTTCGACCACCGTGCCCTCCCATCACGCTCCTCTTCCGCCCGGTCTACCTGCTATCGACTTCCTCTTTAGACCTTCGTCCCCTGCCATATTTTTCTTTACATTTTTTCCACTCCACAGGTGAGTCTGATGGCTTAGATATTGTAGAGTTCACTGGCAGCATTTTAATGCTGGGGTGGTCATCAATTACTTGCACCAGTGAATATAATTTATATATATATATATATAAATTTCATATTCAATATATTATATTATAATATATATCAATATTCTCTATTAATATTATATTGTAATATATATCATAGAATATAATAGAATATCATATTCAATTTTAACACCAATCTTATCATTATTTCTATAAGTTGTAATTGAATTCAGTAAATCATTTTGTAATTTCGTTTCAGCAAAAATAGTTAAAAATCCCTGCAGAAAGTTATATTAATGATTTTAGAAGTAATAAGTGTTGTAGAGGATTCTGAATCTTATTGATACCTTATTAATACCATAAAATATTAAATTAATTCTTCCATATGTATCCTGTACCATTTAGGGCCATTGTTAAATTTTGGATGCCATTGTCAGTTACACCTGAGTAATAAAAATTACAAATAACTGTTAGTGATAAATATGTTACTTTTAGCTGAATATTTGTACAATAGACAAATGTATATTTGACATTCTTTCTTAGAAACCAAGCCTTAACTGTGTTTTTATCTTTTCACACATAGAACAATATAGTCTTTGATAGGTAAAAAGGTTCGTTAACGAACGATACGCAGAAAGAAACGTAGAAAATGTCAAGGCTCCGATTGTACCTGTGCGCCCGAGGCTTCGACGATTCTTCTCTAATCACGGAACTTTCGTCGACGTTACGCAAAATTCTCGTTCCATCTCCTATATTTTTCCACCTTTCTACGTTCCACGAAGAAATTCTCTCCTCTATTAATAAATTAATCATCGCAGTAGCCAGAGTTATCCGTAGCACGTTAAGCTATAATAGGTATTATTAAAAATTAATTTTCTAACCTTCAAAATTTTGCAAAATTCTGATATTAATTTATATACGTACCTTCTAATTATATGACTGAAATATAAACAGCTGGAATATAAAATTGTTCATTTTTCAATTCAAAATAATGTCAAATCATTTTTGTTTAATGAAAAGAATTTTTTATGAAGGAAAAAGCATTTGAAATCAATCATCTGCGTGGGTATTTCGTATTTCCATAGGATTGATAGCGACCCATTTTGTTTTGCAAAACACTCCTTTGAATCGATTAACGACTTATCGTAAATCGCAATCGAAATTAAATTACTGCGCGAAATTAGCTAACTATCGATTGATCTATTTCTTGATACTTTAACTTATCGATTATCGAGAATTTGAATTGTGCAAAATTTGTTTCAATTTTTTATTTCATCCATGTATTTTGTTAACAATTATTTTCTTTAAATTATTCGTTACAGTAAAGGATTGTAATTTTCGTTTTGAATGTCAACAATTAATCCCCTTGTTACAGAGGTATGGATTAATTAAAATCATCACATAATTAGTTAATAATTACACATCAATACTAATGCAAATTCCAAATTATCGTAATTTACTTAATTAAATTAAACAGTAATACATTATTATATTATTATCAGGTTATAGGTTTGCAATTCTACGATGCATACAATTATTCTTGGATTACGAATGCAAGATAAATGAATTAAATAAGAAAAGAAATACTTTAAATGTGCATCTCCATTGAATTTTGTCTTCTAAAAGCGGGATTACAGGATTGTAAAGGAGATCTTTTAGCAAGAAAAGGAACTATTTTAGACAAGGACAGAGCATGTGATATTTATCTCTTGTCATTTATAGCACAATAGTAAAACTAACCTGCTGGTAATAGGATAGTAGATTGTATAGAGGTATTAAACAAAGAGGATAAATCCTGAAAAAGGATGCAATGAGTTATACCAACTTGAATTAGACGCGCCTGGTACCGTGAAGCGCAGTGAGCCACTGCGCAGATAGTGGGTGGAGCTAAGAGGGTATGTATACATACACCTTTACTAGTTAGGGAGCGGCAGTAGTCTAAAGCTCCTGGTAGAAGAAGCACAGGAGTGCCAGGAGGTTTAATTACGAACCGTTTGGGCGATAAGATTCTAATTACGGTATTATTGATAATTACTCAGTGCCAGCCCTGAGATTTCAGGGGCCCTAGGTGGGCCCCTTCAAATATATAACACATATGTACCTCAAATAAAATTTATAAAATTAACATTAAAGCTTGTATAACTAATTTAGATTAATGTTCAAGTAAAAATTACTCTTCTTGCATTCTTAGACGCAAAATCGTGTTATGGAGTCCTTGGACCCTGGGGGGCCCTAGGTCCAGGGCCGGCCCTACTTACTTACTTATTACTATAGAAAGAAAGATTTATAATTTAAAACACGTACAACGGTACTGCACTTAATTTTTATTTAGTTTGCACCATACAACAGTTTACAAATTTTCTAGTATTCCATTATTTATTTACACGCTACTATAATTTCGCCTGAGAGTGCTATCCTGTAGCAACTTTCACATATTATTTCTCCAAATATTCTATGATATAATGATTATGTATATTCAAGCACTTAACATTCCTAATTCTTTTACACTTTATCTAAAATTTCTGATTACAAAACACTTGTAAATGTAATTGCAATTATAACAATAAATTTTGATAAGATAGCATCAGCTTCTAATTCAAACGGTAAAAAAAAATACAATTAAAAAGATTTCCATAAAAATATACCTTTCTAATGAAATCTTTGTACAATTACATGTTTTACTAAAGGCACACAACAGCCGAAATATATTTATATAAAGGCAATAAAAATGTGCAATAGCACCTATGCTTTAAAATCCTGCTTCAGCAGGTACGTGTGTATATTTAATTCTATTAACAATCAGAATAGATAATATTAGTAGACGTTAAAATAATTATTTTCTCTTTTCATTTTTATGATAATATAAATGTTCAACAGTCAGTGTGTATGAGACAGTTTTCACTTGTTATGTATTTGGATAAGCTTTGCTTATATTTTTTAAATGTGCTAATGTTATTGAGCATGGAAATACATTCAATCGTTACAATAAGTACCTGAATTCTAGCTTTAAATAATAGTTTTACGAGGCATGAATGATAAGAAGATTCTTCTTCCTGCTATTATACGCTAAGTACTATGGTTTTTCGATGTCGATTCTACTGCATTTGGAAAACGTTGAAACTTAAAAAATAATCGTTATTAAAACTTTCCTATTTAAAACGTATGATAAGTTCTATCACAAATTTGATATACTATAAACAAATAAAATCGTGTGATGTACTCAAGAACACGATTCAAATCTATACTCATTGACGCTCTATAGGATAAGTACACTTTTATGATAAGGAGCTTGAACCGTACACAGTTCTCGAAACGTTACACATGAATCATAAGTACATATTCGAGCAATAGTATGCTTCACAGTATATACATATATACAAAAGTAATCTAGTACATGAATCCTGAATGAATTTTGTGCTATTATACTAAAACTTATCTTACCGCTACTTATTCGATTCGTTGTAAGACGCTCTGCCTGCCAATTCGAGTAAGTAACGATCAGGATGATCTATCCAGTCGCTGGCACTTAATTTCACGATCCTCTGCTTCTCTGCTTCCTTCACTTGCCATTTTTTAATTTCCAATTGACGTTCCCTAAAATTTTACTCCTGTTATACTTTTATAAAAATTTATTTCATTCAAATATCAGATAAAATAGTTACCTTAATTTCGTGTCGCCACAGCCCCAAACCTCTAAGCTAGCAATTGGATAAGGTGCACCTGCAATACTGACCGAATGGAATGATTCGTCTATACTAATATACGGCGAACGTGGATTGCTCCCAAACCGCAGACCGTGAGGATAACCCCGGATATTAGTGTTCAGATATAATACTTTGGGTCCCTTTTCTATAACCCTGTACGATGGAAATAATTCAATACCCATTGAATTTTCGTCTCCCCAATAGAGGTGGCTCTCGCGCCATTCTACTGCTGAACATATACAATACGTAGGGCATACGGTGTCTTTATCTGGACTAATTGCTCTTATGAATAATAAAGTAGGACCCCTGTATCCTAGTACGTGATGAAGGAAACGATTGGCTCCTGTCCCATGTTCTGCGCTGTTGTACAGCAACGTCCAATGTCTGGGGCACACGGTGCCCATTCTTTTGGCTATTAAGGCATGCGTGACATCCTTTGGCGAATCATCTAACTGAACATTAATTTGTTTCATTATTTTACATTGTATAATAATAAAAATGTAATCAGATTTTTAATGAAAATTTACCTGAAGATAGCACTGAGGCAACGTACATGCTAATAACCATACGTAACTCAGAGGAAGTAAGACTCGAGGGAATTCAATAGACTCTGGTTGCTCTAATATCGGTGTGGGTATCTCCAGAAGTGGCTGCGGCTGTTCTTTCGACAGCAAAGCTTTACCACTTCTATATGCGGTTGTTAATACATGTATTATGTATCTATGGGGGCCTTGAACTATACGTGTACAGTTCTGCCAGATCCAGTTGCTCACATAACTCACGGACAAGGCATATTTACCATGAAACTATAAGATATGTTTTACAATATACGAATAAACAATATATGGAACATAGAATGTTGAATATACTTACGCAAGATAGAACAACTGCATTAATTATTTGATCTGCAAAAATACAAGAAGGAGTCCCACTGTTATCCATAGCAATTTTGTAGGAAATGTTTAACAGAGCTTTTAATCCATCGGGATTAACACTTCCGTCTCCTTTCAAACAGGAATACATCCTCACATAATTTTCCAGCACCGTTTGATCGTTCATTACAGAAAGGAATTTTTCAGCTTGATGTTTAAAAGCATTCGTGCTTAAATGTGACGTGTTGACATTGGCAGTATAATGAAGGAAGTCAAATAATTTGTCACCCAAATCAGGATAATTAGGAAACAGATACCGTTGAAATACAGATTTTGTAATACCGTGCACTCGATCCTCCTCGTAAGTCAGATGAGACAATGTCTGTAAAATGTACATATTGTTATTTACATAACTGCCAAAATTCATTTCGATATATAATGCAGATTGAAACTATAGCTCGTTGATACTCAAATTTTCAAATAAAGTCAACCGTATTTTCTATCTATTTTTATAACGCAATTAATGTTATCTATGGAAAAGATAGGTTGTACAAACTATGGTACTTATCAATGTTAAGTCATTCAAAAATGATTGTTGAAAAATGACTTGCACCATTCATAAAACATACATGACAGATGATACTTTTCAAATATAAGGAGCCTGCCAACTAACATTTGCGCACTAAGATCATTGTTATTGTGCAACTGATTACACGCATCTTTGTTGCGTATGATAAATTTGATACGGTGGCAGTTAAGAAAAATCTTTGTACCTTCGTTAAACTTTCGATCGGAAAGAATTGCATATGCGAATTAGATTCTAATTCGGTTCCTGAGGAACTTTTTGAAAGGCTGTTTGCATTAGCCGTATCGCCGGCATGTGCAGTGGAATCAGTCTTTTTCGTGGATGCATGTCCAGCACGTGTCACTTGATTACCCATTTCTACTAAATGTCAAAGTACAAACAAATTCACTATCTTATCTGGACATATCATTGCTCACAATAACAAAATATGCTTGCAACCATATGCAACTTGAGGAAGATCGTCATGAATGATACGAAAGTAAGTAATGCACTCGCAACATGTTATGTACATGGACGCACGTAACCAAATGCGATTTCACTTTTAAGTGTGTTCTGTAAACGTCCAAACTAATTATGTTCAAAAATTGAACTAAATAAAGCATGGACGAAATACAGTATTGAATTTTTTTGTATTCGATTAATGAGATTCAAATGGGAAGTATTAAGAATTTATTATATTTCTTCCGATTTCTATTATCATTTGAGGTTAGGAAGAAAGAATTAAATAGTTTAACCATTACTATCAGTGTATTATCATACTTTTACAATACGAGAAATTGAATATCAATTATAAAACATTATTTAACGCAATCGATTAACAAACAATTGTGATAATCAATAACGAACGCGTAGAAAATTTGAAATATTCAATATTTCGCGGTTGGGGGCCGCCATGTTGCGTTTAGAAGCGCGCGCATCCATCATCCTCATTAGCGCGTGAGATTTGGGGGGTGGGGAGAGTTCTTTTCCAAAAGCGTGCATCGGCTGTCATCGGGAAAAAATTTGTCGGTGAGAACTCATTTGCACACGTACTCTAGAAAAATATTCTTCCAAATTGTTTTCTCGTATCCACGAAACGGTCCATCGATTTCCAACGTTCGTGCGCGTATGTAACTCGTTCGATTTCTTCGTATACACAAGTGGCCGAAGAAAAGGTGGGGAGGTGAGACGAAAGTAATCGTAAGAAAGTATCGCAAGTAGACACGTTATTAACTTATAACGCGACCGAAGAAGTATCTTCGGGGGTAGGTATTCGCAGGAGCAGGGTGCGCACTTCCAAATAAGGTGCTCTTAAATGATCCAGTCGTTCGTGTGAATAGCGCTACTACGTGGTGATTCGCTGAATTACAGTGAAACGTTATTGCTTCTCGGCGGGAATGTCGAAATTCTAAAGTGCTCCTTTTTTAACAACCATTCACACGATTAACCGATGCACTCGTTTATTCTTATCGTTACAGTATCACCGTGACACTGAAACGCGTTCGACGTACGCAATTATCTCGGTGTGCGTGTATCGTATACAAACACGTGGTAGATTAGATACAGTTAGCGGTAGGGGATAACAGTCAGCGTCAATCCGTTGACGATAGCAGAACGATTAATCGGAACGTGGAAATTATTCCGTTACATAGCTTTCTACCAGCTGTAATTCGTATATAAAAATAATCAGTTTTATCGCAGTTTAATAAAGTGCATTCGTATTTCCAACAAATTGGACTGAATTAAATCAACGAGGAAGAATGATAAATAATTCGTTGTTGTAATTAAAGGTATATAACTCGTTCGAGTTTTTTCAATGAAAATCTCCGCTCCAATAATCCAATTTCTAATATGTTAATTTAATGATAGATATTTAATTAAAATTCAAACCGAATGCAATTGACCCAAATGTGTCCTCCAGCGTTGTTCGTGTTACGACGCGTTCCTAGGTCGCTTCTCGATTAGCGTACCCAGGGCCGGCGCGACCTTCTTCAGGGCCCGGTTCAAAAATGTTGCGGGGGTAGAATACACATTGAAATCCTATACTTAAATTTCACAATAAGGAATTATTTATTGCAAGTACAAATTATAATACAATATTACATAATTTTTCTCGCTATTTTTGCCTCAAAATCTTTGATTACTCAAAATTAATTAAGTTTGCTACTTCGCTTTTTATTGAAAGAATAGCCAGAGATGTAAATCGATCTCGGCTTATCGATGATCGAAGATAATTTTTTATTAATTTCAACCGCGAGTTTTCGCGGGGCCTTTCGAAACGCGAGGCCGGGTTCCGGTGAAAAGCGCTGAACCTGCCTCGCGCCGCCCCTGAGCCTACCGTCAAAAATTGTTGCTCATAAATTTATTCATGATAAGTCGTACGAAAATAATCGAAGTAACGTTATTTCGGCTGCGATCGTTGCCTTAGACGGTACCGAACCGGGAGTGTAGTAATATAAATTCAGGAACGCTATGACGATCGGTGTGTGAATCATCGTCGTATAAAAGCGGCGGCTGGGTTTATTTTCGGTGAATCGGTTCTATTTTTCGATTCGCCAACTATGGTCTACGAAAGTATATATTTCGAATAATCATCAGCCCTACGTATGTACGTATAAAACATTTCGATGGATATTAAATTCGTCGGAGCGTAGTATCAGGGTTCGAAAATATTCTTATTTAAGTCGCGCTCATTTTAACACCGAGGGTGGGGAATCTATTTATAAAACGGGGATGGTCCACACGCGACGCCCACGCTGGCTGTGGACACGTAACAATAATTTATTTAAAATAATCATAATAACCGGCGTTGAAAATACTGATCCTAGCAGCGTCGTTCTAGGTTAATCATTGTTGTTTCATTTTTCTGTTTTCCCGGTCGAAAGTAGGTGCAGATATGTCTTTCCGTGTAGTGCGTAGCAGTAAGTTCCGCCACGTGTACGGAACAGCTTTGAAACGTGAACAATGTTACGACAATATAAGGGTGTCCAAGTCGTCCTGGGACTCGACCTTCTGTGCTGTGAATCCAAAGTTCCTTGCCATCATCGTTGAGTCAGCCGGCGGTGGTGCTTTCATTGTGTTGCCGCACAACAAAGTAAGTCTCACCCTTGCTAGTTTCTCTAATCCATCGCCTGTTCCCTTAAACCATAGGTTCATTCAGTTATCTTCATGTATCGGGTTCAAAGGATTGTCGTAGAAGTAGTTTTGACCATCGTTTTGAATTATTGTAGGTAGGACGGATACCAGCTGATTATCCTTTAGTCGGTGGACATAAAGGTCCTGTGTTAGACATCGCATGGTGTCCTCATAACGACAATGTCATAGCATCTGGTTCTGAGGATTGTGTAGTTAAAGTATGGCAAATACCGGACGGTGGTATTTCCAGGACGTTAACGGAATCTGTGGTAGACTTACAGCTGCATCAGCGCAGAGTAGGTCTTGTACTATGGCATCCGTCTGCGTTGAACGTATTACTTACAGCCGGATCTGACAATCTTGTCTTGATCTGGAACGTCGGTACAGGAGAGGCTATGGTTCGGATAGATTGTCATCCGGATATGATTTATTCTGCATGCTGGAATTGGGACGGATCTAGATTAGTCACCACGTGTAAAGATAAAAAGATTCGAATTTTGGATCCAAGGACGGGGGAGATGTTGGAAGAAGCCATTGCGCACGAAGGTAGTAAAGCTACGCGTGCAATCTTTCTAAGGTACGTAAATTTTCTTTCAATAAATGCATACGCACTTTTATCCTTTACTTGTACAGCGGTTGATCAAAAAATTTCACTTTATGTGCGCTTTATTTGAATAAATCTATCCAGGCATGTAAAGACTAATGAAAACCAATATTTGTACAGATACTAGTTTAAAATAAGTATTTTTGTTAAAATGTTCCTAAGGATAATTATCTTTTATTATGCAAAACACTATCAACATATTTTTCACAACGAATAATCATCAAACAATATACATCCGCCTTTTTACACGATAAATGTATTCAGGATAAAATAGTACAATGATATATTTATTTGAAAACTATGATATTTCTAGCAGGCAATAACAATTTTTTTTTTTAGTGACATGTGACTGTTACTTCTTAAATGAAGTATCGATATAAATTTTTATAATAGACACACTTCTATTTGCGCGTTAAGAATATCTTTATTTTTTATTATCACATGGTCTTTCCAATTTGTGTAGTGCGAGATTTGGTAATTTTTAATGGAATACTTGAAGATTGAAAATTCAACATCAGGAGGATGTGTGTCGGCTTAATAAATGCAAATATCAAGATGTCCGCTGTGTAATATCTGCATAAAAGTTTCAGTAAGTATTGTATATCAAGTTATTATCTTAAAATATAACATTTTATACACGTTGAGAAACCGGATATGTGTACAAATTTAAAAATACAGTGAAATAACTACACTAATACAGAACATATTATATCGTAACAAGAAAGTGTGATTTTTCCTGATTCGATAGAGAATTATTAATTTTGAATGACGAATACCTGTTCCAAAAGCAGACAAACGATTCAGGTATATATTTTGAAAAATCCAGTCACCAGCTGGTGCGCTGACTTCTACTCAAATATAATTTAAATGTATAAGCATTCCTTAATTACGGTTATATTTATTTTATGTTATTTCACATATGTGTTTAATACAGACAAAAATTTGTGCATAGGTACAATGTTCAGATGTTGTAACAAGGTGGATGTTATTTAGTTTTGATGATTAACTGAAATAAAAAAAAAAAAAAAGAAATTAAGAAAGTAACATAATATAAAACATATTATGTAAATGTGTAATATTTAAATATATATATATATATACATATTTGTAGGAGCTTGTTTTTGTATGTATGAATGTATGTTTTTAAAGTATCCAACTAAAGCTTTGTATCCACAAAGTTGTGTGTTTGCTATGTTTTCAGGGGAGGCTTGATCTTTACCACAGGTTTCAGTAAAATGTCTGAGAGACAGTATTCCCTACGTGCTCCTGACATGTTAGGTGAACCCATAGTTATGGTAGAATTGGATACCAGCAACGGAGTAATGTTCCCTCTCTATGATTCTGACACAAATCTAGTGTACTTATGCGGCAAGGGTGACTCTGTAATTCGGTATTTTGAAATAACCCCTGAACCTCCTTTCGTTCATTATATCAATACGTTTCAAACCCCTGATCCTCAACGAGGTATAGGAATGATGCCAAAACGAGGCTGTGATGTTAATAGCTGTGAAATAACTAGATTTTACCGGCTCAACAACTCAGGTTTCTGCCAGGTTATCTCCATGACTGTACCAAGAAAGGTAGATGAATTATTTTTCTTCAAAATTCAATGTACATATGAAAGAATTTTTTATTATAAAATTTCTTCATTTTCAGTCGGAACTTTTCCAAGAAGATTTGTATCCAGATACCCCAGGCGATACCGCTGCAATCTCTGCTGAAGAATGGGAAAAAGGAACTGACGCAGATCCGGTACTGATATCTTTACGGGACGGTTATCAGCCGTCAGCTACTAAAAACGAACTGAAAGTTCATAAGAAATCGAATATCCTGAGTAAAGGAGCAAAAGTTGCTTCCAATTCTTCTCAGAATGCCACCCAAGCTTCGGCAGGCATTTCTGTACGTTACTTGTACATTTATGGATTCACCTTTCTTATTTAACCGTAATTAAAAATAATATAATTACAGGAGGAATTGTTGAAAGAATTCACAGAAGAGATAAGAAAATTAAAAGCGGTAATTGTGAAACACGAGGGTAGGATACGGGTGCTCGAGTCAGCTGTTGCTCTTCAAATGAAAGAAGATGAGAGAAAAGAAAAATCGTCTACACCTACCGATAGAGAGGTGCTCGCATCTGACGAGGTGTAATTTTTGACTTATATTTTTAGCTCATAAAAATAATGTGAAGAAACTAATTATGTAATAAAAAATGATCATATATTTTGATATAACAATTTGTGTAAATAGTAGGTTTTAGCTATGTTGTGTGTCTTGATTCTTCTCTTTTTCTTTTTTTTTTTCTTTTTTTTTGCAATGATCTTTGCTATTTATTGTACATCCATTCATCATACATCCTGTGCATTTGTACTATGTTTACATCTTTTATTTTGTTAGATCATTATATGTGACACTTGTTACTAGCATTAAGATTTCGGATCTTATATCGTCTAATACACACAAGACTTTTATGTATATGCAACTTTATAATTGTTCACGACAAACGAGTGCCTAGTTTGTACAGATACTTCATTGTAAAATAATGAAATATTGTTTTATTCCTGGTACGAATATCCTGCATAATTTATATGTGTATAAATTATGCTACATGAAATAATTGAACAATCGCTATTTTACAGTTTAATGTGCGAATAACAAGTAAGATACTAAGTATTTTTGACTAATCTGTTTTTTGACATTAAAAGAGAAAACCATTTGTTTTGTACAAAAAATGTGAATATAAAATAATATAATTGATTGAATGAAATTTTTCAGATTTTTAACTACGTCGATCCCAAAATTTAGATACGCTTAATTTATTTATTTATTTCAATTCACGGGCATAGTCCTTTGTAATTAAAAAAAAAAAATATATTGTTTGAATTGTCGAGCGCGCCTGAAAATGATTCGACAAACTTCCGACAGATGTCGCGGCTGTTCGCGAATTTTTTATCTTCATTAACTCTTGCCTGATTGTTCGCTACAGTCCACGACCCACGAGTCCATTCGCTTGTGCGACGCGGTGAAATGTGTACCGGTATCTTTGTTAAATATGTGCATCGTTAATTATTAATTGCACAAATCGCGCTCACCACCACTGTGCGCGGGTGTTCTTAAGAGTCCATTGACTGTCAGTCTGTTTTGCAGTAAGTAACAAAATCCTTGTACTCGATACTTTTATTATTTTCAACATAACTAATCAATTATCATCGATAATTTTAATCATTCTTCATAAAAACCTCTTATTTTTATTGCTAATTGTTTAACGTTTGTTAAGAATCATGTACAATTTCATTTTTCTATACGTTTCATAACCTTACTTTTTGGGGTTTGTTACCTCTTGGTATACAGAGGGATGACGGGTAACGAAGGATTGTTTTATTAAAATGTAAGGATCGTATATACATAATTTCATTTTTCTATACGTTTCATAACCTTACTTTTTGGGGTTTGTTACCTCTCGGTGTACAGAGGGACGACGGGTAACGAAGAATTGTTTTATTAAAATATAAGGATCATGTACAATTTATTATATATTTTACTTGTTTCTCCCTCCATCTAGTCATAATATATTGTGCGCATTGTATAATGAGAACGTCTTCAATACAAATGACATTCGAAGGCATTTGGCACGAGATTCGCGGGTGCTATTTTAAAACCTCAGCTTTGCGACATCGTTTTCGACTTTTGTATTATCGCAATATACACGTATTCCGAGGTACTTTGCATAAAGAATATTGTGCAAAGGTTTATGACACTGTTTGCTTTGATCAAGGTAAACCCATTTTTATCCAATTTTTATCCCTAGGCGGTCGAATTTGTGGTTGATCGTTAGATTCTTTTTGAATTATGCTGATCACGTTAAATATTCCAATAGCGTGGATAGAAAAATACTAGTATTCACTGATTATGTGAGCGTTAGCTTACGTAATTCCACGTGTTTTAGGGGACTGTCAAGGTCTCGTAGCGAACATAGTGTAAATTATTTTTTAACACCTCAATGGCATTACTAGTGACATGAAAATCTGTCTAATTAATTATCGTTCGATGAAAATATACTACAGATATCGAATGATTTTTCGATAGAAAAACACTATAATGGATTGTGAAATTAGCAATGGGAAATAAATCTTTCAAAATAGTCGAGACAGCCATTTTGGGTGACGCATCTTTAACAGGTATACGTGCGAATACGAGACAAGTGTAAAGATGTGCCTTTTTTTAGAAATTTACTTTTTTTACACAAAACGAGTTTTAAAAGTGATGTAAGTGCTAGAAATTTATTAACTAGTTGTAACATTCCATGACAGAGGCTTGTCGGATGACAAACACCACACCATAGATTCATCCTAATCAATTCCTAATCCTTACTCGTCCTGTACTTCGTACCCTTCTTTAATCATACTGTTCCTTGACCACTACCCCTACCATTACCAATCTCCATTAATAGAATATAAAAACCTGCAAGATTATAGAACAACTAGATTTCATTACCTACTAGTCGAGTGCATATTCAATAAAATTTCTAAAGAGTATTCTTAACGTGTTGTCAATTTCCTTGGAATCCAACATATTATTCTTGACATTAAATTTCCAGTGAAATAGTCGGCGAAAAAGCCCGAGTCTTTGCGAATCTCGTGTTTGAGTTACAATCAACGTGCCTGTTATCAATCGCACATTTTTCTATCTGATAATTGAATAACCCTCTCCGCGTAGTCGTTACTTGTAAGTAGGAAGTTTCAACACGTGCCGAGGTGGTAATTACAACGCATTTAAGTAATTCACGTTGCACTTGTTGAACTGTTACATCATTAAGGGTATCAAATGTTATTATGGGAAATTTATACACACGCTTTGTGCGACGCGTCGGGATGCCGAATGAGGCGATATGTCGCGAGATAGAGGAATAGTATGTCACGTGCGATAAATGCAGGTGTTCCGGGATCAGGGCCGGCCTTGGGCGTAGGCGGCCGCCTAGGGCCCCCCAAGGTCCAGGGTCCCTATAAGACGATTTTGCATCTAAGAATGCAAGAAGAGTAATTTTTACTTGAATATTAATCTAAATTAGTTATACAAGCTTTAATATTAATTTTATAAATTTTGTTTTGGGTAATTTTTTTTATGTCAAATATGTGAAGGGGCCCCTTTTCGGACACCTGAAATCTCAGGGCCGGCCCTGTCCTAGATATCTGCCAGTGAGTCATTTTTAAAATAATAATTCTTTTCGATAGAAGCTAACGAACTGTTGTTTTTCTGTTGCATTAAATATCGCGTTATAACGAGCAGGAAAAAAGGTACCTTTGTACAATGATTTTTCTTTGTCAGGGGAAAAAAATTGAACTTGTTTATTAATTCGCGAACGATCGCGCTAACCTCGTTAAACGATTCAAATAGTATTGCATCTTTTTTTATTAGGGTCTAAAAGGGAGAATCATTTCCGTGTCAGCGTCGCGCACGTTGCACCTGTTGATATATTGCCAAATAACATGGACGATGATTCACTAAATAAATCAGGAGCATCGATTAATTAAAAGATTACGTTTGATTCTCGCTGTTGACGTCGATCCGATTTATCTAATCGATTTCATATATGAAATTTTTGTATAATGAAATAAGCGCTTATCGCATCGACGTTTTGCCGTTTAGTAATTCTGAACGATATTTTTCCGAGTTTTTTTCGTTTCGCCTTCATCTTACGTAATTTCTAAACAACGTATGACGTGGAATTAATCTTAATATAGAGGCATTTTGATTCGTTCCAGATCTTTCCTAAAAGATTGTCGAATCGTAAGTGACGTAAGATGGCATCATTGAAGTTACTAGCGGGGGGTGCAAGTGCCATCGGTGCTAGTGCCCTTACCTCCTATTTATTGCTATGTGACAATACCGTAAGTACATTAATTATTACGATATAAAAAAGATATTTTCTTCGTCGAATCATGACTTTTATTTGTTCCTCGTATCACTTTCGCAATAATTCAATATTTTGTAACCGTAGAACTTTCCGATTGATAAAAAGCGCGGGAATCCCATCGATTTGAATGCTACAATTTTTTTTACACGTTTCTTTCTTTTTCTCAATTCGAAAATACTTTGATATTATTTTTAGTTTTTATATAGAACGCGTAAAAGAAGGCGTGATAGATGATGCTTATGAAAATGGCAGAGATCCTGTATTAATTTCAAGTCTGATGAAAATTTGGTTTGTAGCGCGACAATAGTCTATGCTAGTTACTCAAGGCTGCATAGCGTTTCGTGATCAACAGTCGGTCAGCAGTCACATGGTTACTGAAATTTCACTGCTAGCAAGGTCTGTGCCAGACCAGGACTAGGTATCAGGGATGCTCGGCTATTTCTAACGCGGCATAAACCATAGCTTTTTAAATACCGTTCTATATATAATCGCGCGCAATTATACGCTCGAGGAAGCTGCGTTTTACGATTGTATTTTATCTGAAATGTTCCACTGAGCGGAACTTTACATAAACGATGCGGAAAATTTAATCGAATCTCGGAGAAATTGATCTATCATTTCCAAGGAATCGGGTAAATAATTAATTTCATTGTTAGCTAACCGAGATTGATTATCCAAAGTCCAATGCCGAACAGCGTAGGGTCGTCTATTGTAATAATCGTTTTGTATTTCGAGCGAGAATAATAGGAGATAATGAATCGCGTGAATGAATACGTGGAAATTGTTCTTTGGTATTAGAAAGGGACACCGCTGTTTTCTTGGAATACCGTGTAGAGAACGGTTATAAAAATTATATTCTTTTTGTCAGGTGCACGCAGACAAGCCAAGGGTGAAGCCTGCAAAAAGGCCTCTGCCAACCAGAGAGGATCAAGTAAAAACTTTGAAAACTCATGGCGAATATGATGTTCTTATCATTGGTGGTGGTGCGACAGGAGCTGGGTGTGCATTGGATGCCTGTACACGAGGTATTTCTTTTTCTATCGTTAATAAAGATGAAGGTCAAACTTCGTTTTAGGGGACCAAAAATTAGTGGTTCCAAAGTATCAAATGTTTTTGACCTGAAATATTCAAAAAAACAAATGAAAAATTCAGGAAACCAATGTTTGTATTTAGTGGTGTTTGACAGGTAGTACGACGCCATATTGTTTTTACGCATTCTCTGATTGGTTCGCTGAAATGGCTAACTTCCGATTACTTTATTTAAAAACATATTGCTTCTTGATTGCTGCTATCAAAAAGTCCATTAGATGTGTTTAATTAATTTTATAAAACCTACGCCACAAACATTCACATAGACGATCGGCAAAATATTCGTCGTGGAAGCGACTCCAATCTAGATTTCGAATTTATGTGCGAACCAATCAGAAGATGGGTAGAAGCAATATGGCGTCGTACTAAGCTGTCAAAATACGCTAAATACACTTTTTTCACATAATCGTATTTTTTAAACAAATCGTTTCTTAAACTTGTAACTTGCATTTTCGAATGTTTCAGGTCGAAAACTATAAGATATGATATTTTCTAATCAAAAATTTGTAGTCCACTGAGACGAAGTGTAGCACAAGATAAATAAAACAGTTATATGAATAGTATCCTAATATACATATTTTATTTGAAGGTCTGAAGACAGCTTTAGTAGAGAGAGATGATTTCGCATCTGGCACGTCTTCCAGAAGTACAAAACTCATCCACGGAGGGGTTCGTTATCTACAAAAGGCCATCCTGCAGCTGGATGTGGAACAGTACAAAATGGTTAAGGAAGCTTTACATGAACGAGCATCTATGTTGCACAGTGCGCCTCATTTGGCTTACCCTTTACCTATTATGTTGCCAGTTTACACGTGTGTTAATCATTCGTTGCTTCCCCCTTGTGTAAAATTGATTCTACTAAATTAACATCGTTACCTTTTTAACAGATGGTGGCAAATACCTTACTACTGGTTCGGTATAAAGATGTATGACGTAGTCGCTGGAAGTAAAACGGTCAAATCATCCTACTTCCTTAGCAAATCAAACGCGTTAGAACTGTTTCCTATGTTGAAAGGAGATAAACTAACAGGGGCTATTGTTTATTATGACGGTAATGTTTTCTATGCGCTTATCAGTAGTAGCATCTTTTTTAAAAATTTTTATTTATTCATTTTTTAATAGTATTAGAAAATTTTTTCATTATTAAATTTACAATCTGAAAGTTAAATAATTCTATTTTTATTCAAGAAAATTAATTTAAAAAATTTTAAATACGTAATGTCGTATAAGAAGTATCAATAATCTCATACTTTCTTTTTTATATAATAGGTCAACAAGATGATGCGAGAATGAATTTGGCAGTTGCCCTTACCGCTTCGCGTCACGGGGCAACAGTTGTAAATCACGTCAAAGTTGTTAATCTCTTAAAAGGTCGCGATAAGGTACTATTGATATTGTCTGATTACAGGTAGTGAGATAAAACAGTAGATTCTTGATTGAAATAAAATTTATATTTTTAAAGGATGGTAATCGCATACTAACTGGCGCTCACGTGAAAGATGACCTCACAGGGGAGGAGTGGGATGTTAAAGCAAAGGCAATAATTAACGCAACAGGCCCGTTCACAGATCATATCAGAAAAATGGACGATCCAAGCATACCAGAAATCTGTTCTCCATCATCTGGCGCGCATATCGTTCTTCCAGGTTATTACAGGTAAGTTATCATCAGAATTTAATTTTAAATTAAATAAATAAAATAAAGATTCATGAAATGTTTCTAATAATTCTATCGATATAGTCCTGATCAAATGGGATTACTGGATCCAGCAACGAGCGATGGCCGAGTAATTTTCTTTTTACCCTGGCAAAAGCAAACGATCGCAGGAACGACCGATTTGCCCTGCGAAGTAACGCATAATCCCCGGCCAACCGAAGACGAGATCATGTTTATCTTACGCGAGGTTAAAAACTATCTTAATCCAGACGTTGAGGTGCGTCGCGGAGACGTGTTGTCCGCCTGGAGCGGTATCAGGCCCCTCGTATCCGACCCGAACAAACCCAACACCCAGTCGCTCGCTAGAAATCACATCGTACACGTTAGCCCTGCCAAACTGATCACGATAGCTGGAGGAAAATGGACAACGTACAGGGCAATGGCTGAAGAGACAATCGATGCAGCTATCAGAGGTATTTCAGAAATATGGTATTATAAAATGAAATGGTATTAACTTTATACAATAATATATATAAATGAAATGGTATTAATTTATCTGTAATTTGTTAAGCTTGCGATCTGAAGCCTGAAAGGCCCTGCCAAACCAATGATTTCCTCTTAGAGGGGGCTCATGGGTGGAGTCCAACGATGTACATTAGATTGGTGCAAGATTTTGGCTTGGAATGCGAAGTTGCACAGCATCTGGCCAGGAGTTACGGAGACCGTGCGTTTGCCGTTGCGAAAATGGCTTCTCTGACTGGTAAACGTTGGCCAATTATTGGTAAAAAGATTCATCCCGAGTTTCCGTACATCGACGCCGAAGTAAGTTTCCAACGTTTCTCTTAATTATTCGACAGGTCCGAGGGCCCCTTCACATACAAGACATAAAAAAAAGTAGCTCAAATAAAATTTCTAAAATTAACATTGAAGCTTGTATAACTAATTTAGATTAATATTCAAGTAAACATTATGGGGGGAGAGGGCCCGGACCTTGGGGGAGAGGGCCTGGACCTTGGGGGAGAGAGCCTGGACCATAGGGGATCGGGCCCGGACCTTAGGGGAGAGGGCCTGGACCTTGGGGGAAAGGGCCCGGACCTTAGGGGTGAGGGCCTGGACCTTGGGGGAGAGGGCCCGGACCTTAGGGGAGAGGGCCTGGACCTCGGTGGGGCCCTGGACCTTGGGGGAAAGGGCCCGGACCTTAGGGGTGAGGGCCTGGACCTCGGTGAGGCCCTGGACCTTGGGGCAGAGGGCCCGGACCTTAGGGGAGAGGGCCTGGACCTCGGTGGGGCCCTGGACTTTGGGGGAGAGGGCCCGGATCTTAGGGGAGAGGGCCTGGACCTCGGTGAGGCCCTGGACCTTGAGGGAGAGGGCCCGGACCTTAGGGGAGAGGGTCTGGACCTTGGGGGAGAGGGTCTGGACCTTGGGGGAGAGGGTCTGGACCTTGGGGGAGAGGGCCCGGACCTTAGGGGAGAGGGTCTGGACCTTGGGGGAAAGGGCCCGGACCTTAGGGGTGAGGGCCTGGACCTCGGTGGGGCCCTGGACCTTGGGGGAGAGGGCCCGGACCTTAGGGGAGAGGGCCTGGACCTCAGGGGGCCCTAGGCGATCGCCTAGGCCCAGGGCCGACCCTGTTATTCGATATACCACCGACAATAATTCTGTTGCTTTCAGATTCGATACGGGGTTCGCGAATACGCGAGAACAGCGATTGATATGATCGCGAGACGGCTAAGATTGGCGTTCTTGAACGTTCAAGCAGCACAAGAAGCTCTTCCAAGTATAATAGATATCATGGCAGAAGAGTTGCACTGGACACCCGAGGAGAAGCAGAACCAGCATAAGGAGGCCAGCGAATTCCTCGCCAACGAAATGGGACATACGGTGAATCGTGTGTCCCGTGATAAAATTCCCATCAACCTTACGAAAGAAGAGATACAACTGTACATTAAGCGTTTCGGTATCATTGACAAAGATAACAAGGGATACGTTTCCATTAACGACATCAGGAGAGGACTTAAGGTGCATACAAATTCTATGTTCAAAATTATTCTTTCTTTCTTTTTTTTTTTTACTTTTTTTTTCTGTCACACCTTTAATTATCAATGTCCAGGTACTTGGCTTAAAACTGAAGGAAGATGAGATGCACACTTTGCTCAATGAAATTGATCTCAGTTACAATGGGCAAATGGAACTGCAAGATTACTTACAGGTAAATCAGAGAATCACGTATTTAATTAGTATTTCTTTTTACCGTTCGCAGTTATTCGGTGACAAGGAAGTACCTGGTGAAGAGCTTCATGAAATACTGCGCGAAATCGACACTAATATGAACGGTCAGGTCGAGTTGGACGAATACCTTCAGGTCTGTGGAAGTTCGCTCGCAGAGTTGTCGTTACAAGTTTTATTGTTTTAACACCTCCTTTCATTGTATTTTATTTTATTCTTTTTTTTACGTCATCCTACACAAAAATCCTGTTTTCTATCATCGTTCAAAATTAATATTAGAAGAAAAAAAAAATGGAAAGACCTGTTGGGTACAAGATAGATTTACCCATAACTCTTCTTGTCTGTTTTCATATAACAAATTGGACAATATTTTCTCTTTGCACGGACAGTTTGTTAATAAAAATACTCGTCTAACACAGTGCCTTCTGTCTGACGTAGTATAACACTTGCTTGTTTCTCCTCTGGTGCAAAATATTTTAGTGTCATGCTGCTCTTGGTGCCAGATCAAAGTTACCACTGTTTGAAAATTTATTTTTTTCTTTTATCCTTTCTATGTTCTATCCGTATAATTAATTATTATCGTTTCATGCAGATGATGTCGGCTATCAAGTCTGGACACGTGGCGTATTCACGGTTCGCAAGAATGGCAGAAATGGAGGAAGCGGAGCACGACAAGGACGTATTGAGGAAAAAAGTCACTGTAGAGAGATCAGGCGGTGGACTGTAAAGGAGTTCATATTTGACGGCAATTGTACAATATCCGTACTATTCAAACCGCGGTTGAAAATATTCAATTGTTTAATTGTATAATCTCTGTTCACTTGAAACTTCACTGTACGTGTAGCTGATTTTTAGTACAAACGTTTCAGGTCAACTTGCGCGCACCAACGAACAATTATGTGGCATTCAGTATGGTTTTATTGCACAAGTGTAAATCAATTACACTTTTAAATTTAAATTTCATGTAAATATCTTATGTACAGCATTTCAATTTTATTTACTACACGAGAGTAAATGTGTTCTATTTGTATATAAGATTGTCGCAGAGTTCAGCCTTGAAATTCAGTGACGCGATTTAAGTGTACCCTTGTAAATCAAACGCAGTTATCAAAAATTATTGTTACTCGTTCGTTCTCTACATTGTAAATTTTCATGAATCTTACAGCACGTTAGCTATTTTAAATGCCATAATCAAATAGGACAATTAAAGTTAGAAAAATTGAACATCGTTACGGTTTAGTATAAACTAATACCATCTTCAGTTTTGCGTAAAACGTTCTCAGAATATAGGAACAGAAAGTTCGTACATTTTAAACTTTTAAATTTGTTACGCTTCATTTCATGTAACAAAATCGTCAAGTACTGTGAATACTTATCTCTAGGTATGTTACATGTGACAATCCACACATGACACGAGTTAACTTTATTATTAGGACTTGAAAAACGGATTTATTTATAAATTGTATTAATTGTTAATGTATATTAGAATCAATCTACTATATAGATTACTCTGTTATTTAAATAATTATTTAATTTATTGCCACTACCGTCGTACAGTCAACAGAAAATCGACGTTAGAGATTAATTTCTTTCACTGTCATTAGTCATTACCATTGACTTAATAAAAGCCATATTGGACTATCGTTATATTGTATATACATCAATCCCCAATGCAACCTTGCTTTCATTATATAATATTCCTTATATGTTTTACATGAAATTAAGAATAATGAATAATTATCATTGAATTTATTTTTAAATTTATAGATTCTGTAACTATTACTATTGGAAACATACATATATATTGTATATACATCAATCCCCAATGCAACCTTCCTTTCATTATTATAATATTCTTTAATGAATAATTATCATTGAACTTATTTTTAAATTTATAGATTCTGTAACTATTACTATTGGAAACATACATATATATTGTATATACATCAATCCCCAATGCAACCTTCCTTTCATTATTATAATATTCTTTAATGAATAATTATTATTGAACTTATTTTTAAATTTATAGATTCTATAACTATTACTATTGGAAACATACATATATATTGTATATACATCAATCCCCAATGCAATCCCTTCCTTTCATTATTATAATATTCCTTAATGAATAATTATCATTGAACTTATTTTTAAATTTATAGCTTCTGTAACTATTGCTATTGGAAACATACATATATATATATATTGACCAGATCAATACATCAACCAAAGGCTCCACATAAAAGAGAAAGAAGTAAAAAAAATATTGTTGAAAGTAAGTTGAGTGGCGAGCAGCCTTCAGCCTGCTTCAGCCTACGACCACATCTATTCACGGGCTTCATACATGGCCAACTAAAGAGATTCGTGAAGCACGGTTATTATGAAAAGAAGGGCGGCGGCATAGCGAGGGAGTACAGCTCCTCCCTTCTCGGGATCGTCATCTGACAATCAGTGTTCATAGTGATTGGAGGAAGAGAGAGTATAGCCTTATAACAACAAGGTAACAGCGTTCGCGACCCCGCTGAAAGCGTGGCCCTGACCGAGGGGGACTGGTAAAAAGAGGGGAAGGAAGGCCAGAGAAAGTAGGAGGTGTGCATCGTTTATCCCTCTTCGACAGGGTGGGCGTCCGACGGTTCCTGCGTACGCCCCTGTCTAACAAACCTCTGCTCGCGGCTAGCTATCGCGAGGCGAACGCGACCAATCAGCTCTCTCGTACGATCACCTCGCAGACGGCGACGTTGCCACCTCGTGTACCGCCCCACGGCGAAAGTAGTCCTCTCGTAGCGGTATTCGTAGCCTTGTGTTCGCGAGGGACGGCCGACCAACACGTTGCGGGTCTACGGTGCACGTGTTGAAATCACGTTGAAATTGGATCGTGTGCCAGGTGATCTAGAATCGTAGAGGAATATCGTTTCACGTCGTGAACATTTCAGTGAAATTGATCGGTAAAGAGATTTCACCTCGAAAGCATCGAACGGTCGGGAGAGAATGTTGGCTTGTCCCATATCCGCACTTTTGGCGGCAGTTTCAAACGTAGCGTCGATTCCCTAGTGTACCGTAGAAAAGAAATCTAGTTAAATCGGTGGTAAATAATTAAATTCAACGTCTAGTTTTCTCTCGAATAATATCTGAATCACGTTTGAAAAAGAAAAACAGATTTTCAACGACACCAGGCGGACGTATCGGGGAAAGAAGGAGGGCATAGATTGTCGACCGCGATCACTGGCTACGTAGTGCGCGCGCGCGTACAACGCTGGACGCTCGTATGCGTATGTCGTGTTTGTAAAACGCGTTCGATCGAACTTATTTTTGAATGAACATCGAACGATGTATTTATTGTTCCGTCGACGTATTATTACAAAAATTTCGTAGTTTATAAACACAAGCCCGTCGAAATAATTCGTTGCGTCGTATAATGGCCGCCTCGAAAACTAACAGCTGAGACGAAGAGATGAAGAAACAGGAAGCGTAGCGGCGTTGAAAAGGGTGCATTTCTCTGGTCGACGAGGGGGAATAAGGCATCGACGAGAGGGCAGACTGGTGTTTCCGTAGTGAAGCACGTGCTGGTTCGCGAGTTAGGTGGAGTCCCATGTGCAAAGTGGGTGGAGGCTGAATCGTCAGGCTGCCAGCCTTCCCCGTTATCGCAGGTACGCGAGTGTGCGAGTAAACCGACGGCCGACAAACGACCGAGTGGGCGGGTGTGACGACACATCGTGCGCTTCTGTGTCGGTGGCTATGCGCGTCCTTGCCACGGAGCGTGATATTTCGAGGGGGGCGGGTGGGGCGGCAGGAACAGGGGCGTAGAGAGGCGGTCCTCAATTGGGTTCTCGAGGAGTGCTCTCTGGCCTTCTTTGTCTTTCGAGAGAGCGGTCTTCGCACGTGTCGATATCGTTTAAGTCACTGGATCCTTGCTACTCGTTAGACGCCTGAAGGGTGGTTAGGTTTCGCGTATAACGATCGATTCGAGAAACTAACCTTAAAGTGGTTGGATTTTCGTTGAAAATATTGCTTTTAAATAAGGAGAAAGAGAAAACGATCCAGATGCAGTCCTCGAGCGTGAGGGACATCGCGGTTATAACTAAGTCGGTGAAAATCCATGTTTTAATTAGATACGCAATTAAGTAAGGTTTAACGCAGAAATTAATTTTCAGATTAAACGCTCGCGAGGCGAGCGTTTTTACCTATCGTTTACTGAAGGGTCAACCGGATTCTGTATAGCGAAGAATGGATTCCTAGCATAGAGGTGTTTCCACGTAAAGTTAGCGTTGACGTCGTCTCGTTGTTTGTGTTGGAAAGGAATATTCGAGGAATATTGTCATCATGAAGCGAAGCGTAGATGGAAGAAATATCAACCAGGTAAGATAAGCGAGGAGTGTTGTTTAATAATTTTAATAGAGATAAGAAAATAATAATTTATTCCCAGGAGGAGATCGAAGATCATGACCCCCTGCAAGTGCAACAGCAACAAGAGGAAGCCGAACAGCAACAGCAGCAAATGGAACAACAAACTGCCCAACCTCAGATTCGATTCCTAAGTGCGAACGTTCTGCAACAGCTGCAGCAGCAGCAGGACGTTCAACAGCAAGCGCAGCAGCAACAACAGCCGCAAGTCATTACGTTGCAGCAATTGCAAAATTTTGTGCCTTTACAAACTCAACAACCGCAACACGATCAGCAACGAGCACAGACAATCTCTGTGCAGTCTCTGCCGCAGCAGTTCTTACAGGTATAGAATTATTAGGCTTTAGGGAAGGATTAAGTATGATAAGGTTTTTAAAATGTACGATAATTGTCTAAGGGTGCTCAACTGATAAGCACTCAAGCTCAAGCTGCCCTTCAACAACAACAGCAACAATCTCAGCAGCAGCAGGCGCAACAGTCACAGCAGCCGCAACAGCAGCAGCTTAGTTATAGCGTTATACCACAGATGCAAACTGTAAATATAGATGGTCAAGAAGCACTTTTTATTCCTTCTTCCGCCATGTCTGCTGCGAGCCATCATCAAAGTCAGCCCACCATGCAATTCGCTACTGCTAACGGACAGCAAGTTCAACTTGCCAGTCAGCAAGTACAGTTGGCTAACGGGCAAACCATCATCACGCCTCAACCAGTTAGTTTAATAAGAGCACCTAATGTCTTTCCTACTTCTATCATACAAAATATTACTGGACAAACCGTTCAGCTACCAACAGGTTTGTACTCTTCAGCTGAAAAGCGACATAGATATTGTAAAGAATTGAAGACTGTAATGTTGCTGTTTATGTTACAGGGCAAAGCGTGCAAGTTAGACCGCTTCAATTTCCTATGCAACATGTACAGCAAACTGTCCCTGTACAAGTACCAGTTACTGCTAGTAACGGTCAAACTGTATATCAGACTGTTCATTTTCCTGTTCAAGCGCTGTCCAGTGTTTTCAATGTGCCTACCACACAGATGATACCACAGATTACCCAAGTACGTGCAATATATGAGAACAAACCTTTTAATTAACTCTTAACATACCAAGGGGGTCCTCGAAGGTTCCCAGAGAGTGATTTTTGGTGATTCTGCTGTAACTATATCAGCACATTTATTCTTGATTTTTATATGCATCCAGGATTTGTTTAAGATAAATATTACATAATTAGTCCTATAAAACGTTCGCTCAAAAATATGAAAAAGAATAAAAACACACTTGGGGATCCGGCAGAGCCCCGGTTGGTGTACTACGTTACATATTTAGATTGATTTATTTCTTCTTGAATGCATTAGCGTTTATGGCATAATAATGTGGAGGTGAGCGCGGGCCCTCCCATTTATGACCAGGCGGTTCCCTCGACTTTGAAATAAAAGGGAGCTGCTATCTTTAGGCCCAGAAAAGTCAGAAAAGTCTGCGGCCAACAATGCTTATTTAACTTAAATATATTTTTAGACACCCAAGAACCTAATTTGAGTGAACTTCCATGCTAAAATGTTGAGAAATTTAAAAAATCCTATGGGGTTCTCAGAAGACCCTGCTTGGTAAACAACGTTGACGACTTAGGCTTGAGTTAATTACATGAACCCTTGACTTTGTTTATTAATATTTTAAATTATAAATAGAATTATTGCCTCCATTTTTATTCTTGAAGGAATAAATCTAAAACAAATTTTCTTATTTAATTTTTATTTCATTTCTTAATTATCAAGCATTTATTTTTTATTATTTACTTACAGCAAATTCCACAAATGGCTCAAATCATCACACCGAATGGACAAATACAGCAGGTCCAAATTGCCAACATACCACAGCTTCAAAGTTTACAGGTAAATATGGATTAAAATAACTAGGTGATTGTATAGTTGTATTAAAAATCATGATACTGCAGAGTCAACAAGTGACGCAGGTAGCTCAACAAGTTGCTCAACAGCAAGCGCAACAGCAAGTAGTTCAGCAGCAAGCACAGACACAAGTAGTACAGTCTGTGCAACAGCAACAGCAAGCAGCTCAAGCCCAAGCGCAGCAGCAGCAGCAGCAGCAACAACAGCAGCAGCAGCAGGTGCAACAAGTTGTTCAACAAGTCATACAACAACAACAGCAGCAGCAGCAGCAGCAACAAGTTCAGCAGGCACAGCAGCAATCATCCACACCATCGTCGACTATAGCCACATGGAGTACAACCGTATCAACTCCAAGCAATGTTCAGGTAAATGGTAAATGAATTGATGACTATGGTGGAATATCAGGGCTGAACCTGAGATTTCGGGGGTCCTGGCGGGGCCCCTTCACATATATGACATGTATGTACCTCAAATAAAATTTATAAAATTAAAATTAAAGCTTGTATAACTAATTTAGATCTGCATTCTTAGATGCAAAATCGTCTTATGAGGGCCCTGGACCTTAGGGGACCCTAGGAGACCACCTAGTCTGCCTAGGCCCAGGGCCGGCCCTGTTTTTCAAAGCACAATTAATAATTGTAATTTTAGATTTAGAATAATTGCAATATGGCCTTTCAAAGCATCATTAATAATTGCAATTTTAAATTTAGAATAATTGCAATATGGCGTTTCAAAGCATCATTAATAATTGCAATTTTAGATTTAGAATAATTGCAACATGGCCTTTCAACAGGGCCGGCCCTGAGATTTCGGGGGTCCTAGGGGGGCCCCTTCACACATATGACATATATGTATCTCAAATAAAATTTATAAAATTATAGTAAAGCTTGTGTAACTAATTTAGATTTGCATTCTTAGATGCAAAATCGTCTTACGGGGATCCTGGACCTTAGAGGGCCCTAGGGCCGGCCCTGTGGAATATGTATTTAAACATCCCTGGTTTATTACAGGTACTTGGTATCGGTGCGCTTGGAAGATCAGTTGCGGGTAATGGAAGCGTAATCACGACAAAGGATGGGCAGAAAATCGATGTGCAAACGTTATCAGCTTTAACGAGACCACCGGAAGCTGTCGAGGGGGATATAAAAGTAACTAGCATCGATGCAAGACAATTAGCTAGCGGTCAAGTTATACATATTCCCACTGCTCAGTCGACACAGTCCGCTGTCCAACCTATTACCATCGCAGGTCTCTTTCTAAATAGCTAATGTGATTTTATTTTGTGTGAGAGAGATGTTCAAACATTGCATATTTTCTAGGGGCACAAGCGCAACAGCTAACTTTAATCCCAGCCTCCGCGTTAGCAAATTTAACCGCCCAGCAAGGTAACATGATGAGGGGCGTTGGTAGCGGAGGCATAATGCAACTTCAACCTGCCGGCGGAATAAACGCGACAAACGGTTTTCTTCAGTCGATACCCGTGCAAAATATTCCAGGCTTGGGTAACGTCCAAGTTATACCCGCGAGCGCCCTTCAGCCTGCTACCGTTCAAACTTTACCCGCGACAGCGGGCGCGCCCATCGTAGCTGCACCAACAGTGCAATTAGATTCGAACGATCCAACGAAATGGCAGATTCTGCAGACTCTTCAATCTAACAATACTTTATCGACCCCTGCTCCGATTTCTCATCAGCATCAAATAAATACCACACCGTCTACGAACATTGAAACTGATTCCAACAAGCAGCATCGTAGAAGAGTCGCTTGCACTTGTCCAAATTGTGGTGATGGTGATAGGTAAGTCTATTTTCAAAGATGTTTCTTCTGATTAGTGGCGGCTCGCGTATAGGCACTGTGGAACTGCAGCACCCACTATTTCCACTTGATATTATCGATAACATTTAATATAACGAGTCCTTTTTTTCTTTAATTCTTTCTTTATACTTGTACAATATATAATCCTTAAGTTTAATGTTAGTAGTTATCCCCTAGTTTATGAAAAAGATAGAAAAATCTTTGTATGGAACTGTGCGCTTCGAAGTTCCCGCGGCGTGGTGTTCGACCGTGTGCGCATGCGCACATGGGAAGCTGCGCGCGAGGCTGCGCGGGAGAGAGCACTATCCCTTCCGTAATGGTGGTTTTTTTAAAACAAATGCTAACAATTTTCTGGAGCAGCATCCCCACTAATTTTAGCTACGAGCCGCCACTGCTTCTGATGTTTCATCAATTGTACATTTTTTATTCATTTGTACAGGAACAGAGATATGACCAGGAAACGGCAACACGTTTGCCACATAGCTGGGTGTAACAAAGTATATGGAAAAACGAGCCACCTTCGAGCTCATTTGAGGTGGCACACCGGAGAGCGACCGTTCGTTTGTAGTTGGATATTTTGCGGTAAGAAATTCACTAGGTCCGACGAACTTCAGAGGCATCGCAGAACCCATACAGGAGAGAAAAGGTTCCAGTGTCCTGAGTGTACGAAGAAATTCATGCGATCGGATCATTTGACGAAACACATAAAGACACACACGAAGATTCGAAGTACGGTAAGAAGATTTCTATTCTCTGGGGGAAAATGGATGAAGAAAATGGGTTTGATTAATGCTGATGATATTATTTATGTTGTAGGAAGCAGCTACTTCCACGCAAGAAGGTTCTTCCGACAGTCAGTCTTCTACAGAAGAAAAAATTATTATTGCTCTTCACAAAGATACAGAGCAAACCGACATGGTGATTTCGGAGCCAATTGACGATATAAAACCTCAAACTGGGAATCATGTAACGGGTTCGTCTGCCACGGAGAACTTAGGAGTAAATGTTGGTTGAACGTTGATTGTTGGCGTTACGTTACGACATCGGTGGAAGATTAAATTTATTAATAATCGTAACGTTGCATTGTTTACGGCAGTTAGTAAGAGTTATTGCAATTATTTTCTGCGACTAAGCGAAAGAGAGAAGGAAACATTCTACAGGGATTATCATAGCTCATAGCGCATAATCTATTTTTGTACTGAAAAGATGAAATCTGTAAATATGTACATAATTGTATATTACTGTAAAAAAAAAAACACTTTTACACAAAATGAATTTTACACTTATAAACAGTTTTTGATATTACGGCGTGTAGAAATGTTCAGTCTTTCACCTTATTATAGCGAAATCTTTATTGCACGTAGTGACAATAATGTTACGTTGATCTTTTCAGCCATGATAGTTCGATAGATAATAGAAAGAATAAGGTAAGATGTTTTGCATTTTTACTTTTAGTTATTCGGATAAAAGATGTTGAGAATTTTTATTGAAGAAAAGCTATTGTATCGTTTATATCTGTATGTTAATTGTATGTTAACTACATTTTTGAACGAATGATATTATATCCGAACTAACATATCTTGTATTTTTTACAATTCTTTTAAACATATATATTATGTTTTCAACATATATTAAGTGTACAAATTAATTCGGTACCTTTGATATTACACTTTCTTAATTACTATTTTAAATTCGAATATTTTCCCGCGCTTTTGTGAATTTTAAAAATGGCGCGAGAATATGATTTCGATAATTGTAGTTACTATAACTTCTTAAAAATAAGTCACCGAAAAAAAGAAAAGGCACCGAAATAATTTGTACACCTAACACTAAATACAGGTTTCCATTTATTAAACGTTTAGAGATTGTTTGCAAACTATGAATATTTTTCATTATCGTATTAATTTAATTCTTAATTTTCTCAAGAATTTGTCATTTCTCTAATTTTTAATAAATGTAACGTCAGAAAATGACGGCGTTATTTATTATTCTTGTTACATAGGCGAATATATAAAAGGAAACAATTATGCCTGTATACAGAGTGTTTCATAACTCCTGTAACATCCGGAAATGGGGGGTTGCTGGGGTGATTCTGAACAACTTTTTCCTTTACCAAAATGTTGGTTGAAGCTTCGTTTTTGAATTATTAACGAAAAATACTGGCCAATCAGAGTGCGCGTAGAGCGCGCGCTCAACCATCGAGAGCGTTGGGTTTCAACCGCGCTCGATCATGGTCGTGAACAAATGCATTGGCACAGCGTGGGTATCGAAGGAAGCGTGCAACAAATGTTACATCATCTTAAATTAAGAACAATGTGGAATTATTCGTTATTCATGAATATCGAATGCGTTTGTCAATGCGTTTGTTCACGACCACGATCAAGCGCGGTTGAAAGCCATCGCTCCAGTGGTTCAGCGCGCGCTCTGATTGGCCAGTGTTTTTCGTTAATAACTCAAAAACGAAGCTTCAAACGACATTTTGGTAAAGGAAAAAGTTGTTCAGAATCACCCCTGCAATCCCCCATTTCCAGGAATTACGCGAATTCCGAGACACCCTGTAGAATGTTCAAAAACGGATGTGCGTTTCTCTAACGGAAAACGAGGATGTAGATCTCTTTTCCGTAACCAATGAAGCGAGAGTTACAGGAGAAGATGATCGTTCTCGTTTTACTAGCACGTCTTTAAGATTTCGCAGGTGTGGTGTATTCCAGTGTATTTCAAGTGTACTCGACGTGGTCATGTTCGATCGAATATGACTCGTCAGTGCTATAAACAAACGGTCGACTGTTATCGGGATGTTCACTAATTCGATCATCCATCCGGATGACGAATCAATATAGATTTCTAATCGTAAAAAGATATTACTATATTTAAATTGTTCCGTACTGGAAAATTTTGGAATGTTGTGGGTTCCGTTTGTTCATAGTGAGTCAAAAACAGACACAAAGTGCGGTACTTTCAAAGACCATCCTACAATAAGAGGATTATCCTTCTGTTAATTTTAGGTAAACACAATTTGGAATTCTTATTCATTCGTATCTACGATAACCGTATTTAGAACGCGTGATTTTAATGTAAATTAAGAGCAACGAACAGAAAGAATATTAATACTCCTTTCTTTGTTAACCTAATTGTAACGTTTTCTGTGTAGGAGTTCTAATCTTATCTTTAAAATATACTTCAGTGACTGTATCCTTTTTTTCCATTTATAATTTAATTTTGTAATATTCATGGAGGTCTGCGTCTGAAAACTGACCATTTATTTTATATATTTTCATCAGGGGCACAGAATATTTTTGTAAAAATTGAACAAGGATGCCTGCGCCGCCTCCTCCTCCGCCTCCTGTTTTCAACGCATCCAGTTCGGGTGCAGGAGAACAAGACAGGAGTTTACTTCTTCAATCGATTAGAGCTGGGAAGGCTTTAAAGAAAACTGTAACTGTAGATAAGAGCGCGCCTGTAGTTAGTGGTAGGTTTAAATATACCTGAATTTTATTATTCTTGATTTTATTAACCTAATTCATTATTCTTTTAGGTAGAGTAAAAGGTGAACCAGGAAATTCTTCCTCGAATAACAGGGAAAATAACAATTCTAGTGCAATAGCTGGTGGTATTAATACAAGTAATGGAGGACCCATAGGACTAGGCGGTTTATTTTCTAGTGGCATGCCTAAATTAAAGCCCACAGGGCTCAGGGCATCCTCGGGTGAGAAGGACACTAGTAATGTAAATAATACAAATTTCGGTCAAACGACCACTTCCAGTGTAAAACGAGGTCCTCCTCCGGTTCCACCTCCTGCCACACAAAAGCCACAAATGTTTGCTCAGGTATAAACATTGAAATAAATACATTGATGGATCCATTATAAAATTGGAATATTTAATATTGTAGAAAACCAGCTCGTTGCCAGGACAGAGTACCACAGATTCTGGCAGCTCCAATTCAGAAGCACCTAAAGGATTTGGGAAACCAACTGTTGCGCCCAAACCACCTCCAACTTCATCGGCTACATTGCACAAACCATCTCCACCTCCCAAAAAGTTGAATTTAACCAGCGGAGGAAGCGTATCAAGAGCACAAAGTATGCGACTACCCAGATCACCTCCTGTGCTTGCTCCAACTCCGCCATCCCTCCACCAGTCCCAGGATTACTTGAACGAGAGCCAACCAAGGCCGACGAATCGAATTCTTAGACCTCCGGTTGCCAAACCACCCTCCCCACCTACTTCTAGAGCGAATAATTCAACCACCACAGCAACCAGGGTTGCGCCTCCGCCACCTTCTAGGGTGACGGTCAGCGCGCCCTGTATACCGCCTCCACCCCCTCCGCTTCCCCATCGTCCTGCTCCTACCCATCAGAGACTGGCCCCGCCACCTCCACCCCCGCCAACACCCCCTACGAGAAGTTCTTCCATGCGCAACGGGCAAAGCATGAGTACTCTGGACATAGAGGTACGATTTGCGGACATGTTTCATTCTATTGCGAGTTTTCCACCGCCAGAGGCGTTTAAAGGATTCACAAAAGTCTACAGCAGCAGAAACGGTGAGAATGATGTATTTAAAAAGCTGTCGCATTCTTACCTGCATCTTAATATCAGACAATACACATCTGCGTTGTTTCTGTAAGTTTGAATTCAAGCTAGGAAATTGTTGTACACGTTTTCATTTCTATAAATATACACAGAGCTTGTTCATTGATTCTCCTGTGATTTATCGTTTGATGAATCATCATGCTTGAATGCTGCATGCTTTTATTGAACGTTCATTCGTGAATGTAATATTTATCTGAGCAAGGATTAAAAATAAAGACACGCTTTAATTGCTTACCACAGTTTGTTTATGTATCGCAGTACACTAGGCAGTTCAGTGAGAAATTGTTAATAAATTATATTGACACTGATACGCCAAGTATTTTAACATTGCAGTCATAAGTAAGCTACTTTAGTTTTTTCTCTTGACAAATACACATCAAGATTCCACTGCATGCAGTTAATGCTAATCACAATCACCTGATCATTGAAGGAAGGTATATATAATTAATGTTTGTATTTATTAAGAGGGAAGTAATGAAAGTGTTTAAAAATTCCAGCGGCCAAACAGCAAGCTCCTGCGCCACCTATGCAAATGTCTTCTTTATCCAATACAATGGTACCATTAAACACATCGTCAGGGGGTTAATTGTGGCAGCACAACTTCTTTGGCACATTAAACGTTTCAAGTAATTTGTTTTATTTATATATGTTAGTTTTAATGATTTTTCAAAACATTATTACAACGAAAGGATTAGACGAATGAAAGATGCATATATAAAACCAGACGAAAGTAAAACTATTACTATATGACTATTATAAAGCGTTGATCTTAATTTCATAATTTATTAACTCTACGTTTCATGTGAATATAAAAACACTGTTAATTGTTATGGCATAAAGACTGTGTTAAATTAGAACACGTTGGTTTATAAAACCATGAGTGTTTAAATTAAATAATCATACGATCAGACTAGAGTGGTATAATTTTTCAACGACAACAGAGAGGTACAGTTTTAAAAATATCTAAACGGTTGATCGTGTAGATATTTATCAGTGTAATCTATTCTAAAGGTTTTATAAATGAAAACAAACTGTTACATAATTTTATTTATAACAATGACTTTTTATTATTAACTAATGTACAATATTAAATATCAGAGTTTTAGTTATAACTGACAGTTGAACGATGTGAAACTTTCTTATAATAGATTGAAGATTCAGTCTATTTTCTTGTTAATTACGAATAATTTGTAATTTCCAGATGATCGTATTTAAAATATCGAATACAATTTCTGTGGCAGTTAATAAATATGTATATCAAACATGCATTGCCCTTGATACAGTAAAGAATACGTTACAATCAAGTGAATTTTTCTCTTGCATTTATTTCCATCATTATTCAATTGAAATTTTCACATCGGTAACTTCGTACAGGACAATGCAAAGCGAGAATGAAATTTAAATTAAAACAAATCTTTAAACTTCGAGTTCCTTTTCAATGATCCTACGGTACTCGTCGAAACCTCCCTCGATACACCGTACAGAACCCTGTGTGCATACCCAGAGTTCGGTACACACCATGCGAATTAATCTTTCATCGTGCGAAACTAATATCACACCCGCCTGAAAGGGGAAATAAATAATTGTTTATAAATATACAAATTTTATATGTAACGCGACGAACGAATGAGAAAAAAGAAATTACTTGGCAGGTATTTAATGCTTTTCCTAAAGCCTCGATCGACTCGATATCAAGATGATTCGTAGGCTCGTCGAGTACTAAAAAGTTTGGCGTAGCGGCGGACATCAACGCGAACGCGACCCTTGATTTCTGTCCACCGGATAAGGAGCTGATAGACTGTAAAGCTAATTTACCGCTTACTCCAAAACTTCCAAGCATTCTTCTATATTCTTCAACCGGTTTTCCTGGAATTGATAAGAAAGTTAATTTACAAAAGTAATTCAACGTTAAAAGGTTATATCTAGTCAGAGCGATTTTGCAAGCATTTTTTTTTTTTTAAGATTTTGCATTTATTTTAATGAATCTTTTTACACTGAATTAACCTATTTGCTACCACGATTCCCAAATGGGGATCATTTTTTTTATCACTTGCAATAGGATTATATTAAATAAAATGTTAAATAAAAATTTGGCAGTTAATGGGTTGTTATTTATTTTTTACAAAAATATTGATTTGTCTGACTGATCATGTGAAATCAAAAAGCAATGAAGATTTAGTTAATATAAGGTAAAATCTTGTCTTTAATCAAAGGAATAAGCAAAATATCATGTTTGAACAAAATGGCGACTTCTCAACAAAAAATTTCGATTAAAATAAAATAAATGCAAATGTCTTTCCAACAAAAAAAATGAAAAATCCCTTTTTTCGGACTCCTAACTAGGTATAACCCCTTAACCCATTAACTGCCAATTTTTTTTTGTTGAAATTTTTCCAAAATCCCCAAATGGGGATCGTGGCAGCTAGTGGGTTAATTAATGTATACAGCGAAGCAGGTAGAATACCTGGAAAATGCTTCTGCAACAATTCAACCGGACACGACTGCATGTCCAATTGATCCACGTGATGTTGGCTGAAGTATCCGAACTTCAAATTTCGATGAACGTGCACGGTGCCCCGGGTCGGGCTCAACGCACCGGTTATTATTTTTAAAAGCGTAGTTTTACCCGCTCCGTTCTCCCCTACGATGCAAATGCGAGATTGCAAGCCGGCCGTTAAATTCACGCCCCTGAGTATGTACGATTCGTCGCTGCCCCCGGTGTAGCTGAAGGACACTTCGTTGAGTTGCAATATCGGAGGACTTAATGGCTCGACATCCGGGAAGCGAAGCGTTACTTCTCCTTCTTTCTCCATTGGTTTCAATTCTTCCCTGTTAAAAGTAATATTTGTTATATTCCATTTAAATCGTAGCGTGCGGGTACCCGATATTACGGGCTCGGGCGGACTCGGAAAAAATCGGGCGAGCTCGGCCGGGTGTCCGATACATGCGTGCAGTCGGGTGGCCCGACTGTTTCGGGTCGGGTCGGATAAAGTCGGGCGGATTCAGACGAGCTCTCGCGGGCCGTGGTCCCCGACCCAACTCTTGTGTACTTGTCAATGCTTGCAATAAGCACGTTCAAAATCTATTGGAATGAAATTCATTTCAAATAAATTCGTTGCAAGTATTATTTTCCCGCATAAAAATTATCTTGTTCCAAAATTCCACGTAAAACAGATTTTGCACGTGCTTACTGCAAGTATTAACAAGTACATAAGAATCAGGCCGCGGGTGCTCGTCCGAACCTGCCCGACTTTATCCGACCTGACCCGAAACAGTCGCGCTACCCGACTGCGCGTACGTATCGGACTCCCGCCCGAGCACGCCCGATGTTTTCCGAGCCGACCCGAATAGTCGGGCCGCACATCACTACACTACGATGCTTCCAACTTACAGTTTGTTTAACATCTTTATTTTACTCTGTACACTAGAAGCGCGATTCGCGTTGTATCGGAATCGGTCGATGAATTCCTGTACGTGCGCTCTTTTCGCTTGCTGCGCTTCGTATTCTCTCTGTTGATTTCTCTCGCGTTCCCCTTTGGTTTTCGAGAACTGTTCGTAATTGCCACGGTACGCCTCTATCTTTTGCCCTTTCAAATATAATATATCCGTGGGTACCTATTACCAAGTATATTATTAAATTGAATTCATAATTGTCCTGGGTAAAGGTACTTTGAATTCGTACCGTGTCTAAGAAGTTTCTATCGTGAGAGACTACGAGCAACGTAGTAGGCCACGATTGTAAATACTTTTCTAACCAAAGTATCGCTTTAATGTCAAGCATGTTCGTAGGTTCGTCGAGTAACAGAAGGTCGGGCCTGGAGAACAGGGCACGCGCAAGGGCGAGTCTCATTCTCCAACCGCCTGAGAAGGCTTTCGTCGGCCATGATTGTCTTTCAACGGTGAATCCGAGACCTGTTAATATCGTACTGGCTCTAGCGGGCGCTTTATCTACTTCGGCTAGCTGCATCGCTTCGTATACTCTAGCTAATTCTTCACCCAACGTATCCCTTGCCTTCACGTCCTTTTCTATGGCCGCCTGCAGTTCTGCTTCTTTGCTGAGCAACATACTTCTCTCTTGATCGCATTCTAATACAGATTCAAGGGCAGAGGTCTCGTCGCCGGCGACTTCTTGCTCCACGTGCAGTACTCTTATATGAGACGGTATTCTCAATTGTTTGCTGCGATAATTAATATACCATATAAATATAATACACGGTATTCGAATACAGAAGACAATATTGTGAAAATATTAATACCTAGATATCATTCTTAACAAAGTAGTTTTACCAAGCCCGTTTCTCCCGATAAGACCATACCGCCTACCAAAGGCGAGCGTTAAATCAGCTCCTTGTAACAAAATTCGATCACCGTACGCTACATCAAAGTTTTCTATTCTAATATCCTGAGTCTTATTTACACTGCCCTTGTTTTCCATTCTGCTATCCTTCTTGCTGGTCATCTGGCTCGCGCTAGCTGATTCTATGCCACAGCTAACTGTATTAACGCGTCCAGTTGATTCATTGTTATTTCGTTTCTCTTGTTTCTGCTGTAACTTTGCCTCCGCCTTCTCCAATTTCTTAGCATCTACTTTCTGTTAAATAAAATTTGTGCCGTATAAGTATCGATGAAGTACTTGGATTTGTTGAATAAATATTTACCATGGCATCGTCTCTAGTAGTAACCCATATACTTTTTATCTGTTCTACTTGAGCTTCTAAAGTGGCAGCCATTGATCCTAAATGAATAGGTGCATTTAATACTTTGTTCACACCATTCTTTTTTCTTTCCTCGTTTTCGTCGTTTGAATTTCCTTTCAACATTTCCAATAATTTCACGCATATTTGCCTAAACGTAAAAAAATTCCAAATTTAAATAGCAGCAGAAATTATGTAAGAATACTATAAAGTTAAGGAACAAATGTAGGTGACAACTAATTATTATACGTAATTGTAGCGTATCGGTTCACAAACACGGTAATAACAGTGAATTGAACGATACCGATATCTGTTTAAACGGTAAAAAATGACAAGTGTGAACACATTTACAGACCTAACCTCATTCTCTGGTTTTTCCTCGACCTCGTGCAGTACTTCACCTATCGCTTCGTAAACCTCGTCACCATCTTCGAAATCATCTTTCGAACTATCCAAAATACCTATTCAAAGACAAACATTCGTATTATTCATAAATTAGAAAAATGATGTGTCTCGTAATTTGTAGGTTATTTCTCGAAAAGTATACCTTCCACGTATTGATACAAATCATCATCTATCGTAGGAAATTGGCTACGAATGTATTCTCCACAAACCGCCATACTAATGAACGTGTTCAACGAAAATGTCAAAATAAATTTACTCGTTGAATTTACAAAACGGTATATTACTTGACAGAACAGACGTCAAGATTCTATCGAACACTGGAAACACATGTTCGACGCCATTTTACAATGGAGTGCTGCAGTCAACATATCATCCAGATAAATTAATTTCAGTTCGTCTGAATTTTTAATACGCTCGATGTACACGTGTTTACACACGTGATATTTTTATAATTGTTTATAAGTAATAATATTTTATGGAATTTTCATGTAACATGGATATATATATATTTTATATAAAAGCTGATGGTAGAGTCGCCATTTTGAAGCTGTCAAAAACGATTCTTGCCATTTGATTGTGTGCGGTATCTTCCTTCGGTTTTTGACTTTGACATTCGAACAACTTACCATTTAATTCTTTAATTATAAGGTAATCATGGTGTAAAAAGTGAATGTAATCGTAGAAGATGGAGATTTTTAAAAATTGATCGGACGTACGACAGGTATTGAGAGAAAGATGGACGAAATTGAAAGCGCTACAAATTTTTACAATGTCAATTTTATTTCTTCCTTCATGATCGTTCAGTAGTACCGTTCACACATTTCTGTTCATTTATCTAAATTATTTAAGAAGGGAACAATACAGTTATACACAAAATAGAGAAAATGGCGACCGATATCGAGGAATCAGATACCGACGATCATGAAAGACCAGCTCCACCGAAACGTCAATGCACAAGACTCGTTAAGGTCAATGAAACAATGTGGGATATGGTAATTATAGAATATAATCTTAACAGTTCATATTTTTCATCCATCAGTTTATATCTATAATTTTTCTGTGAATACTTGATTTTTTAGGAGAACAATTTGAATGAAAGCGAAGAAATACAGGATGCAGAGAATGTTGAATACGATGATGCAGAAAGGCACGCAAGAGAAAAGTTAAAAAGATGGCAAGCTTGCCAGGTGGCCAAGGGATACGTAGATAATACTATCAATAAATTTTTAGAAAACTATATCACGAGAACGATCTCTCTAGAAGAATCCAGGTGTCAGTTGTTCAGAGGAAACGATATGGAGGATACAGCAGTTATGATGGCAATTCGTAATCATGGACTAGTTCAATCGGCAGGGATCGTTTCTCAGTCGGATGCATTTTACAGTGATAAAGCCCCGGGATATTGGACCAACAACGAATATCCTGATGTACATTGTTCCTGTCCTTCTAATTACATCCAAGTTGGAAATTCAGTAGCCACTACGTCTACGGATTCTTTGAGATTGGAAGATTCAAAGGATGTAGACGAGTACAGTGGATGCGATTGGGATTTAGATAAAATAGATGAGAACAATCAACAAGAAAACTTCCTAGAAAGAGCTGTAGCGGAAGCTATTAAGAAAAAAGGTCTTAGCACGCTCAGTGTTGATTATGGTTGAAGAAACTGAACCATATTTCATCCTACAGTATGTTTACGTAATAGCATCGGGTATAATTTTTTATCTTGGCAAATCTATTTCGATTTGTATGAAAAATTTAATAGATGATATTCATCAGAAGGTATACAGATAGTTCTAATTAAGGAATTGTACTCCACCGAAGGAAACATTCTGATGATCCATCTGTTTCTTCATCCATTATATCTTGATACTACTTACGCATAGATATATAAACATTTATGTGCTAGATCAGAATATTTTCAACGAGAATCTAGATTTCATTAATACATAACAGAAGATAGAAATAGTTCCAGGTTTTCAATGGGTATGATTTTTACCATATCTATTTGATGAAAAACAAGTAATTATTAATTATACATTTTCTTCTTTTTTCATTCAAAGTAAATTTAACATTCTAGAATCGTGGATGATTTGACGGGTAATTCGATAAAATAAATGTTTAAGGTATATATAGTAATTATCATTCTATATTTCAACATTATCATAATGTTAATTACTAAACGTTGAAGAATCCTTGTTCATTCCATACAGTATTGTATTGCTTCTATCCATTCCTAAAGGTAAATTGCAATTTTGTAAATTATAATTTTTAAGTATGTAAAAATGAATATTTTTCGCGTCCTTTTCGTTTTGTATACAAAAGGCCTAATAATATATATATATATATATATATTATATATGTAAATAGATTGTTACGTATTAAACGTATAAATAAATTTTCATTCATGTTACACGATGATATGTATCTATTGAAACATGTAACGAGCTCGGTATACATAGATCGTGTTTCTAGAAATTATAAATAAAAAAAAGATATAAACAAATTTTCGACCATGTTATTGCACAAGAATCGTCCGATGTGTTGAAAGTCCCCGAGTGAAAATTTATACCTGGATCAAGTGAAACGATTGTCCTATACAGAACAATTTACTATATAACGGTATTTCGACAAAGATAAAACTCGTTTTCATATGAATTCCACAATTATTTTCTCTAGAATCTAGTTCCTTTCTAAAAGAATTTTATTTCTTGATTTACACCCCCGTTCATCGAGTTATAAAAAAAGTAAAAATTATTAACTTATTAATACCCAGAGTTACATTTAGTATTATGAGTAAATTTATTTTAAAATATTTAAAGAGAGTCGGTCACCGTATGCCGCAACGCGTAAGCGTCGACGACCTGACACGCGATATCGCGTGATCGGACATTTAGCATTAACAATAATATTTACAAGTATTTCCCTTACCAATAAAAAATATCGTTTTAAATATTAAATTTATTCAATTTCCGTGGAGTGGGGAATTAAAATAGGGGAAATATTTGAAGTTGACCGAGCCATGTTTAAAAACTCGGATTCGTGAAATCAGATAAAAATTGCGCGCAATGAGTTCGCATTATCTTAATATAGTTTATTTCTACATGAATAATTTACGATAAGTTAATAATCAATTTCCTAATTCAAATTTTCTCCAACTCGCTTTACTTTAATGCATCGGTGCTGCAAGCGGTCGACATGCAAAATCAATAACATGCATATTACTACGTGTCCCTTAAATAAAAAAATAAAAAAAAAATAAGCATCCGAAAGAAAAAAAAATAAAAAGGAATCGATTGCATTCGGTTATCTTGTCTCTATCGAAAAGGTCGATACACGAGCACACCGTGTATTCGATGTATCTGTGTAAGTACACAGCTATTAATCATACCGCAAATCTGTACACCAATACTATTACAAGCCAGATACGATTCTAACAATTTCGTTTGACTAAAATGGAGGATTTTCTTGCGTAATATTTAATCATTAATAATCAACGGCGACTCGCTTTCGCTATGAACAGAGACACATTCAAACGATACGGTTCTTTAAAATCGCGTCCATATTTTGTAATTAAGATGGATGCGTTTTAATCGATTAATAAACGAAAAATAATTTTTCGTATAGATAATAATAAAAGTACAAGAAAAAAGGGGAGAAAGAATAGAATGAAATTAAAAAAAAAAAAATAAAGGCAAAAGTAACGGATGTGTATTGTAGAAAGGTATCGCTGGTTAAAGAAAAAAGATCTTTTCAAAAAGTAAAAAGCATTTTCTGTCGATTCGGTGATGAGAAGAGCGGAGGGGGGTAAGGGGGAATAAAAAGAAATAAATGCAACACGGTAGAGTCGGCCAGACCATTCGTATACTTTCAGCTACAGCACGCTCCGCTAACACATGGTGGACGAGGGCCGCGGTGGGGGGAGAGGGGAAAGATTCTAACTCTCTCACAAGCGAAGAGAGGAAAGCGAGGGGAGAGAAAAACGGCGAGAAGTGGGGGGAGGGGGAACGAGAAGAACCGACGAATCGGGTGAGAGAAGAAGCATACAGCAGAAGGTGCACATCGGTGCACGTACGAGACGAAGTGACGGCACGCCGAAACCGAAACGCAAGAGCGTCGAGCCAGAAACGATTAATGTCGCATTTCCGTACTGTTTTTCTACACGATAGTCTTGTCCAGTGAGTGATATCCTCGGTGTTACGAACGTAATATCTGGTGATTTTAAAGAATGGCATCCGACGAGGAGGTGGACGAGAGCTACGCGGGTAAGGGCCACTGTGTTACAAATACTACCGGAAAGTTGTATCCTCGAGCACGCAGGACGCGCGCTTTTCGTATGATGGCTGCCATGTCAATTGGTCCTTCTATACTTTTCCACGCTATTTCGTTGTGTATTTTTTTCGGAAAATTTCTCGCGTGTTACTTTGGTTAGATTCAGTGTTAGGTTAACCGTTGTGCATCCAAAAATTCATCGAACCTCGAAGTCGAACGATTCTCTTCTCTCTCTTGATAAAAGAAAAACTAACCTTAGAATTGTCAAATAATTTCTCGACCGATACATCGTCAGCGATATATCGTTTAACACGGGTAATAAAATTAGTTGTTAACCGTAATGCGTTTAACTTTTCCACTAAATCTAGTGTAGTAGTGGAGAGATATAGGTTATTGTTTACATTTAAATGCTTAGACAGAAATCACATGGTTCTTCGTGTTTCATTTATTTATAGCGTTTCCATTGTTAGTTTAAAAGGATCGGTAGTTAATTATCGAATTTCCGTCTCGTCAAATAAGATAAATAATACTTTAAGCCTGTAACGTGATTTTCGATAAACTTACCGCCAATTGAGATTTCAATTAGATAATTACTAGATTTTTATATCGAATATGGAACAGTTAGCTTTATTTCCAAAATATAATAATTAATTATCATTTCATAAATATTACACTTTTTAATTGAATCCCATTTCCCTATCGTACGCGAATTTTTTTCTTTGATTGTTTCTTGACACAAAAAATTATAAATTATGTGTTAATTTCTGGTTTTTAACAAATAGACTCTGATACAATCTTAGTTCGCATGAATTATTCATAGTAAAAATAATATGAATATTTCAAATAACAATATCTACCGAAACATCAAAACATTGTTTAGCAGAATGACGTAAGACAGAATGTTTCTAATTAACGAAATAAAAAGCGAATCTGAAATATTATTTTGCAATACTCGGTTTCGTTTTCCGACCATCTGGTACTTTTGTGTGCGTGTACCGCCGTATACACACATCGTAATCGCGATATATAACTGCCGGTTCGAGTCTCGTGAAGATCGAGTTCTAGGGTTTATTAAAAATCTCTAGTACAACCTGTAATCACAACCTTTTTATATGATTGAAAGAAAAAAAAAATTTTTTAATTGCCTGGAGTCTGCAATAATATTATGAATATAAAATATAGACGGCCAATGCGGTGAGCCCTTTTGAAGAAAATGGCGGACGTATAACTCGCACAAAGCATTCACTGAACGTGGATTAGCCGAAAATAATTTATATATTTTGATTGTTTCATTTTCATGTTTTTCATTATTTCCAAACCATAACCATCCACGTTCGCATAATTGATTCGTGCTTCGCAATCTGTTTATGATAAACTTTATCGTTTTAATTGTCCTACAAAAATAGAAAAATCGGTTTGTTATAAACGTTACTATCGATTTGGCAATTATCAGTCTCGACGTCGTTGAGCGAATCGAATGTTCTCATGCATAAGACTCATTTAAATTCTATTACTATTTTTTTTTTTTTTTTTTTTAAAGCACTTTCGTGCTAAAAACATCGAGGTTTCGGGAAATACATAATATTTTTCAACGGATATTATAATCAGAAAAATTCGACTCTGGGGGAAAATTTACCGAATTTTCTGGAATAGCTTTTGAGCGGCAAAGCTTCTGTCCCCGCAACATATGGGTAGAGCAATGGATGATATTATAAAAAATTCTAATCATTTCATAAATTATAATATATTAAACAGATAGAATAACGTTCATGTATTAGATTGTTTTTTAAACGATTGTTAATTAGTTCCGAAAATATTGATTTCTGTGAAATATTAATTGAGATATTAATAGTTCTCTGGGATACATATATCTAGTGAACTATTTTTAAACCTACATTGTAATGAATAGAGATATTGATTTTATGTAAGTCAGGAGCATACATTGAAATGAGTTAACATTAGCCATATGTATGTGACAAGTGTTGTAATAGAAAAGTATTATGAGTATTTTAAGATATAACAAAATTTTGCACATGGAAAAGAAATAAATTATATTGATTATAATTATTGATTTTTAGGGGAAGATGATATAGATGAAACTGGAGGTCAAGTTTCAAATGTTAATCAACAAGTAGATGGTTCTTCTGACGCAGAAGAATCTCAGAGACTAGTAAGTATAATAAATCTATATTCATAACAAAAATGTCTGAACTATTAACGATTAAATGTATTTCAACACAGGAAGAAGATGATGATTATGAGCCGGAGGAAAGAAAAAAGAAGAAAGGGAAGAAACGAAAGGCAAGGAGCGAAGATAAAAAGGGGAAGAAAAAGAAGAAAAAGAAAAAATCTGATTCTGGAGATGTAACCATCTTTCTGTTACTATCTACTATCTATACAATTAATCTAAAATGTATTTATATATATTTCCCTTTTATTTTTCCATAGGAAAGCGATTTTGGAGGTGGTGGTGAAACAGGTGATGTAGCTGGAGATGATAGTGACTATGCAGGGAATAGAAAAAGTAGAAAATCTTCTTCCAGAAAGTCATCCAGTCATAATACACCAGCTCCAACAAATCAAGAGCCGACGACAGGCATGCCTACGATAGAGGAAGTGTGTAATACCTTCGGATTGACCGACGTACAGATAGAATACACCGACGCGGATTTCCAGAACTTAACGACATACAAATTGTTCCAACAACACGTTAGACCCCTTTTAACAAAGGAGAATCCAAAAGTGCCGATGTCGAAATTAATGATGCTGGTTGCTGCTAAATGGCGAGACTTCTCTGAACTGAATCCTCACACGCAACCAGACGCTGACGTGTCGTCCGCGAACGTGGACGAGGACAGTAGAAACGCGAGAGCGAATCGCGGTGGCGGGGTGCAGGAGGGCGAGGACGAGGAGGACGACGACGAGGACAGCGATAGAAAGCGAAAATCGCGGGGTTCTAGAGCGAAGAAAGGGAAGAAAGCTTCCAAGGTGCCGACGCTCAAGATAAAACTTGGTAAACGCAAACGGGGAAGCTCGGACGAGGAGGCGGAGGGCAGCGGCGCCGGCACCGACAGAGATTCCGACATGGAGTTCGAACAGATGTTGGCCGATGCCGAGGAACCCGCCGGCACGGACGGCTCCACTAAAGGCAACACGGAGGAGAACGGGGTCGAACCCCCAGCGGAACCACCTGTTCGCAGGAAGGCGAAGACTAAAATCGGAAACAAAACTAAG